TAAAGTACTAATTTCCCTTATATTACCTTTCTTTTTAAAAACTTCTTTCTTTCTCGCGCTATATGTCTCGCTTACTATAGAGAATATTATTATAACTACTCCTAATGCTAAAGGTTTACTTTCTAAAAGTAATAGTATTATTAAAATTACCTCTTAGGTTCCTCTTCCTGAAGATAGTGATCTTAATATAGCTACTACTAATACTAAAGGTCCTCTTCCTAAAGGTAATAATATTATTTAAGTTACCTCTTAGGTTCCTTTTCTAGAAGATAATAATCTTACTCTTATTACTTAAGGTAACGTCCTTATTAAAGCTAATACTCTTATCTCTTATAATCTACTAGCTCCGGTCTTAGATACTCTTCTTATAATAAATATCTCACTTCTTAAATAAATTACCCCTGATCTTTTAGTTTATTAAGCCTTTAATAATAAAGTCTATAGTACTTACGATTAAATCTCCCTTATAAATAATAATCCTATCTATAAGATAGCCTTTAACGTTAAGATCTTTACTACTTAGCCTAATCTCGCTAGCTCCCTTACTTTTATTATTAAGGTTAGATATATTTAGAATAATCCTATTAATAATCCGTATAACTATAAGTTCTTCTATATTAACCTTATTATCTACGCCTAGGAGATCACTAAGTATAAGTTCGATAAGCTTATTCCTAAGTACTTTATTATTCCTAAAAGCACTAATATAGCTAATAAGATCTATATTTCTCTCTCTACTAAGTTAATTATTTTTCAGAGAGATATAACTATTTCTCTTTTAACTAACAAAGAGAATTAAGTATCTTTAGAAACTCTAATTAGAGATATTACTAAATACAGAGTTAATAGTAAACCTTTCTAGTTTAACCTTATTATTAATAAGGATCTAAAGTTAATAGTAGCTAAATTTATATCTAAGATTAAGAGAGAGAAGTCCGGTACTTTTATATATACTTAGATAAAGGAGTCCCCTTACTTTTATAAGCTCTATTAAGGAAATATCTATCTTCCTAACACTAGACCTCCTCTTTTATAATATAGAATTAAGAACGTTCGGATTCCAGGCTCTTAGGAGAACTTTCTTATTCCCTTAATCTATACCTTAAATAATAAGTATATTCTATCTTATATAAAGGCTAATAGTATTAGTTCTTATACTTTTAAAGCTGCCTTCCTTCTAGTACTCTCCTCTTACGCGAAGATTTATTCTTTAGATAACAAGCTTCCTAAGATTATTATTACTTGTATTAAGTAGGATAAGTACCTTATAGCTTATCCTAAGGAAAGTAACTTATATACCTTTACCTTCCCCTTTACTATTCTAGACTACCTTCTACCTGTAGATAGTATTATCACTATTTATAAAGGCCCTCTCCCTGTAAATAATAATAATAGTCTTAATAATTATAGAGACTTTATTATATTTTATAAAATAAATAAGAATAAGAATAATTATATCTTAGAGACTTAGATAAAGAATACTATTACCTCCTATTCTTATTAGTATACTATTACCCTACCTTCTTCTAAGTTAAACCTTGCTATATATCTTACTTTTACTCTTTACTATCTAATCGATAATCTATATACTAGTATTAATAGAGATAACGCCCTTATAGTTAATACAGTTATCTCTTTTATTAAGACTTATATTAATGATTTTAAGTATATAAGAGATATTTTAAAAGATAAGGATCTTAACCTTTATAACGTTTCTATTTTAATAAAGGTTAGTAACTCGACTTTTAATAACCTAGTTCACAGCTTAAATAATTTTATTAAATTAGATTATTCCTTAAGAGCTATTACGACTAGCTTATTAGCTTATATAGCAGAATTCTCTACTAAAGGCGACTAGAGCCTGCTTTACTAAGAAGTTATCCTCTATAACTTCTGCTCTCTTAACTAGGAGAAGTTTAGTTCTAGCCTTAGATCTTATTAAAAGGACTATTACTATAAGATTATAATAGACCCTAAGTCTTTCGCTTACAGTATCTATCTTATCTCTAGTATACTTACTACAAGAAAAACTACGATCGTTAAATATCTTATAGTAGCTTTTACTTAAGCCCCTAGAGAGAAACTAGCTTAGATCCTCTTTATTATAGATAGTAATTCCTTTATTAATAAAGCTATAGACTATTTCTATTCTTACTATAGATCCGCCTCTAATCTAATTACTAAGCTAATTAAGATTATTCACGTTAGTACTTAAACTATAGAGTCTAACCTCTTCTTAACTAAGTACGATCTTAAGTTATATTATAATTTTATAAGTATAGAAATCACTTTTAAGTTCGTAGTCTAAGAGCTTATTAATAATCTTAGACGCGCTAATCATAATCGAAAGAAGCGCGGCGACTTAAGATTTAATCCTAAGCTCCGTTTCTTATTCTTATTCCAGGCTATAGTCGACTTTATTAAGATTAATCTACAAGATACTTAGAATACTCTAATTAATCTCTTAAAGAAGCGTGCTAAGAATCCTCTTAATAATAGTATTAAGAATACTAAGATTACTAAACTCTTAAATCTCCTTCATAATAAAACTTTAGTAAGCGCTAATATTCTATTTATTACTTATAGTATATCTCTCTATCTATTTATAATATAAGCTTATAGTCTAGTCTTCCTTATTAAGGATAAGGATTACTAATCTCTATATTAGTTTTTCCTTACTTTAATAGGTACTTATACTAAGTCTCTTTTACTAAATATCTTATCTAGAGACTAAGAGTAGAAGTTACCTTACTTTTAGTCTCTTATTATAAAAGATATCTTTACTCTTTAAGTAAACTTTCCGAGATACTCCTTCTTTACTTAACTTCGTAATCTTAGTATTAATAGAATATTTCTTAATATCTAGTTCTATATATTTAATATAGACTTAGTAAAGATACTCTCTAACTACTACTATAACTCTACTATAGTAGATAGTAATAAGGGAAAGACTATACCTAAGACTAAGCTTATATATGCCTTTTTTTAGCACGAGTTTAATATTAATTTTAATATAGTTATAGCTCTATACGAAAAGAGTAAGCTTTTAAAGCTAGATAGATCTCTATCTATAGTTAATATTAGCTAATAATAATAGCTCTTAGGTTTCCTTAACTATTTCTACGCCTTCTTTACTAACTATTAAGATTAATATCTAGATAAGAAAAACTTTATAGTTCAGATTCTATCTCCTTACTTTAGTGTTATAAACTAGCTTAAGAATAGAGTCTTTCTTCTAGATCTAACTCGTAAGATCTCTATCTTAACTTATAATATTTATTAAGGAACTAGTACTTCCTTCTCTATTATAGTCTAGCTTTCGGATATAATTACTAACTTTACTAGTACCCCTTAGGATAATCTTATTATATCTATATATTAGAAATATAGCTATCTTTATCTTATTATAGAAGAATCCGTTAGTCCTTAAGCTAATAGAGTAAAGGATATAGCTTCTATATTAAGAGTTAACTACACTAAGATAAATACCTAGTATTTCCTTTTCTTCTAAGGATATAAGTAGATTACTTCTATTCCTATAAAGGAGAGTAAAGTCTGCTCTAAGTGCTATTATCTAAGTTATATAAAGGATAACTATACCTAGACAGGATCTATCTGCTTTAATTATTACGCTCTTAGATACCTTAACGCTAAATACCCTTAGCTAAAGACCTTCTATAAGAAGGGTCAAGCTATTCTTATATACTAAAAGTACGAACTAGAAAGTTATATTATAAAGAGATATAAGGTTTATAAGTATTATAAGAATACTAGTTATATAACTAACGCCTGCCTCCTCCCTTAGTGCAGTTACTATATAAGTACTAAATATAAGTACAAGAACTACCCTAAGTCGAAGTACTCTCTTTATCGTAATTCTAGTATCTATTAGACTAAGTAATATCTTAAGTACTTAGTATATTACAAATATAGTACTAAGTATAATCCTAAGACCTGTTCCGCTACGCCGACTATTACTAATATATTTAGTACTAATATTATCTCCGATACTAATTTAGCTGCTAAACGCGAGCTATATATAAAGTGTTACCCTAAGCTCTACGAGGCACTTAAGATTAAGACCGAAAAGGATATAATAGCTTATATAATCTCCGATATTTATAGTATAAGTATATTAGTTTTCCGTAAGTACGCTGATTTCTCTTTTAACAGCGCTTCTCCTAAGGATTAGTTCCTTCTTAGACTCTAGGAAATCACTAAGTAATACTCTTCCTTTAACGCCTAGTCTTTAGTTACTTCGCTCCGCTAGAACTAGCTTACTACTTACGCTACTTTACTTTCTAAGGATAAAGATAACCTTATTATTTTCTCTAATACTTACTCGGTTCTAAAGGCCTCTCTTCTCCTTCCTTTTAATAATATAGCTTATACTATTATCTACTTAGAACTTAATTATATCTACTACCTCTACCCTATAGTTATAGTTCTCTTAGAAGGCTTAGTTACTACTAGAATCTTTAATATCTCAAGTAGTGTCTTAGCCCTTAGTTTTAATATTATTACTAAGGATAATAAGTAAATCTTTAGCCTTAAGTTCACGCTACTCTCTCTTATTAGGTTAAACTACTAATTTATTTACTCTTCTAAGAATATTATTATATAGAGCTAGATACTTAAGAAGTTCTAGGATTTAGTCGCTTTCTAGCGAGAGGCTATAAACCCTGAAGCCTAAGTACCTAAGGTAGACTAGAATAAAGGATAGAATAGAGGATAGAACAGAGGATAAGGAGGATAGGAACAGGTTAATACGAACACTAGATAGTAAGGCGGAAATAGTACTAGATAGTAAGCTAAGGTTAGTGCTAGATAGTAAGGTAGTTAGGATTAAGGAGTATTAAGATAGTTAACTTAGTAAACAGGGTGTTATTATATTATTTCTTTCTTTCCTTTCTTTTTAAAAAAAGTACTTTCGTTCTTAGAGAGAACGCTTATAAGGAGGAGGGATATTATAGGTCACGTGCACTAGCTTAGTTACCTATATTAGGAGAGCCCTACGCTCTCTTTCTCCTTTCTCTCCTTAGACGTACTAATACCATATAATTCAGCCCCTGAGACCCCTCTGGCAGCTGAGTGTGAGGTTTACAGATTCCATCTCTGCCCGTACTATTTCCATAGACAGATATTTTCTGGATAACTTTATTCCCCAAATCTCGATGATTTTGGGCAAGCATCTGGCCAAATGGTCTAATGTTATCGGTACCACACAGTGCAGTGAATGCCTGCATCATTGCTGGGTTGCTTGCATCTGGTGTGAAAACGGCTTTCGTACCTTGAATGCCCATATCTACAGTTTGGCCGGTCGATGCTTCGTAACGTTAGCTGCTGAAGTATTTCGATCGACGGAGACTTACCGATAGCCATTGTAATGGTGTCTTTCGTTCCTCTGCCTTGCACACTCTCCGCGACAAGGACTCTGAGGCTGCTTACATCCCCTCCATCTGCTGATACCTGTTTTTGCCACAACTGCCAACTGAGCTCATGGCTCGGTACAACGTTGTCGAGATTGCCGCTTCCCTCTGCTCCAGGAATATTTCCATCAGCTGACTTATCTCTTGTCGTGGCAATCATCACGCCTTGTCTGGTGTCTATCTTTGCCCGATTGACGTCCGTGTTTGGTGCCTCATTCTTTTGAAGGGGTACTATAACGGATCGCCAACCGATATCAGCGACTTGGCTGTTGGTATCCAAGTTGAGATCTGGAGACGTTGGGTCTGCAAAGATATTTTCATGGTCAAGTCTGACCACAGCTGGTGAGCCGGGAATAGCTGAAGTATCCTCGCCATCTCGTTGAAACACGTAGCCGTTGACAGTATCGGGGACTGGTCGCTTCGGAAGATCTGCATCAATAAAGTTGCGAGCCTCACTAAGCACCCTGTTTCCGTTGCTTTGAGCGACGCCGTAATCGAGCGGGCGATCAATTCTGCTTAAGCATCGCTTCCTTACACAAAGATCGGAATCTTCATCAAGTGGATTTGTTGAGTCGGATGCTTTCTCTGCCGGGGGTGGTGTGGTGGTGTCGGTATCGGAGGGGCTTTTTGTTGGAGTTGTCTCCACAACGGGAGGAGGTTGGGATTCTGGAGCTGGCTCTTGGAAGTTTTGATCAGACCCTTGACCAACTCCTTGACCTGCACCGGCTTGGTTTGGCCCTTGGCTAGGAGCTCCATTACCTCCTTGAGACCCAGGAGAGTTGTTCCCAGGCCTCACTCTAGGTGCCGCTCTGATAGTAAGGCGATCTTCATAGCTGGGCTTTCCGGAGACTGATCGTTCTTCTTTTGAAATAAGTGAAACTGAAGAAAATGGGGAAACGTATCACAAACCGAAAAATGAATGGTCTTCCAAGTCCTTCCGAGTTACCGCTCTTCCATGAGCGACGGGGGATAAGGTAACAAGAAGAACGAGCGCTGCGATGACTTTGGTGAAATGCATTGCATATATATGAATATGAAATGATAGCGAGAAGCAAAGACTGAATGGAACTTCAACAGTCTAAACAAGCTAGCACGTAAGTTGTATTGGAAGTCTGTGAAATAGAGTATTTTGATACCAGAAGAATGAATGTAACGGGAAGGAAAGAGAGAGAGAAAGAGAGAGAAGCGTTGATGATGTCGAAAATGAAATCAAAGGGTTAGTTTTGTCTTTCTTAAGTATTACTTTCTTCAGATTTTGAACCCCCAAATCATAGCCATGGCCACAGAGGTTGCTTCGAAAGCCCTAGGCCATGTTGTTTGTGGTATATTTCGAGCATCAAAGGTATCGGTAGGATTCTAATGAAGACAGTCGTTTTGGTATTCCATGTTGAACTGTCATCGTGATTCCATTCTGATTATGGCTCAGTTATCTTCGTCTTGGTCCAAAATAGAGATACGATGGTTGTGGCGGTTAAAGTCGAAGTCGTGCCCCGCCACACCAAGACAGGCCCTAGCTTAATTGGATACTGAAGCGCAGTGCATGTCGGATGACATATATTACTTTAAAATAGCTGAGAATCTATATCTTGAGAGATTACTGGCCAGGCATCCCTGGAAGTCAGACCTATTTGCAAATGGGGTCGCTTTCGCCATCTTTGTTCGTAGGAACGGCGATGGAAGATGAAACATGTAGTCATGACCACGGCTACGAGAAGATGGCATTTTGACGCTATTCCAATATTCTCTGTACCACTGACTTTGCGGATACTCTTCCTTCCGCTCAAGAGATACAGTCAGCCTTCTCGACTGTCCGTTAGCAGGGTGAAGGCATTTGGGGATAAGCTTCACTTTGTTTTTGCACGTCAGATGTGGAGCACCTGGATCAAGTATATAAGACTTTCAATTTTCTCTGCTGGGTTACTTATCACTCACCATCTTCAGCGCACTCAGTAACTTCATTCTTCTTCTACTCTTATAACTTCATTCTCTAGCCTCTCAGCTATTTTCATTGAACCAAAATCACCTGCACCTAAACCCCTTTGCCGAAAGCCATCGTACAAACATCTACGGACGCTATTCGACGAAACCTCAGTCTTCTTGCAATGGCTTTCGCGGCAGGGTTTGGATTGGACATTGCGCTGACCGCTGTGTCACTGGTTTCCGCCTTCGTTGCCCCCAGCCCCGAAACACAATGTAGAGTCGGCATCGGCAGTAAAACACGCACTACAGCAGGCCTTGATTTGTCAGGTGGAGATTACCCACACATATTTCTGTACGACACTCGAGGTGAACTCATCGACTTTACTGCTGGGGGTGGATCTGCAGAACAGGCTTCCAATGAGATTGTGGGGTTCATGACAGGAACGTCGACCACGCCAGAGTATGTGATGCTTCAGGCTTCCACGACTGACGCAACATGCATCAGTTACATCAGCTTAACTAGTGCTGCCAATGATCAAAGAACATGGCATGCCGGATATGTGAAGCAGTGTGCTGCTGTGGGCAATCAGAACCAGCTATGGTATCCAAGCCCTGAGATTATTCCGGGAACAGACTTTCGTCCGGGGTGTGTCTGGCTCAGTGACGATGATCGATTCTTGAGAGCCATTTCATTCAAACTTACCGACTTTGGCTTCCCTGATAGCGAGACAGCCCAACGTGCGCAAGCTCAGTATACCCAGTTCCCTAACACACTCTGTCAGGCACCAGCACGAATGGCATTGTGGACAACGCCTCCAGCTGATTGCGTCCCAGTCTATCTCGAAGATGAACAGAGAGATGCAAATGGATTCGACTTGGATTTCCAAAAGATTGTGGACGGGCATGCTCTCGTGTGCGACATGAAAGACGCTAAGACTCTGAACCAAAATATTCAGCCCGGCCAGGGTCCCAAGACTCTCAATGCTAAGCAACTCGCCGACGAAAAGGCTGCTGCGGATGCGGCTCAAGCAGTCGCGAACGAGGCTGGTACCAATACCAATGCCCCTCCACCTGGAGCCGGCGGGTTTGGAGGAACGTTGGGCTCGATCCCAGCTGGAAGCGTTGACGATGGAGCGGAGACGACGCCTGCCGTGGGAGTTGGAAATTTTGGTGGAGTGCTTGGGTTTATTCCTAATCCTGATTTGGCTCAGCCTACTGTCCAGCCCACGGTCCAGCCTACAAGAAGATCCAAGAGAGCAAGCGTGAGGAAAGCACAGGACGTTTCTTCCGAGGAAAGTCGACGACAAGTCCTTCACCGTCGCGAGGCTCTCGGAAAGGAGAAAGATCAATGCGTCGACAGGCTGGTAATTTCTCACTTTGGAGATCATAGTGCTACGGAAGTTTGCCAGATGTCAAACTCGTGGGGACCAGACTTCGTGTCTCTTGTGGAAGGTCTCTACTGCGACATGTGTGAACGGGAACTTTGGCAGTTGTGCTCAGTCAGTACTACGTCCGAATGTTTTGACTTGGAGAAGAAGGAAGTGCGGCACAATGCTATTGGACACCAAAAGGACGATCAAGTTGATCTCAGAAAGAAGTTTGAGATTATCAGTGAGTGGAAATGAGAGAAAAAGGACAGGAGCGGGTAGGGTCTGGGGTTTGGGTTTTCCTGCACGATATCTCCATGCTTTCTTATATTTTACTGTTTTGCATGACCGGCGTTCGATCTTTAGAAATAGCTTTTGCGGGAGTTGGTGGCCTCTATTGAAAAGGGATTCAAGGCCATACATGGAGTTTACGTTATGATAACCTGAATTCTCTTTCTCGACCTTGCTTTTGTAAATCAATGAAAACACTTTCATGACTCAAAAATGAATTCTCGAAGACTCATAAATCAATCTCATGTGTAAAAATAAGAGCCGACACAAAGAAAACTCACCCCAGCAAGGACAATCACATCCAGCGGTCATCGAATAGTGTCATCTCCCCAGGTCTTGGTAGAGATTACTGCCCTGCCAAGCAGGTTTAGTCCACTAGTATGTCATTTACAGTCTGTTAAATAGAAATAAGTGGATCAAACTTGTACACGACTTCGTCTGGATCGAGTGGTAATGCTGAAAGTGGGTCAATAACTGGGTAGAAAATGGTCAGGAATTGACGTAAGCACAAACTCATGCCGTTCAGCTTCGCAAACTCACTAATCCAAATCAAACAGGGTTACTCATCTACAATGGGCTGACTATTCGTACATCATTCCCCAAAGTAAGTTGTGATGCTGAAGTTTGGACTTGCGTTAAGTGGTGGGTAGAGCAGTATTTGTTCAAGTCTACAGACCAAAACTCAAATATCGACAGGGACAAGTAATCTTACTTCTAAGTCAACAAACACCGTGTTGAATTCAAGGAAGCACTGTTTTTTAGCTTTAAAATTCACTTCCTCTGTTTACAATAATTCTTTTAAGTGGCTTTCCACTCCTATCACATGAAAAGGACAGGCTAGGTCGTCTCCTGTGTGAATGGTTGGGACCAAGATTTAGTGACAGGAGGGCACAATCTTTTGACAGTGACATTTAAATATGGACGACATTTCCCTTTGGAAAGCAACCTATACTCAGTGCTAAACTAAATAGCCACTCTTACGGAAGACCACCGGAGAACGCACATACTGAAATAACCATACTCCCTACCAAGATGTACCCCGGGAAATACCAAAATAGCCATGGCCTTGGCCTCTTGATGCCTCAGCATGGTGCCAGGGCTCACGGATGCCAGTGGTGATGCTGTAGATGCTGGGAATGCAATAATGAAGGTCGCACCTTGCTCCCTCAAACAGGTCAACGATGTACTGACTGGCTCTGTCCCGCGAGAGGTCATCGGAGATGCTGGAACTGTCCTGCCGGATGAGGTCTCAAAGGCCTGGGTATCTTGATGAAAATATGCCTATCTTAACTATGTTCGGAACCCTTGTGCAAGAATAAGGACTTGTGCAGTGAGGATAGCGAGACGAGTAGGTCTCTGGTTCTTGAGAGGGGTTTCATGAGAGTTATTCAGATAATTAGAGTCAAAGCAAAAGTGTGCCTGGTTTTTGAAATCACAGAACTCGTCTCAATTGCCTCCATCAGAATGTCCTCAATGTCTTCAAAATCTGAAAGTCTCGCCTCCCCGACTTTTGTCTGTTTCATCTGATCAGCGGGAATGCTAACATACACAAGGGATGAAGATTATCTAACAAAGCACTGATACGCTTTACGTGACCAGTTTGTCACATTCCCCACTACTATCTCTGCAGAGGTACATCCTCTGCGACTTGCGCCATAAACTCATGGCGCGTAAAGAGACAAAGAGAAAAGTAATCCATGTGCCATTTGTCATTATCCACTCTGGACCTAATACCATACATTCCCAACTCATCTCCACTGCCTCTGCCCAGTTTCACATCTTCGTCTCGGAAGTATTATATCAAGCTGCTTTTCCGGATGTAGTCCCCACCAAAACCCCAAATTGGCCTCCCACTCTGCATTCCAAGCTTCAATCATCTTCACATCTGGACCCCAGTGAAACTCGAACTGAAATTGGTCGACGTAGCCATCCCAGGTATGATATGGAGCTTTCTTTTTAATGGCTTGTTCGCGCTCGTTCATTAGCAGATCGAGAAACGAGTGTTCAGTGGCGGTGAATTGGTGGTGTGGAGGGGGTTGAGGCATTGGCTGGTGTGGGACAGTGTAGGAGAGGTTTGATTGTTGTTGCTGCTGTTGCGGTGCATGCGAAGTGTGATAATTGCTTGCCGGGCTAGCAATGGAGCTTTGAGAATTTGAATGTTGCATATGCAGTAACTGTTGAGGAGTTGGCGCCATGATGTAGGGTTGGTATAGTTGCGATTGTTGGGCTTGTTGCTGAAGCTTGGAATCCATGGCGACTGCTAACAGAGATGATATGACCCTCTTCTTTGGAGAGTTGGAGAGCTTCGGAATCAACGTCGCAAACGCACTATAAGAGCTTCTGTAAAGAATCAGGTTTCATGATAATAATTGTGGCCCTCACAGTCATGAGATTGGAAGTTAGGAAAGAATGTGCCATTCACCCTCAAAATGAAAGTGCGACCGATCGCCCTAAGTTTGGCTTCCGCAACAACCGAATTTTGGCCTACCAGATTCCCGGGAAGCTAATCCTTCTGCACACGTTTCTCCTAAGAGCGTAAATAAATATCTGAAGTCTTAGGAATATCCAGTAACTGATTGACTAGAGATCTAATCAATTCGCTTTTGCATGTAATTGCTTGTTCAACAAGCGCACACGATGATAGATGCAATTGTTTGTTGATATCATAGCTAAGCGAGCTGTGGGGCCAAGCCTCGCAGGATTCATTTTTTGCAGATCGATCGAGACCGCGAATCCAGAGTCAAGGTTGATAAGATCGTTCTTATCCTTGAGTAATGTCACAAAGCATGGGTGATTGCTTAAATTCGCTGGTAGTACTGAAGCTCCGACTGAAATGACGCCCCCAAGGATGGCTGAATTCACGGATCACGTGTACCTAACCAGTGGCTACCTAGGTAGGTAGGTTCTGAAAAATAAGAAAGGAAGATAGTAGTGGAAGTTGGTAGAACTAGCACGGCGATCAGAAGTGCGTAGTCGGCACCGTAACTAAATAGAGGAGTTTCTGCCTGCTTTATGGTTATGCGAGGTGCGGTGACACTGATATGTGAACAATGAAGCCCTGCTATGGAAAAGAGTGTTTTAGTACCATAAAACCTTTGATAGAATATTTAGGTTCGGTCACAGCTTCCGTTTTTATCGTTATCAATACGTGAAGGTTAGGCGAGAACTGCATCCCTCGAATTCTACGCTAGCCTACCCCTGTCCATCACCCTCTGCCTGCTTCTTTCCTTTCACATATCGAGATCTTTGTGCTCGCCAAACACTTTACAACAAGATCACCAAACAAGCAATCCAGCATCCTTATCTTACGCTGACGTTTTGTCTTTATGCTTTCGCACCTTTACACCAACTCGCCTTTACACCAACTCACATTTGAATATCTACCAAGTTCCCATTCACAATAAACGAACCAGACTCCAGCACCTCATCCAACTCACTTCGAAATGTGTCATTTCGAGTACGTCCTCCACGGCTGCGGTCACAAAGGTCCCACCAGCGCCGTCATCTGCCGTCATATGGCAAAGGTTGTCAAGCCCAAGGTTTACTTCAGGACTATGCCGTTCGTCAAGATGGCGACTTGTGAGTTTCTTTACTCTCGATCTTCCCTATGCCCATTTGCTTTGAGCTTTAACTCCTATATTGATGAAATTTCTTGGAAATTTGAGCAAGACAGGGGTTAATTTACTTGCTTCATTGACAGGGGTCCGCGTCTGTACTGAGTACTGGGGCGAGAAATCCACGCACGTTTCTAGGGAGGAAGATACTCTCTGCTATGAGTGTATTCTTAAGGGGCGTGAGAAGCAAGTCCTTGGCGCTTCTGCTTAGATAGAGAGCATGGAAGATCATGGAATGAGCTCTACAGGTTATGTTAATCGAGGATGGTACATCCTTGACCTCTACAGGTTATGTTAAGGTAGGATGGTACAAGACGAGGATTTGGTGTTGATTTTTCGTGTTGCTGGAGCTCTCCGTTGTTTGCATTTGTTAGTTGAGTCATTGTCTCTAGCGGTCATGAGCGATAAGCAAGAGTAAGAGACAGAGCGGGTTTTCTCTACCCCTAGAGCACGCAAGGTCTTTTGTGGTTGTTGTCAAGGAATGGCGTTTATTCGTTTCATGGATGAAGGAAGGCCACCTGCTCACTTTCGAGGTCCTTGTATCAGCACACTTTTGATGTTGGAATTGCAGATCTCTGGAGAAGTCTGACAACAGAATTGAACTTATGAGGCTATCCATCACCCTCTCCCTCTCTCCACCAATACCATCAACGACTCTTCCGACACCTGCCTCCTCGCATCCCGCCGCAATCCCAACCTTTTAATGCTCAAGATCTGGAAACAGAGAATATGTACTGCGCTCTGTCCGCGCTATGAGGAAGAAGCTGCGGGGAGATATGGGAGGGTCGTAGACAGATTTTGTGGGACATGCTTGGTAGAGAAGGTGGGAGAGGAAGCGAATGAAAAGTTCGGAAAGGAAAAGGTGGAAGACGAGACGAGAGAGAGGGAGGTGGGACGTGAGGTGTTGAGGTTGTTGTGGATTGGAAAAAAATTAAACTAGAGAATGGAGTTTGAGATATGGGGAAGTCTAGGTACATAGATACACAGATGGGAACGAATACAGTAGGTGCCAGTTGATTGCCTCAGAGGAAACGTGGAGAAGATATAGAGTCGTCACGTGATCTTGACCCCGTGGATGCTGGTCTTGGGTACTTGTGCAGGGCAGGTCCAAGATGAGGCAGATGGCAAGAGTATTCAAGGCAGGTGGGCGAGTAAGAAGCTGGCTGAGCAAAACACTTCAGTATACTAGATGACCTACCTCCCTTGTCATATGAGACGAGACTTTGAGGAGAAGATTGCTCACAGCCGACACCATGGCACCTGGTGGCACTGTAGATTCTGAAAACATTCTTCATCCATTACTTGCATACATGCCTATACACTCCAACATTCCCAATCTCATAATTATCTAACCATCAAGTCCAAAAACATATTTCGCCTTCAACACATACGGACCATCCTCTGGGCCAAAGATCTGTTTCTTCTCTCTGCCCCATTCAGGATGGTTGATGCCATCAATGTAATCCTCAACCTCCATAACCACACAGCCATACTGCTCGATAACTCTTGGTCTATCCGCGACATCGAAGAGTCCCTGGGTGGACTTGAGTACTACGGAGCCGTTCTGTCCGCCGCAGGAGTACATCTGGAAGGCGTCTTGCTCGGTGAAGACGGAGACGGAGATACCTGACCAGGCGGAGGAGAGTTTTGCGACGGGAGCGTCTTCCCAGGAGTATGGGGTGGGGCGAGCGGTTATGTAGCAGGTGTCCGTGGGAGGGTGGTTAGCTTAGGGTTTTCTCGTAAATAATCAAGCACCCTTTTCCATGTCCACCCAGGTGATAGGTAGGAATAAGCAGAGGGGGAAGAGATAGGAACTCACCATAACCAGTGCAATTGCCACCACAGTTTCCAAGAAGATCAGGGTTGGTGAAGTTAGCACCAATCTGCTTTGGCTTGCTCCAGAAATCATTCAAGCCATCCTTCTCGTTACCGAGGATGTCGCCGGTGGGGATAAGAATAGAATCAGTGGCGATACGCTGTCCAGCATAAGGCATGTGAAGGGTGTGGTTGAGAGCAAGGCCGGTTTCGTTGTTGGCGAAGCCGTCAAGGTTCCAGTAGACCTGTTTGGATCGAAATCAGCATTTTTCACTTCAAGGTTTTCCTTTCCAATAGGCGAGCGATGCTGGTAATCGGTCGCTTGACTGGGCGTTTTTAGGAGGGGAAAGGAGAGGGGAAAACTCACATGACTGCTCAACATAATTGGCGTCTTCTTCTCCAAACTGAACGCTGTCATACTGATATCCCATGTCTTGTTGCCCAGAGTATACGTGACATAACTGATCACCTCCCCAGGGAATCCCTGATCACCAGCCGGGTCGACAAGGCTGAAAGTGATGCTATTCTCCGTATGCGCAACGACCGTCCAGTTCCTCCAATCCCAACCATCAGGTCCACCGTGCAATTGGTTTACTCCGTCTGGGTGATCGGGAGTGGGATGCTCGTTGGGGAGAACATTGTAGGTGGTGCCGTCAATGGAGAATGTTGCGTTCTTGATGCGGTTGGCGTAGCGGCCGGGGACGCCACCAAAATGCGGGTGTTGCTTGTCAATGCCGTAGTAGGTAGCATTGTCCCAGCCGGTCACAACGTCGCGCTCGACGCCGGAGGTGTCGTTCAGGAAGAGATTGGAGATGGAGGCACCGTAGGGAACGAACAACGCGCGGATGTCTGTTCCCGTGATGAGGTACTTGCCGTTCGCATCTGCGCCTGAGCCTGTGCTGGAATTGCACTGTTGGGTGGCAGCTACGGCAGAGGCCAGGAGGGCAGAGGAGAGAATTGTAGAGCGCATGTTGACAGATTTGCAGCGTCTTTCAATTCCGAGGTTCAATTGATCAATTGAGGTGAGAGAAGCTCTGAGTAAATGGAAGTAACACAGAAGACTCGGTGAAGGAGAGAAAAGAGAATCGTGAGGGGTAGGTAGCTCCAGCTTTATACCCTGACAACAGCTTCCAAGCTCTCAAGCTCCCTGCATCCTGGGAGCTCACATCCCTCCCCTACCATGCATCATCTCGTCCAAAGTTCGCCAGGAACGGCGCAAACTAGACTATTTTCCTGCTAGGGACCCCTTCTGTTGGTTCATTTGACGTGAAAGGATTGCAGGCGGCGCAACCAGATGGTCTCCCATAACGCTTGTGTCTAAGAGCACCTATGAGAAAGCTCGAGACGTTAGTAGACAGAAAAGTGACTTCTGCACCACTCTAAAAATGCGGGGAAAGCTTGTACCCCATAGGACGGACCTGGCTCTCCGAATGACAAGCAACCGTCCGTGGACTACACTACACTACCTATGCCTTTCCTAATGCTACATCTAGGCGCGGCGACCTGCGCCGGGTGTTGGCTAGAATGAAAATTCGATAGCTCGCACCAAGTCCATGAAAAGCTCCCCAGCCCGGGGAGTTCGGTGGAGTATCGAGTATGGTCCAGAGATGAGATGACGTTGAAGCCGTCTCGGCTGATTGGTGCGTTTATCAGGATCGGCCAAAACAGCTCGCTACCCCAGCCTTTCCCATCACAACCCTAGTCCCATGGCGTGCGGGGTTGACAACAGTCACTGCGCTTCCCTGCTATCCCCAGTAATTTACGTTCAAGCTTTTGGCTATTCCGCCCGCATGTGGAGGCGTGCATCGATTGTTTTGTGGCACTATTACTGGTGCGCATCTGTGTGATGGCACTGACAAGGGAGATTACTTCTGGAAGGAGAATAGCAGGGAAGTTTGGAGGAAGGGGAGGAGATTCGGTGCATGGGAGAAGGTCAGTTGACTCGAGCGGATACGAGGAACTAGACAGCATCTACTAGGTAAGCGAGGTAAGGTGACTACTGAGGGGAGCTTTTCATATGTCGGGAGCTAGTGGAAGGCAAATACTCTGTCGGGTTCTGTTCCCGCTGCTGGGAACCTTGGACGTTTATTTGAGCAAACAACTTCATTTGCCAGGGAAATTTGGACCCAAGGAAAGGTCTTGGGAAACGAAACTAAAATCCACGAGGAAAATTGCACACTACTGGCACGCAGGACCCTGTCGATCCTGGCTGGGTTGTAAAGTCGTACATTCTAGCCTTCTGAACTCCTCTCGATACTTACAATCCCCAGTGGCAAAGAAACAGCTTCCGCCAGATATCAACACTGTTTCGCTCCTCTGTGTTCTTCCCTGATCCTTCCAAAAGCCACCCCTCTACTTCTCGATTCTCATGCATCAATCAAATTCTCTTCCTGGCCAGCTCCATTGGGCTTTGCCTCTTCACTGTTGTCCTTGGTATCTTTGCTTCCCTTGCCCTTACCCTTGCGGTCTGCAGCAGATCGTTGATAGAACTCTGCAAGGACCTTTCCTGGGATACGATTGAGGAGTTCCTTTGGATAGATTCTCAACAAGCTCCATGCCTGGTCGAGGGACTCGTAGATGGTTCTTGATTCGTAAGGTGATTGTGAAATAAAGGTTCGCTCAAACTTCTCCAAAAACTCGAGAGAAAGCTTGTCTTCAGATGACAAAGCTTCTTCGCCAACGACTGCTTTCATGGAAGCTGCATCACGACCAATGGCGTACTTGGCATACAGCTGGTTGGAAACATCTCCGTGATCCTTTCTGGTCAAGCCCTCTCCAATGGCAGACTTCATAAGACGGGACAGCGATGGGAGGACGTTGATTGGTGGGTAAATACCACGATTGGACAATTGACGATCGATAAAGATTTGTCCTTCCGTAATATAACCCGTCAAATCGGGAATGGGATGAGTGATATCTTCGTTAGGCATGGTCAAGATAGGAATCTGGGTAATGGATCCATTTCGTCCTTGAACACGACCAGCACGTTCGTAGATGGTCGACAAATCCGTGTACATGTAACCAGGATATCCACGACGACCTGGCACTTCCTCACGGGCAGCGGAGACCTCACGAAGAGCATCACAGTATGCGGTCAAATCAGTAAGAATAACCAAGACGTGCTTCTCGAGCTGGTAGGCATAGTATTCGGCGGTGGTAAGGGCAAGACGAGGGGTAATGATACGTTCAATTCTAGAAATCGTTAGATGTTTCGCGCAAACACAGTCCGCCTTTACTTACGTAGGGTCATTGGCCAAGTTCAAGAACAATGTAACACGCTCCAAACTGCCGTTCTCCTCGAAATCTCTGGTGAAGAATCGGGCAGTTTCCAAGTTAACACCCATAGCTGCGAAAACGATGGAGAAGTTGTCCTCGTGTCCATCATGTGTTCCCTTGTTTGTGACACCCTGCTTCTGAACCAAGCCAGCCTGTCGACAAATCTGGGCAGCGATTTCGTTATGCGGGAGACCGGAGGCAGAGAAGATGGGGATCTTCTGTCCACGAGCAATCGAATTCATCGTATCAATGGCAGAGATACCGGTCGAGATCATCTCTTCGGGGTACACCTGTATGTATTAGCTTTGCATGGCTATGCAGTAGGGAAAGAACCCACTCGAGAGTATGGATTAATGGGACTTCCGTTGATATCCAAGTAATCCTCTGCAAGAACCTTTGGTCCCTTGTCGATAGCTCTTCCAGATCCATCAAAGATACGACCCAACATGTCTTCAGAAACACCAAGCTTTAAACTTGTTCCTGTGAACTCCACTTTTGACTGCGGGCAGTCAGTATATTACCGTACTCAATTGTCGAATGACCATACCCTCTTGACATCGATGCCAGATGTGCCTTCGAATACCTAGTCGCTTGTGAGCCCTCTACATTCGCCATCCCCAATTTCGGAATTTGTACCTGAACCACAGCTCTGTCACCTATCCGGTAGCAAAATCAGCACATATCCAATTGATGCGATTGACACGAACTGCCTACCTCGAGCTTCCAGGACCTGTCCAGAGCGTTGTGTGCCATCAGGCAGCGTCAACGTAACAATTTCATTGTATCTAGGGAATTTGACCTTCGTAGACATCAGCATTGTCGAATCCTACTCCAACTGCCCCTCTCAACAGCACTCACATTCTCCAGGATAACCAAAGGGCCGTTGACACCTCCAATGGTGTTGTATCGGATCCTTGGCGTAACGCTGTATGAGGAGGGTTCCCGTGGGTCTCCCATGACGGCGATTCTTGCGTGAATCAAAGGCAGAGCGTGAGCAGCAGCTGAAGCTTGGATGAAGCTTGCCTGCGGTCGTAGGGTGGTGTCGATGGAGTGCGAACTGGTGGTCGTGGGGGAGGTTGGACTTGCTTTGGAGAAGCTCAAGCTTAGCTTGGACATGGAGATAAGTTACGTAAGCATCAAGATTCTGGCAGCCAAGCTGTTTCGTCACTTCGACTTCAACACACCGATGTATGTATTAATACCGATTCTTTGGAAACAGCCAAATTGAAACAAAACAATTGTCATGATCTCCATGGCTTTTCTTTGGCTTGATCATATCTGCGCTTGTGTTTAGAGCGAATGTGGTCGCGGAAGCTGCCATCGCTCGCAGATACTACTTCTGTCCGAGCTACGTACATCCTCATGACTTTGCTTTTTCCATCTATTCCCAGGAAGAATGCCATCAAACAATTTAATCATATACTAATCTTTAATTTTCCGACCTTCTCCCTTCCTTCCCCTTCTCATTTCTCTGCCCACTTCAAGGACACCAAATAGCTTAGAATAACCACTCATCCCCCTCAGAAAACAAGGCAAGGAGACCTGCAATTCAAAAGAACTTCTTCGACCAGGAGCTCTTCGTCCGTGTACCCAGCTTTTCTTTCACATTCCGGATCCTGTCTCTAATCCTATCTATCTCGTGATCAGTCAAGGCTTGCATGTTTCTCAAGCAGACACTCACAGGTAGACAGCCACGCCAGCCATTATGAAGATTCTGTGCCTCTCCGAACTTGGATTTCTACATTCGTTGCTGGTTGTTGCGTTCCAGAGTACGTCGTACTAAAGCTCCAACTCTGCATCGCATCGATATATTCGGGTCATTCCTACCGAACCCAGCCAAGGTACTGTTCCTGGATTTGACCGAAGTCGGGGGTCATGGGCATCCAGGATATGACTGTAGTCACAGGAAGTTCCATACTGCCAGTAGAAATGTTACCACGATAGGATCCTCGCATTGGCGCTTGGCCCCCACGGCTGCCGGTGACGAGTACCGTGAAAGTGCTTGAATGTTTCTGGTACATTGGCAATGTCAGTGATGCCTAAGTCTGCAAATTTCATCCTACAACTACGCAGTAACAGACTTCGTCGTGTTACGAACTAATGTTCTGAGCACTTCCAATCACTCAGCCATTCGGCTCGGGTAGAGGAGATCAATTTGGTTCCTCGGCTTGCTTTCAATACTTGTCTCCCAGTCCAAACACCATTAAAAGCACAATATCCAGGACCCACCCTGGCGTTCGAATTGTCAAAATCCAAGGATGGCAGACTAATAAGCAGTGACGGAAAACCCACTTATGTTGCTGCCTTCTCTACTAAAGTCCTGTTCCCCAATCTTCTTCATCCTTTTCTGTTGCCACTTGCGTGTCTCGTCTCCTTCTGGCTCTAAACTCCAAGAAGAAATCCAGCAATATAACCGCCCCAATAACTAATACTGGACCTGAACAAAATGCCGCAATCCTGGACTGCGTTAGCCGTCCTCGAGCAATGTATTGCCATTCCATGTGGAAGAACTTGGCGACTCTAGCCATTGGAGTCGCAGGGTTCGGTTGTGATTTTGGACCATCATGGATACGGTTATGGCTGTGGATTGAACATGGCGTTGGTCTTCCATAATCGAGATTGAAGTGCGTTATGTTTTGCGCATTTATTTTTTCGAAATATCCAAATGAAGAGTGCGGTGAGCGGCGGCGAAGGATGGAACATGAAGATGCAGCTGCCGATTCATTGATGTGGACTATTATAGTTGACTTAGATCCTGATGATGGTGATGCTCCAGAAGCGGACCGGTAGGGAAGTCCGCCCATCCAAGCTGGGAAAGCAGTCATCCTATATGATGCATTTGGCGCCTAGGCTGAGATGGAGTCTCCTCGTGTGTATGTGTAAGTCCACTTTTGGGAGTCAGGGAGGACAAGGACAATATAATCGCGGCGGGCAACCAGGTGCTGAGTGCTCTGTGGAAGATCTCTATGTAAGCGCAGGTGAAATGGAGATTGAGAATATTAAAAGGAACGAGATGTCAACTTATTTATTGGTCCGGAACCACTTCTTAGTCTCCACGCTCGCACTAGCCAAAATCCGCCGCTTAGCCAGAGACTTACGTCAAGCAAACACTCTTTGTGCACGACTTTTTCTAACACATTACCACCATCAGCTTATGAACAATCATTGGAACGCAACTTTAGGAGCCATTACCAGGCTGTCTCATCTATCGTCAAGAGCAGTCTAAGGTACAAATATCTTTTTGATTCGCCGATACTCATCACAGCCACAAAGGCGACATGATACGAGAAATAGTCAGACTTCGACGCTCTTGTAAAGGAATGTAATGCGAGTCCTCAAACAATCTAATCTAGAACATCTGGACATGTTCGAAATGTTGATACACCAGCCGGCAAAGAGGTCAAGCCAGAAATTCCGCCATCCCATTTCCAATTCCCACCCTTCATGTATCTCCCCAAGCCTTCGCTACCATTTCCTCAGTAGCCTCATTCTGCTTCTCTCTGACTCCATACTACTCCTCGATGCCCTTCTCCCAGTCCCATCCTTCTTCCGTTTCCTGCAGAACCAATTTCTCCATCGCATCAAGCAATTCGAAATGTTGCTCAAGGTATCCGACCCTTCTCTTCCTCACATCGATGTACTTCCGTATTTTCTCCTTGTTTACATCACTGACCCTACCGTCCTCCATCACGGGAAGTCCCATACCGATGTCTCTCTCGCAACGCATCTTCTCCTTCTCATACATCTGCCTATGATGCGCACAAGTCCTCAACTTCTCGCCTCTCGTTGCCGTGCGCCATTTTCTGTTCACAAGTGTATTGCCCGTATTGAGGTCGGTATCACGACGACTACCGCTCTCGGTTCTCTGCGTCGGAGGCGCGGTTGGCGGCTCGGAAACGAGCTTCATCGATCTCTCCAGTGCCGCCGAAGGTGACCTAGGTCATGGGTTGATTACTGCCGAGATCGAGGATACGTTGGCTGCCGGAGGTTTCGTAGCTGAGGTTGTGGTCGTAGGCGTAGTGCATGGCATCGGGGTGGTAGGGGCCACTCCAGTAGGTGGTGAAGCGGTCATTGATTTCTTCTTCTTCCACAGGAGCATCTTGGTGTCCGGGGAGATCTTGATTCTCAGACATCTTGATGGGATTCTGCCGTGTGTAGATGTTGAGCCACAGTGATGGTTTGAGGTATGATATCGTGAAATGGACAGGATATCTTCAGGTATTTAAACAGATTGGCCATCAAGCTTACAAACTTATTTGTGAAAGAGAGTGACGACGTTACTTTTTGTAGGTTCCTTCAGGGACGGCTTCGTGCCGTTTCTCGGAACTTTGCAGTTGTGCAGACAATATTGGCTTTGTTTCATACTCGCTTAGTCTTTGTTTACTTCCAAGATTCAGTACGCCGCTCCAATTCAGGAAGTTTCGGTTGTAATTCACAACGTTTATGAAACATTTGATACGTTCCCAAATCACCAAATCCCTCCTTTCATGTTTGAGTGTTTTTGAATCCTTTGAATTCATGCTTCGATTTTGCTGGATAGTTTCCTATGTGAGCATGTTCAATCATTACATTGGCAATGTCCTTTGTATTTTATGGAACGGGGATCTTGTAAGCGATGGACTTCTGAAAGTCATTTGTTCTCAAGCTCACTCATAATCAGAATCGGAAAAAATGCAGTGGAACTAGTCTCTCAGCTTTATTTTAGTACAGCTATGTATGGAATGGATCGAGATAATCAGATGCAGAAGATTGTTGAGCGCAGGAGGAAGCTTGAAAGATAATTGCGTTTATGTACATATTTTCTCCGATCATCTAGCTTTACCTCAGTGATCATACCGGTTGTTTCAACAGCTCCTTACCAATGCTGTTTATTCAATGGACGTCTAGCTAAATTTGAGTTAGGTGCTTGAGTGGTTGTGGAATTGCAAGACTCCAAGAAGAATTTGAGTGGAAAAAATACTAACCTTGATTGTAATCTGAAAAGTAAATCTGCGAATGTTTGTTCCTCTGAGACATCTGATAGTTCACCAAGCTCGCCAAGGTAGTGTGAGAAAGTGACGGGCAAACATCGGCTAAACCCAACCTTAGCGCGGGTTGGAGGGGTAACTTTTTGGACCTTGATGTACCTGTTTTCGTTCCAGCAACCACAACAAAACAAACCAGCAGAATGGAAGAAGATCGAGCACAGGTCGACCTAGGAATCGCTGTGGATGTGGAGGAGCAAATAGAAGAAGCTGCTGCAGCGCAAAGATTACCCAAGAAGCGATTCGTGGGAAGGAGGCAAGCCGCAGAAGCAGGGTTGAAGAACGACCCAAATGGTTCGGTGGAGGAAAGCGGCGCAATACAAAGTACGATCTGGAAGATATACTAGTGGGATAATACTGATCAACCACAGTATCAAAGCCCAGAAGAGCCCCTCGAACCCTGAACCAAGTCCCCTCCGAGATCCTGAACGACCCGGACATCAACGCTGCGATCGCACTCCTCCCTCCGAATTATTCCTTCGAAATTCACAAGACTATACACCGAATCAGAACAAATGGGTCGAAAAAGGTTGCTTTGCAGATGCCGGAAGGATTACTGCTTTTTGCAACGACCATATCGGACATTTTCACACAGTTCTGCCCAGGAATCGAGACGCTGATAATGGGAGATGTGACATATGGTGCATGCTGTATCGATGACTACACTGCAAGGGCTCTTGGATGTGACCTGCTGGTTCATTATGCACACTCTTGTCTTATTCCGGTAGATGTCACGACCATCAAAACGCTGTATGTCTTCGTGGATATCAGTATCGATACAACTCATCTGCTGGCGACTTTGGAGAAGAACTTTCCATCTGGAAAGACAATAGCTATGGTAGGGACAATTCAGTTCAATGCGACCTTGCATGGAGTCAGAGCACCATTGGAGAAGGCGGGATACAAACTGTTAATTCCACAAATTGCTCCGCTCAGCAAGGGAGAGATTTTGGGATGTACATCACCAAGGCTGACATCTACGGATGGAGTGGATATAATTCTGTACCTTGGAGACGGGAGATTCCATCTTGAGAGTGCCATGATACACAACCCCACCATTCCGGCTTACCGATACGATCCGTACTCGAGAAAGCTGACACGAGAGAGCTACGATCACAAGGAAATGCACACTCTGCGCAGAGAAGCCATTTCGACCGCAAAGTCGGCCAAGAAATGGGGTCTGATTCTGGGTTCTTTAGGTCGTCAAGGCAATCCTCACACAATGGATTTGATCGAGAAGAAGCTTGAGGCGCTAGGAGTTCCATATATCAACCTTCTCCTCAGTGAGATCTTCCCTGGAAAGCTGGCCATGATGAATGATGTGGAGTGCTGGGTGCAGGTTGCATGCCCAAGATTGAGTATCGACTGGGGCTATGCTTTCCCGAGGCCGCTTTTGACACCGTATGAGGCGTTGATTGTATTGGGAGCAAAGGAGGATTGGGACAAAGGGAATGGCGGAGTGTATCCCATGGATTATTATGGAAAGGAAGGTCTTGGAAGGACCAGGGAAGCAAAGGCTATTTCTGCGACCGGATGAATCAACAGCCCAAGAAAGCTGTAGCATCAAACACGATATCAATATGAGCCATCCCCAAAAGTCCTCGAGAAGAAGGAAAGATTGGCTGGGCACGGAAGTGTATGCTTCTGCTGAGTGCAGGGCTGGGATGTTAGCCTTGAAATGAGGTCCCAGGTGCAGAAACATGACATCCAATGCTGGGTGTACGACTGCTATTCTCCCAATTCCTGATTCAGGTATGAGACTCAGTGATGGTCCACTGACCAGCTCTCGAGAGATGACAGTATGAGGGCTATGTTTGGACAATTTTCGGGGCGACAACCTGTCTTGGTTTCTCAACGGTGGACTAAATATAGTCAAGAGGCTCGGATGAATCGAGCATTAAAGTATCTCCTGCATTTCTCCTCAATGCTCTTTCATGTTCCGCCGCCATTTTCCACCTTTACCAATCACTAAAAATGGAATATCTTAGTATGTTGAATCAAGCTATGGAGCCCCTCTACTTGTTTTATGGAGCCTGATGCATTTCTTTGTACCATATTCTCTTCAAGCCGCGATCCGTCTCATTCCAAAGCAGGCGGACTCACCAACTGGGACCTAATAACATGCTTTGTCTTCCCATGCAATCTTCCAAAGGGTTCCGATCAACATATTTAGAATCACAACCCATGACGTCGCTAGGTCTCAAGAAGTATAAATACCAAGCAATTTCTCCCAGTTTGCAGTTTCCTCTTCCTTCTATATCACAAAACCAAACATCTCAACACTCCAAACACCAACCAACCTCCTCAAACAAACACAACAAAAACCAACCAACACAACACAAACAAACCCCTAATCAAATGTCCTAAAACTCGCACAACGGCACCTGGGGCGCCGCTCAAGGCTACATGCCCACCGGCAGCGGCGCATGGTCCCAAAAAAATCCTCGACCACCTGTTCAACAAGCTGCCGCTGGATATGGCGGCGCAGGATACAACGCCTTTTCTGGCGGTAACGGCGCTGGCCTTCTTTCCAACGGACAGGCCTATACTCCTGCGCCTGTCGGAAGAGAGCCCCCTCGTCGTCCGCCAATTTTCCATAAACCGAATAATTTTGGACCGGCCAATGGACCGGATGGGAATGGGGCTGGTGGATATGGAGGCGGTGGAGGATACTTTGATGGAGATGATCCTTTTTAGATGGAAGGGGGAGCTGGTGATGTGGAGGGAGAGGATTAGGGATTGATGGGTGGGAAGAGGATGAGTGATCGAGCGGATGGGCATGGCTTTGCATATTGTATACGCTCTTTTGATAGTAGAATAGACCATTGGACTTTTCAAATTCTTCCTTCTGTTAGCTTGGTAGTGAAATATTGACCACGAAGAGCGAGTCATTACCAAGGCTGTAGCTTCACTGGCAAAAGAGAAACTCGCTTCCCGCACCAGCACAACCCCAAACCAGTATCAACATCAACTGTCCTCCCTAATCTTCTCATCTACAGCATCAAGAACCATCACAGCCACCCTCTCTATCCCTTGAATTTCGCTCCCCGCCACATGACACCCCCGGACAACAAACGAACACCACATGCCAAAATAATGGCAGTCCCCTTTGAGTCATACCAAGCACGTGCGGGTGATCAACATGACTTTTTCACCATATCATTCCCGCGAGACTGCGATTTTCACACGCTTCTCACCCTCGACCATTATCTGAAATCGATGAACATACCTTCACATTCCACCCTCAATATACCACACCGATGGCCTGAGCCATCTCCCGATATGCTCTGTCCACCTCCCCATCAAAGCTGGCACTGCGCTCGGATAGAAGCTCAGGCGACGATGTTGAGCCTGTGTCGACGCTGGAAAGGTTCAGTTGGGGGGTGGAGTTGGAGGTGGGAGTGGCCTTTTGTTTTTCTTTTGGCACTTGCACTTTATTTGTGTCGGGACTTGATTTAGTTCTTGGATTTGCTGTTCTATCAATATTGTCTTTTGCTCTACTCAATTGTTCCACGTCCTATCAACCCTATCTCCATTCTCATCCACGCGAGTGCCAGGACTGGAGCACCAGATGCAAAAAAAAAATCAAAAAAAATCGGAACTGTTCGTACACTGTGTTAGTGGGCGTTGAAGTCAACGTTCTGCTCCCCTCCTACTGGCTGTCTTAGGTCTCAGATGGTCGGCATCAAATCCTGTTGGGGGATCGCAATCGACAAGAGTGTTGATAGTTGGATATAAGGCTTTGCGGTTTTTCCAATGATACTTTTCGGTTGCATGTTGCTGATTTGTCTTGGCATTTTTCATCTTATGAGAGGTGTCTGAGATCGTGATTAGACAATGGAGAGTTGGGGCGAGGCGATATAACTGAAGAGTCTCTGGTCTTTCGGATATCGGCGGATTTGCACAGCCTTTGATATTGTTTATCTTAGGTACAAATACCAGAAACTTATGTGGCAAAGCATGTAAAAAGAGGAGAGGAACTATTAGAACCCCAGAATTGAAGATGTTCTTTAGATGCATTCCATGGCCATCGTTTCCACAGGTTCTCTACTTACAGAGCAACCCTGTCGCCAATCACCACTTAGTGAGACACGACCAGGTCTGAAAAACAGTTTGTCTGTCAAATGCCGGCGGCTGGCGTCGATATTTCAACCAATTCTCGGGGTCGGTATTCTTCCATTCCGGTGCATCTTCCAAGACGGATGAGGCGACAAAATATACATACCGAGAAGCCGAGGAGAGCACACTCCGGGATATCTTCTTGTCGCGTGCGCAAACACTCGGCCAGTTCGGCACAGAGAACTTCAACCGAGGGCATGAGCGACGCCACTGATTTGTGTATTGACTCTTGTGCGGGAGTAAGGATTAAGTAGTTGAATTACAGTAGTTTTCGTCCGTAACGGACGCAAGATGCAAGATACCTTCACATGCGGCGTTACCAGCAGACCTGCAGCAAGACCCTGGCACTGTCCGCTTCAGGCCTAGGGAACGCCCTATGGCTGTCCGTCCGGGGCTTTAGTCAGCGGGCTGCACGCTGTTGTTTGCCCTATTGGTCGAGTCAGACTGCCTGTATTAGGACCCTGGGGGAAGCTTATTTGACACTACAGTCAGCGGCCGTGCAGCGTAAGCAGTAGCTCAGTAGTGGTCTTCAATTTCTGGGTCTAGTCGCGTCAACATCCTCGGCCTCGTCTCCTGATGGCTCCTTGTCTTCGAAGCTCAAGCCGCTTCATGGCTCACTCATGGTTGGATGCCGTGGCGTCCATACCTGGTCGAGTGAGATTGCCATACATTAAGCCCGATTAGTGTACGGCTTGTCCCTGGCTTCGTAGCTAATTCCTAGCTGTTCTCCACCATTTATACTTTACAACGACGTCTGCCAGTTCTCAGCCTTTTCCAATGCTGCGATATTAAGCTCCTCTTCCTCTCAATACTGTTTCACACGTTTTCATCTCTCCACAGCTCTTGGGAGACGATTCCGTAGACAGAACTCACTCCAGACTTGACGAATATGTCAGTCGCCTCGGAGCAAACACTCGTCGGCGAAGTAGACCACAAGAACGAGTACTTCCACGCCAAAGCATCAATCCGAGACGACGGCCGCGTGAACATACATCTTCGAGATAAAGCGTCAGCACTCACAAAATACCTTGAGAAGCGGTCACGACATCCCCGAGGCCATCCACAGATAGGCGAGGATCTCACGCCGAACAACCGAGAATACGAAAACAACTTCCAGTCCGTGCTAGGCAAATATGCAAACTGTCCGCGATTGAATATCGCGATCCATATCGTTGGATCGAGAGGAGATGTCCAGCCTTTTATTGCGATCGGTAAGGTGTTGATGAAAGAGCCGTATAATCATCGGGTGAGATTATGTACGCATCCCGTGTTCAAGGGATTTGTCGAGGAGAATGGACTGGAGTTCTTCTCCATTGGAGGCGATCCTGCGAGCTTGATGGCATATATGGTGAAGAATCCAGGTCTGATGCCTGGTATGGAGAGTTTGAGAGCGGGTGATGTGGGTGCACAGAGGGCCTCAATTGCGGAGATCATTGAAGGTTGTTGGAGGGGCTGCATTGAGGCGGGTGATGGGATGGGAGAGAAGTCCGACAAGAAATATACGAGAGAAGAGGAGATCGATCGTTTGTTCATTGCAGATGCGATTATTGCCAATCCTCCGAGCTACGGACATATCCACTGCGCAGAGAAATTGGGTATCCCTTTGCACATGATGTTCACGTGGGTCAAGGTGCTTTGTCTGTCTGTGTGTGTGCTGATCATTGAGTAGAATGCCTTGGTCACCTACACAAAACTTCCCACATCCTCTTGCTTCACTGGACAGGAATGAATCAGACCCTGGATTTGCGAATTACATATCCTACACCATGATGGAGCTGTTGGCTTGGCAGGGGTATGTGAGCAGTAATTATTTCAGTGAAAAGCACTGACATGAGTCTAGTCTGAGCGATGTAATCAACGGGTTCCGCGTGAAGACTTTACAACTTGATCCAATATCTCCTCTATGGGGCCACATGCTACTTTCCAGGATGAAAGTTCCATTTACATACATCTGGTCTGTCACGCCCGCGAATTAGTTTACACAGCTAACACAATCTAGGTCTTCAGCACTAATAGCCAAACCGCCTGACTGGGGATCGCATATCAATATCAGCGGCTTCGCTTTCCTGGACCAGTCTTCTTCCTACACGCCACCAGACGATCTCATGGCATTCCTCAAAGCCGGTCCGCCACCAGTATACATCGGTTTCGGGTCCATTGTTGTCGACAAACCCAATGAACTGACGAGTATGATCTTCGGTGCTGTGAAGCGTGCTGGAGTTCGAGCTCTCGTCTCAAAAGGCTGGGGAGGTCTAGGAGCAGCTGATGTACCCGAAGGTGTGTTCCTCCTAGGAAACGTTCCCCACGACTGGCTCTTCAATTACGTCTCGGCCGTTGTTCATCACGGTGGTGCCGGAACGACAGCTATTGGTATTGCGATGGGTAAGCCGACCGTTGTGGTACCCTTCTTCGGAGATCAGCCATTCTGGGGAGCAATGATACATCGGGCCGGTGCAGGACCAGAGCCCGTCCCATTTAAGAAGATGACAGAAGAGTCACTGGCGCATAGCATAACGACTGCTCTTGGTCCGGATGTGCAGCGAGATGTCAAGATGATGGCTGAGAAGATTGCAGGCGAAGATGGAGCAGTTGATGCTGCTGCTTCATTTCACCAATCTGTCAATATGGATACGATGCGTTGTTTGATGCGCCCAGATCTGGTGGCGCATTGGAGAGTCAAGAACACGAATATTCGGTTGAGTAGCTTGGCTGCCGCTACTTTGCTTGATGCTGGAATGTTGAAGTTCGGGAGTCATAAGCTGTGAGTCTCATTTAATTCCCCTTACGTTTTTCTTTATATCCCAACCTACCCATGCTAACACCATCCAAGAGTTCGTCATAGAGATTGGTATGTCGACGAAGGTGCAAGCGACCCCCTCATTGGTTTCATCTCAGTAGCCTCCGGGGCGGCCACAGCAACTATCTCCAAGACCGTTCAATACTCCAAGGGCATGTCGAAAGTAATACACAAGAAGCCCCCAAGCGAATCTGAATCCGCAGACGAAGCGCCATACCTCGAACCATCAACCAGTCTCGACTACTACCCATCTCGCAACCCCGTACAGCACGCTGCGCATTACTCACCGGCACATCTCGATGCACTAGCCTACAGGTTAGCGAGCAAAACATTACCGAATGCGAAGGATAGGAAGAAAGCTGAGCGTACGCACTCGTGGAGTCCACCGCAGAGACTGCCAAATATTCTGCATGGAAGTCACAATAAGACGGTGCATTATCATGGGAGATTACATGATGCTAGTGTTGAGACTGGGCATTTTGCTTACTCGATGGCCGCGACTGTTTTGAGAAGTAGGTCTTTCCAGATTTCTTGCCCATCTGTCTTGGCTTCCAAGCCACAAGATGGACGCATGGAGTAGATAAATTACTAATGCTCATTAAATCAGTCCCCGTAGCATTCTTCTACAACCTCGCCAACGGTTTCCACAACGCCCCCTCCTTCCTCCTCTCCGACGACACCGTCCGCCGCCGGGATAACATCACCGGATTCGGATCCGGCGTCAAAGTCGCCTCCAAGGAAGTCTACTACGGCCTCTATGACGGCATCACTGGCCTCGTCACACAGCCCTACTCTGGCGCTCAACGCGACGGTCCAGTCGGTTTTGTCAAAGGTGTGGGAAGAGGCATTGGAGGTTTGGCGTTCAAAACTACGGCTGCGGCGTTTGGTATCCCGGGCTATACGTTGAAGGGGTTGGAGAAGCAGTTGGAGAAGAGGTATAGCAGGGGGTTGAAGGCGAATTTGTTGGTTGTGAGGATTAAGCAGGGGATTTTGGCGTTTGAGAGGGCGAGTGAGGAGGTATGTTGTTTTTGTTTTTGGGCACTGCACTGTGTTGTGTTTAAAAGCTAATGTTCTATATAGGAGCGAGAAGAGATTCGAAAAAGGTGGGTGGAGTTGGGTTGTGATTCTATGTGAGTTCTGCAGGGAGCTGCACTGGGTGGGCAGAGTAAATGGGGGGTTCTGATCGCATGGCGTATGATACCACCTGTAGCATTCCATCTGTTAAAGTTCTTACTAATAATTATAAATTCCTTAATACCAATTTTGGAGAATGCAAATTACTACTGTAAACCAACATTAATTTTAAGAAATTCATTGGTCCGGCACCCCGTATCTCAAGTTCGCTTAACCGACATATTCCCATTTCGTCCAGGTAACTCTGTTCACACCCTCTTCACAAAAGCTCAATCATCACCAGCGCCTTCTGTCAATTGTGTACTTCACCTAGTAGCCATCGCTACAGCAATCCATACATTCCCAGTACCAAGTCTCGTTTCTACAACCAATGAGCGGCTCTGACAACATATGTTGCGCGAAATACAGGGCGGAGTTCAACGTCTCGCTTGAACTCCGTATCCGCATCACAACATGTAAGATAGTTCTCATTCAGCGAGTTTCGTTCAGCCAACTCACATGAGAACGCGCGGATGGCACATTTCCAGGTACAGTGAGTCACAATTCGATGGGCAGAGAGTCGAAGTGTGAGATTTTAGTTCGAATTCGAGAGATAAGATGAGGAAGGCAGCACGGAGATGGTCGGGGTTAAGCGAGGCTGGGTGTTTTGATATGGAATGATGGTATACAGAAGAGTAGAGAGGGAGTATAAATATCTTAACAGATCCCCAGATTGTTCTCATCCATCATCTTCATTCTCACACCCTTCTTTCAAACTCTGGTTGATGCTCAAACGTCTCTTATCTAACTTCATCAGAACCACTACCAAATATCCAGTTCGGAACACTTCTCACTTCTCATCTCACCACCACCAATCTCTCCACACCCACAACAGAATGCCCACCCGATCTCCAAACCCCACAACCGGAAAGCTCGCCCAAGTCTCCTCCCTCACCACCCACGCCGAAACCCACCTCCTCACCCCCTCCCCGCTCCTCTCCTCCGCCCTTACCACCTCCCTCTCCTCCGGCATCCCACCAATCACCATCTCCCCACTTCAAGGGCAATTCCTCGCGCTACAATGCAAACTCATAGGCGCGACCCGCATCCTCGAAATCGGCACCCTAGGCGGGTACTCCACACTATGGTTCCTCTCCACGGGGGCACACGTAACAAGTATAGAGATCAACCCTCGACACCGCGACATCGCGATGAAGAATATAGCTGCTGCGGGGGAAGAGGTGGCGGGTAGAGCTGAGATTATTCTTGGTGCGGCGTTGGATGTTATGCCGAGGTTGAGGGAGGAGGGGAGGGGAGGGTTCGATTTTGTGTTTTTGGATGGGGATTGGGGGGAGCAGGGGGAGTGTTTTGTGGAGGCGGTGGGGTTGTGTAGGAGGGGTGGGGTGGTGTATGTGGATAATGTTGTGAGAGAGATGTTTGAGGAGGGGGGTGTGGATGGTGATGGGGATGGGGAAGGGGGGAGGGAGACGCTGGTTAGTAGGGTGGGGAGGATGGAAGGGGTGAGTGCTACTTTGATTAGTACTGTTAGTGGGTGGAAGAAGGATCCTGAGGAGATGGTGGATGGGTTTTTGTTGGCTGTTGTGGAGTAAGCGGTTGTGCGTAATGGGGACTATGGGATCAGGTATTTAAAGCTTGGAATTGATAAATAGGTCCCGGATAAGATTCAAAATTTTGATTGATTTTCAACTCGAGTCACTTGAAGCACCCTTCACTGGTACCTAGTATCTGTGGTTGAAGCTCGTGCGCCTCAACTCAGGACTGAGTCTTATCTGCATGCGCAATGGAGAAAGCATTATCAAGTACACAAGCGAACTCACCTGTACCAGGTATATTTTAGGCTGAAGGTTGGGTCCACCAACCCTTTTTCGAATCTCTCTGGCTATCCCAATAACGGGAATCTACAGGTCCGGATCCGATTACCACACACCAACTTGCAAGTGGGCCCCATCGACCATGGTGGGGTCTTGAAGATGGCTACGGACACCATGGAAGCTTCCTGTAACTTAATGCGAATGTGGAGAGTCGGTTAGGACTTGTCGAAGTACAGGTTCAGAGATCTTCGGATACTTTCTTTGAGCCAAGAAATAATGTGGTTACTGCGAGAGTGAGGAGACTGGAAAGTTATGGTGAAGGAAGCCAGTCACAAAATGGTTTTGAGACAAGTGTTGGTGAAGGGTTTGAACCTTTCTGAGGCTAATGTTGAGGCAAGACCAGTAGAGGCTGCAACAGTAACATTAATACAAACACCGCATGTAAAATAGCAGAACTTCACTGAGTGGCAAAGATTGTCGATCTATAATAGATTTCACCCAGGAAGATCCACTAGTAATATTATTTGTCCTATTAAATATACTTATGACACGAATAGCATCCCAGCCTGTGATCAGAACAACGCCATTAACCAGTTACCCATCAAACAAAAATAATAACAAAATTAACCTCGGAGACCTTCACTCCTAAGAATTACCACCAAGATCACTAACCACAAAACCATTACCCAAATACGCAAACCTGTTCTCCTGTTTCCCACTATCTCCACCTCTTCCATACTGAAAATCCTCCCAGCGGACATTCCTCAGCATCTCCTCCCAATGCAACTGACTCCCAGGATGCAACGCCGTGACTCTCTCCTCCGGTCCCGATGACTCAGACCCCATATCATTCCGTGCTGTCCTATACCAGCCACCGCAAGACGTACCAGCCCATGCTGTGCGTGGCATGAACGCTTGGATGTGCTCGTTGAAATCCGAGACTGCTGAAGACAGAGGTCGAATGGAGGAGTAAGCTTCTAGTTGCATCTTGCGGATATGTGAGAGGATGTAGTTGCACATGTGAGTGCTGAGACGGGGCACTGCGCCATGAGCGAGGGGTCCGTTGGGGCCTAGAATACCTGTGATGGAAGCGTGGTTAGTCGTGGTCTTGGATACTGCTATCATGTTGAAGGGATGACATGAACATGTCGAAACGGAAGACAACATTAATGGAAGAAGTACGTGGAAGAGAAAGAAAGTAACTGCAAACTCACGGAAGTAATTTGGCATTCCCTCAACCATCATGCTCATATAAGCTTTTGGGCCTCCCATATGTTCCGACCACGTGTCTTGTAGATTCAAGCCACTGTCACCGATAATGGGGAAGCGAGGCAAAAATGAAGTGTTAAAGCCAGTAGCGCAGATGATTGCGTCTACTATATGAAATTTGCCAGAACCAAGGATGATTCTGTTCTCAGTCACTTGTGTAATTGGGGAGGTTTCGACTTCCACATTAGGCTGGCAGAGAGCTTCAAGGTAGTTCGTAGAGCTGGTGATTCGACGGCATCCCACTGGCATGTTTGGGATCAGGGAGTCGATGAGGTGTTGATTACCATTGAGTTGGTTGGTCATGTACGCTCGGATGACATCCATGGATTCTCGAGCTTTATCCGAGCCATTGAGAATCTTGAGCAGAACTGTCAGCTAATAGCGAATTTGGCGGATATATGCAGTACTCACTGTCTTGAATGTGTCTTCTCTAGCCATACTGTCGATTTCATCCAAGAATAATTTATACTTCTGAGGGTCCTCAGCAAGAGTCCGAATCCACTCATCGGAGAACAAGTTGCTGGATCCTGTGGTGTATTGATGACAGTACCGAACGGCCTTGCTTGGTGGAGCAATCCAAGTCTTTGATCTAATGCAGTGCACTAACTTCTTTACATCTATAATACGAAATTTTGTAGTCAGTACTCGTTATCGTCTGAACATGTTAAATGACGTACGTGGTTGGATTGCGGGTACTATCTGAACCCCAGAAGCACCATTGCCAAGAACGGCGACTGTCTTACCCTCAAACTCGAAATCAGATGGCCAATTTGCTGTGTGTATCAGGTTGCCTTTGAAGGATTGTAACCCTTCGATCTGAGGCCACTTGTAATCACTGTGTGTTGTTTTAGCCGAGGACTCGAATTCATGATACCAAAACACACTTGAAAATTCCGGTAGCGTCGACGAAGATGTCTGCTTCTACTTCACTGCTATGACCAGTTGCTGTGTTCTTGATATCGAGGAGCCATTTGTTTGTCCCTCTATTCCATTGAGCATTTGATACTGTCGAGTTGCAATGGATGCTCTGCCTCAAGTCATTCTCATCTATCAAGTTCTCCAGGTATTCTTTGATCTCTGCACCTTGTGCGAAGACGGAGCTCCATGATAGGTTAGGAGTATGTGGAAACTGGTAGTGATGAGATGGGTCATCTGACGCACATCCTGGACTGTGGGACACGTTGTTAGTTGCGAAGTTCGGAATATCGATTTACATAAATGCTCTAATGAGGACAGAGAGACTTACTTTCTGTTCTCATACCACGTTCCCCCACATTCTGGATTCTTCTCATAGATGACACACTCAACCTGTTCAGCTTGATTTCTCAATGTGTGCAGCATATTCAAGCCATTGACACCAGCTCCGATGATGACAACTTTCAATGGACGCAAGGTTCCAAATGGCTGTTCTTTGACTTTGTACTTCGGTGTATTGATTGGGACAGCTGTAAGCTTGTCTGCTAGCTGGAAAGCATCGTGAGCACGGAGTGCTTCAAACTGAATCTGGTCTTGCTGCTTGAGATCCAATGGCAATGCTACCATCGGAGCGAGAGACAACAACATATTGAGGATCTGGTGGATTTTTCGAAACTTTGGACTCTGAGAAAGGCTTTGATGTTTGGTGTATTTCCTGAAATTAAGAACTCTCGTCCCAGAGGGAGGAATATATAAGAGCAGCTCATTCTATGAAAGATCCTCACCCTCGTAGTGGAAGGTTGAAGATCGAGAATAGTCCGACACATCGACGTTATCCCATGTTTTAAAGTGGAAGTCGGATCACCGTCCTGAGTTTATGCTCACATCACGCGGTGGCATTGGAGCTGTTGGTTATGAGAAGCCACTTGCCTCCACCAACATCTCGGGAATGTCGGCTCTCGGGTCCAGAACACCACCTCCCAGCTCGATAAACAGATCTTATAAGAAGGAGAATCAGTTTTTGGTTACACAGATCGCTGGGCAGGATACGTATTGGACTGAACCATCACCATGATGTAGTTTGCCGCTTCTAGCCCGAGAGCATTTGTGATATGTCGACAGTATGAGCTTGATTCCAACATTACTAACGTATTTTTACTGCTTGACGATCATTGAGATCAAGAGAATAGGTGATAATCACCGATTCTGGATGTCGTCCAGGCATTCCTTTTGCATCCTGGCAAACGTCATGGCAGTTGAGTTGTTTCCTACTCGAAGAAATTCGTATTTCAAGATCGGAGCCTGTAACAACAAAAGAGTCCACACAAGACAATCCTACTCACGGTAATACCAAAATCCAAATTATCGAAACAAGATAGCAATAATGGCTTCATACCTCCAGCGATTGTTATCTCTCGGGCAGAAATCCATTGTCACGACAGGAGACCCAGAACCGCAAAAGACACAAAATGGAAGAGACTCAGACCTCCTCAATTCCATGAACAAGGTTCTCGGTCTCCCAAAGAGCTCTGATGTCGTCGTCGTCGGCGGTGGTATCCATTCCCTCATCTTCGCCATCCACGCACGAACCATCGAGCTGAAGAAGAATCCCAGCTCCGCAAGTCGGAAGCATCCCCCCCCCCCCCCCCCCCCGCCCCCCAACCAAATAAATGGAGCTAACTCTCCATCCAGACCCAATAAGAAGCATTACCATCCTCGAGAAATGCCCATCTCCAAGCTACAAGATCGGCGAATCAACACTAACCGTCTTCGGGCTCTGGCTCAAACTCATCGGGATCTCCTCGCCCATGCTCTGGCGATTATTCGGTCCTAAAGACGGTCTTGCGTTGTACTACTTTAGCGAGTCGGATAATACAGAAAATGTCAATGGCAATAATTACTACACCAGCTTTGTCGCTAACGGTCCACCGGGAGATGTCGTCGCTACACTGCAGATTGAGCGGAAGGTCAGCGAGTTGATGCTTACGTTGTTTGCGCAGAGGCTGGGAATTACGGTTTTGCATGGGAAGCAGGTTGTCGTTGATGGGGAGACTGTGGTGGGTGTTAGTCCGGGTTCAAGTCCAGTATCAAGTCCAAGTCTGGGAAACAAAGAAGATATGGAAGATTGTGTGAATGTTAAATTTCTAGATGTCGAGACGAAGAAGCAGGAATCCATCAACGCACGACTCATCATCGACGCCACAGGTCGATTCCACCGATTCGCTTCAAAGGCAAAACATAGGATTGAACGTCCAGAAGGGTTCAACACACATGCCTTCTGGGCATACTGGGAGTGTAATGTTGACGAGGAGGATATCCCGCTGCGGGACTACGAGAGTGTGAATACGAACCACATTTGTATTCCAGAAGGGTAAGTCATCCATCCATTCATTCATTCATTCTCTTGCACATCCTTTCCAACTCCAAAAACCAAGAGGCAGTCATTGTCTTTTGAATATCACTAACTCAACGACCTCCTCCAGCTGGGCATGGGTAATTCGCCTCCCCACCTGGGAAGGCACCCCCCTCACCAACCTCACCGCCATGATAAACCACCTCCTCGACCTCAACGCGTCCCTTACCCCAGGAGACGCCTACCTCTCCACAGGCGAGCTCATCAAAAGATTCAACCTATCCTTCCGCTGGGTCATAAGTATCGGATTCGCCCTCCGCTCAGACACCATTTTCCCTTCCCAAACCATCTTAAACACGCATGGATGTTACGAAGAGGAGCAGAAGTTCAACTGGGTGGTCTCCAAGTATGCGCATGTGAGGGAGTTCATGGGGAGGTTCACGCTGATTGAGGATCTGTATGGTGAGGGGACGACGTGGTTTACGAGGAAGAATATTGCGTTTAGGGCACCGCGTGTGTCGGGATGTATTGCGAATTCAAACTCGAATCCAAACTCGAACTCTAACTCGAGTGTGAGTTGGATGGCCATCGGCGACGCAACGGGATTCACGAACCCGCTGTACAGTCCTGGCATCAACGCTAATATGGGAACAAGTATTTTCGTCGCCGAGATGCTGGAGTCGTACTTTTCTCCTAGCATCTCCCCCAAACTGAAATCAGAAGAAAGACAAGCGCTATGTCAAAAGTATGAGAAGTTCTGCGAGTATCGGATCGAGAATCTTCAGCGCATGAATGTCTTCAATTACATGCTTTTCCGATCTCCTGAACTCGGCCCACTTGGTCCGCTGTGGCAGTACCTTATTGGCACGGGGAATCAGCTGTTTAGGAATACGAGGGAGTATACGCTTGAGACGGCGGGGCAGAAGTTGCTTACGCGGTGGGATTGTCGGTGTAAAGATGAGAGGTATATTGTTTGCGCTAGCAAGACCATCACTCTTCTTTCTGGGCCGGTGAGCGAACCGCTTTCGAGGGAGAGGGTCGAAGAGGTGAGGGAGTGGATTATGGGGTGTGTGAGGGAGGCGGTGGAGACGGGGGAGTATAAGGGACGGTGGGGTGGGTTGTTGAGGTATTGTGATGATGGGTTGGTGTTTAGGGGGGAGGGGAAGAGGGAGAGGGATGTGTTGGCTAGGAGGTGTGAGGGGTGTGGGGAGTGGAGGATGATGAGGGGGGATTGTTGTAGGTGTCCGTTTTGTGGGTGGGTGCATCCTGTTGAGATGAGCACAAAGGTTTTGTATGGGATATGAGAAGAAGGTAATGATGGCGGGAGTAACGAAGTGGGAACGCAAGTGGCAGATGACATGGCTCTCTCTCTTATTTGGGGCTTACTTATTTTTTGTAGGGTGACTTAGGATGATCTTAATTTCCTTTGGTTTGGCTTGGTCTTGTTTGCCACTTATTGTGCTTTGAACATATCAATATGGAGTAGGGACATGATAGTCATCGCTTTTTTCAAGGCTTCGATTGACGACTTGAACATAGGTCTCAAAACCTTAAAAGTTGCCGTTTTCTGTGTTATGTTTACCTTGCCTCGTAAGCGAGTTTGTCGAGGAAGTCTTGGCACATGGCCAGTCACCAAATTCAAATAACACCCGTAAGGGACAAAGTGGTGTGGATACAGTGTTCACGTTGTAGCAAGCACACCACCTATCTCCGACAGTCTGTTTTCCAGAAGTTACAATTTCAACATTTTTCAGTTCCTACACGGACAAGACTCGGCACCAATGTGATTTGATGCTTAATGCTGTTATATACTCCTTTACATGATCCACCTATCCTATCCTACCTATTCAACGCCTCCAACACCACCTCGAGATCTCGTCCATTCTATGCCTAGTTCCCAAACGATCCATGCAATCTCCAACGAACGGCCGGCTACAAGCCCGACACGTACATCAAACCATAGCCGACGGAGATGACGACCAGGAGGGTAATGACACTAGATGGGATACCGCGACTGATGAAGTGCTTGACTTGGAGGTATCGCTGTCCAGTTTGTGGATCTTCCATCATGATAGCAGCTGAGGAATATTAGCGAGGTGCCGATGATAGTGGAGGGGAAAGGAAAGACCTACTCATATTCGGGAAACCAGAGGTAGGCAGGCCCATAGCAGCGCTGCACATCAAAGCACCGCCCATGACAAGCAGATTTGGATGTGGCTCCTCCATAGCCATTCCTACACTGTGGACGAGTGGAAGAATGATAAGAGCTGCAACAGTGTGCGAGATGAAAGTTGCCACGACGAGGATCAGACTCGCAAAGACGACCAAGATGGCGTACAGAGAAAGTCCTTCGACTTTATCGGTGATGGCTCCGGCGATGGTATGGAGGAGCCCAGATGAGTTGACAGCTTTGCCCAGGGAGAGACCACCGGCTGCGAGGATGATGATTGTCCAGAGGAAGTTGTTAAAGTCTTCTTTCGTGAGGATGCCAGTGCCGAAGAAGAGGACGAGAGGGATGATTGCAATGACACCCATGTCGCCAAATAGCCACTCAAGTTGATGAGACACGCACCAGAGTATGATAGTTCCGAGTGTGACTAAGGAGATGAACCATTGCACACCAGAGAACTTATCCTTGACTGGGCGAATTGGTACGATTGTCGTTCCTCGTCCTGGTTGGAATGTCAGGAGCAGAATCACCCAGATGAGAAGGATCGAGATGATGCCGACTGGGAGAGCGATGAAGAACCATATGCCCCATGATGGCTGAGGATCCATGATTTGAAGGGCCACGATATTTTGTGGAGACGCAATTGGCGACAACATGCCACCAATATTCGAGGCTAGAGCAATGCCAAGGATGAGAGCTTTGGACATTTGAGAATCGGATGGAAGGTTTCGGAGCATGGGCTATTCTTGTTAGATAGAAGTCCGAATGTGGATAAAGGTTGACTTACCTGAATGATAGAGAAGCACAAGACTGGTGCAGCTACATTACTGATCCACATGCTTGCAAAGGCAGCTACGAACATGTTCGTGACAAGAACAGTCCGTGGTCGTGTACCAGCTTTGCTTAGAACGAAGGTTGCAATCCTTTTCGCAATGTCATACTTCGATAGCGCAGCGGCAACAGTGAAGCCTCCGAGCAAAAGCATGATGACAGGCGTCCACATGGCAGCGAAAATGTACTTAGTAGCAGCATTGGCTTCGAGCCGATGGTGAGGCTTTTCGTCCGAACGAACTACTCTCAAGACTACACATAGGAAGGGTATCATCAAGGACGTGACGAATAAAGGAATAACCTAGATAGTCAGCACTCACTCTGCATAGAAATAGCCAGTCTTGACATACCTCTGTTGCCCACAGCAAACTGACAAAAACCAGCATGGCTAAGCAATTCTGCTGTTCCACCTTCTTCATGATCGGAAGGTACAGAAGTACGATAAAGAGAGCAACAATGACCAAGAGGGTGAACATCGTTGAGCTGAAGAGCCATGTAGGGCACCTGAATCGACCAACTGGCGTGTCCAGCTCCTTCATATCTGGAATATCGTCATCGCCTTGAAGTCGTGCCTTTCCAGGATCATTATCCGCTCCAAGAAGCGTCCTTCTGAGGCCCATGTTCGCTGCTTGGGCTTTTCTCTCAATTCCGATCATTTCTCGCCACACGGTATTTCTCTCCCAAACGACGTGTTCCCGAAGGTGTAGCCGCAACTCTTTCTTTGCCAACACTACATCCCCTCCAGTGACAACATCCGCATATGCCTGCTCCATTTTGGTAATGTTCTCCTCGATGTGTGTCATTGTCTCTGGCCGGAAGGGATATGCAGGTGTGACGAATTTCTCAATATATTTGGACTTGAGACTTCGGTCACAGATTTTGTCATACTTCTTCAGTACCTTGGTGAAACCCGTTTTGTTGAGCTGAACGAATGACTTCAGCTCGCACAGTTGGACGTAAAGACTGATAGCCCGCTTCTTCAATGTAATGCCGGATGAGTACAAAGTTGAGAAGGCATCATGGGCAAAATCATCGTAATTTTGACTGTTCCTCCGAACCGACTTGCTGAATTCCGTTGAAGCTCGCATGTCCTCCGTCATGGATCTCCCGATATTGACATCGTATGGTGTGCTCTTGCTACGACCTGCCGCTGGTCTATTCTTGCGAAGGGCGGTATTCTCATCGTCGTCATCGTCACTGTCCTCTACGCCTTCGTCGATAGACCTGCTGACAGTGCTCGCCCTTCTCGGTTTCGATACGAAGCTCCTGAATATGCTGCCCTGCCTTGGTCTATCACTCGCACGACCGCTGGTCCCTGGTCTCAGAATTTCCTGTCCCTCTTGATCGAAATTTTCTGCCTCGTAAGATTCCTCGTCCCGCAGAAATTCGGAAACATCCCCGTACACCTCGAGCTCTTTCAGCTGGTAGAATGACGATATCTTCTCTAGCTCCACATCCAAAGCTCGCTGGAATAATTGGTCGGGATCGTCCGACGGTTGTATTAAAGGAGATCGTTCGGCATCGTCAGCAGCTGGGCGGTGGATGGACTTTTCGAGCTGGTAGATTCTGGACTTTGTTTAGCAAACCGTTCTGTTCAAGCGGCTGAACCAGACTATTCGGAACAGACAACCTACAGCTTCTTCAAATTACTGTATGCAATATAGTGGCTACTCCAGTCGGGCACCGCATTGAATTGGATACTGTGAGAAAACTTCATTTCGTCTGCCTCGTCGAGCTGACGGAGCTTCTCCTGCCTCTTGAGTTGTCGTTGGGAAAACTGAACCTCCTTTTCCTTCCGTTCTTGTATTCCCGTGTAATCGGAAAGTTCGTACTCCTCGAAATCTGCAAGGTGGACTTCGTGGGCGGCGCGCGGCGCAAGGACGCTCCCTCCTCCGGGCAGCTTGCTTGAGGGCTGTTTGTCGGTGCTGGCGGCGGGCCTCGCGGGATGACTGCTGCTGCTGCTGCTGGCAATAGAGGAGGGATGGACAGCTCGCGATGACGAGGCTATTGTGAAGGCGTGCAAAGCGTAGTGCACGAGTCAATTGAAAGCATAGCCGTGGTGTTGAGGGGCTCTATCTAGGTAGGCAGATCAAGGTGGACTTGACTAGCTGATCGGAATAATCAGCAGGCAGCGCGGCGTGGACCTCCCTCCCGCGCCTCTCGCGGACGGGGCAAGGCTAACAATGGGGAAAGTCGATGCACCGCGATATCCTGGAGTAAGGATGATTCGATGGAAAAGGCAGAGGGACATGCGCTTGTGACTGGTTGTCTCCCAGAAGGGTGCGAAAGATGGATGCAAGGCTGAGAATGACGCTGTGGTGCGAAAAATACAGTAGCATGGGATGAAGGGAGAAACTTGGGCAATGCTGGGCAATCATTTCACCATGCCCTCCATCCGGCGCCTGTGATTCGCGAGGGACCGAACAGCCAGGATGCCGCAGCGTCAAGATGGTGTGTCACGTGTGCATAAATATTTCGCTCGATCCAACCTTCAACCGACGACGAGTCAAGAATCAAGCTTGACGTGTTGTGAAGTCAGCGTTCAAACCTTTAAACAGCTCGTTATCAACTTCTAGGACGGTGGGGTTGGGTCCAGAAAGGTTGGAAATCAAGAAGTCAGCCGAGCTAATATCCGGGCGAGGTGTATTCGACATTTAGTTCTTCCCCTTCCCATCTTGTGTCCCAGGTGTAACGTTCATGTATGTTGTTTTTTTATCCAGTATCATAGCATAGATTCATTGGTCTCGACTTGGGTTTGTAGTCCAACACCCAATGATTAGATTTCCCAATGCGTCCTGTTCTTTCTGCAGCATAGTGTACCCTTAGTGCAGCTCGCCTGTTGCTTGTTTCGTTCTCACAAGAATAATTCCCCAATTTGTTCATTCGTTTCTCTTCGCTACACATCCATTATCTAAGATTGCCTTGTCTTACTAGTTGTATGTTGCCCCTTTATTTGCGTGGTACAGAACACATGGCCTGAGTAGCTCCTCTGGTCACAGCACCGGCAAGTAGTCGAGGTTTGGCACGGGAACCCACGACTTGGTCTTCTCATCAAACTTCTCCCTGGCTCTCAGTGCAGACACACTCTATGTTGCAATATGGCAAGACATGAGCATCCTTATAAGTAGATAGGTACTCCTAAGGTAACAAATTCAGCTGTCACGGTCACGTGTATCAAAGCCCCGAATTTTCCCCAATGCTTCGCCCCTAGTCACTGTCCGCCTGAAGCTCTAGATAAGCTACAAGATCACATCTTGGCTCTCTTCGTACTGATATGGCCTGGTTTGATCGGGCTTGGGACCACTAGACTGCTACCTATCCAAACTATTTGCAGTGAAGTGTCACGTGTTATGAACAGCTTGCGTCACAAGGAATTGTTGCTAAGTTGACTTACTGCTGACAGGCTTTGCATTGACCGATGGTGTAATCGAAATGTGTAAGGCGCCCTCCTTACCCAAATCCCTGCATAATTATATCTTCTATAAGCTGTAGAACTTGACTCCAGCACGTCACGCGCGCCCTGGATCCCGCTCCCCTCTCCTCCATCCGACACTGGCTTGCAAATGGAGGCTCCAACGCGCTTGAATGTGCAGCAATCATTCTTCGCCGTTACGAAGGATACCATTGTTGACGCACAAAACCCGACTCTGATCGGAGATGCCGAATCTGAGATGTGTCTGCGTGGTTGGAAGTCCCTTCCCAGGAGCATCTGCCTGTTAGGTTGCCCAGGGCCGTCGTCTGCTGCTTGACGAGAACTATGTATTCTTTCCAGCTACCTCTCAAGTTGAGGCTGAAACTCGATTACGTGCAAGTAAGCTTTTGAGTTTCGTGCTAGTCGAAGTCTACAACATATCATCAGTTGCATTGATTTGTCATGTCTGCCGGAGAACGGTCCTCGCTGTTGAGAATGGTCTACAGCCATTGGCAGCTGTTCGGATCTTTGCGAAATCTTCGGGTCCAGAATGCATTTTGACTTTCTGCGAGACGATGAGGCGAACTAAGCTTCTTGTTCTGGAAACTGGTATTGGTGAGCGATCAGACCTTCGCGAGACATGGCTTTCGGCTAGCAAACAAACAAACTTTTGCCGAGGGGCCCCACGTTTCGGATTGTACCAATCAACATATCAATGAAGTGAGAGTTTGTATATGCTTTGAATCGTACTCGATTGAAATCGGATCTGAATATGTTCCTGCATCAGACGTCGCGAATGGTGGAATTATGCCATCTGTTGTAAAATGGAACCTTTCTGCATCTCATCGCTGTCGTGTCAATTTTCCAGTTTCCTTACGCCTTGCGGAAAAATAGATTAGTTCATTGTTTTCCCGAGGATTCTATGGTCAGAGTTGCCACTCCAGACTTCAGCGCTCGCTGATTATCCACTTTGTGTCGTTTGGTGAGATCTTTACCGTTCTTGCTATTTCCTCTCGTAAAATGATATATGCATCATTCAAACACACCTGACCTTTGGTTGCATCGCACAATTCGTATATTGTTGCACGAGATGAAATGGCATCGAAGGATAATAAGGCAGACCTTAGTTAAACCTGCCGGGTTGGGCGTCGTCTTACGATTCATGCCATACCCCCAAGCCGCTCACCTCCGGCGAGACAAGCCAATCGTCATTCGATCACTCCTCAAACTCTAACGGGATGCTCCTTGATATGTGTGGTGTGACGAGAGAATTTCCTACCCTCTGATGATATGTGATACCAGATGGCAAATAAGCTTTGGAAGCCAACTTAATGTCCTTCTGGATAACTTATAGATGTCCTGCTTACCTCCGGGCTTCTCCACTTCACCTACACAATACTGCTCCACTTCAGCGACTCGCACCTTTGCAATGGGGTAAGTAAACAACACATCATTCAGTAATCGCATTTCTAACGTACTCCAGTGACGGGGAAAATACAGTTGTCGGTTCAAAGCCAGCGCCGCCAGGCGTGACACCCAACTTTGAACACCCCCAAGATGTTTTCTACACGATCAATCTGATTGTTCAAATCGCTTGCATAGCACTAACGACGCCATGTGTTCTCCTGAGATTATACATCAGGGCTAAGGTTGTCAAGATATTTGGGATCGAGGACTGTGAGTTGAACGTATAGAACCTCTTTACAGGTTTTACTGATGAATGTCATTCTAGGGTGCTGCGCGATAGCTTGGGTAAATCTTGATATAGGTTCAAGATGCTACGATAAGTTCTCACGATGAGCAGGTATTTGCGACCTATTTCTTCGCGTCGGGAATCGTACGTGAGTAAGATCATTTCGATGTGGTGTTATGTAGCTGATCAAGTACAGTGGGCGAAGAGGGGGGCGGCTATCACGATTGTATGTTCACTAGTCCACTGCCATTTATCTGATTCGCTTTATGCATGCATGTAGACCAAACAGAGCAGAGCCGAGTACTCGCTGACTTACTTGTCTCCATAGGGGAGCTTACAAAACCAGCATTCAGAAAATTCAAGAAGGTACGCATTAATGAATCAGCCAGTCCATTTCAAATCTAATCTTTGTGTAGACATTGTGTAAGACCATTTTACCTTTATGTGCAGCAGAGCCGCTATTCCAGCCAAACAGGGGACTTTGCTGTCCAAGACTGTACCTTCATACCCGGCAATGTCTTACAACAGATTCACTGACCCAAAGCGCCATGTAGATTTCGACATAATGCTTCATTCGCCCACAACATTCTTCGTGAAGGCAACATTACTCCTCATATTCATACGGGTATTTTCCCCCATGTCCAAGGCTGTGAGGGCAATATACGGCTTCATGATCATTCTACTACTGTACTACACCGCCCAAACTGCCGCGAAAATCTGGGTGTGCTCGCCTATCGGAGCTTTCTGTAAGTCCATGATGGATGCCAATGTTTCTCAATTTGAGCAAAAGTCTCCTACAAACAGGTTATCCCCACCGAAAACAGCTTTTGAGTTCTAATCTAATCCATCCTGTATCTCCACAGGGAACCCCGCGATTCGAAAATCTTGCATAAACACCCGCATAGTATTTCGTATAGACAATGCCGTCAGCGTCATCACCGACCTCGTCATTCTCATTCTACCCATTCCACTGTTGTGGTCCGTCCAGATGACACGTAAGAAAAAAATCGGAATCGGAATGCTGTTAGGAGCCGGCGGTCTCGCAACGATCTGTAGTGCCGCGAGGATGATCCTAACACTTGTACGAGATATTCCTGATGCGACGTTGGGGGCTACTAATTTCAAGATGTTGGCGTGAGTTTCTCCCTCTGTTCTTGTAATCAAAAAAAGAAAACTCGGTACTGATTGGTGACCAAGTGTCTCTGAGCTTGCAATCGCACTCGCCTGCGCCTGCGTTCCATCTTTCCACGTTCTCTACTCCAGACTCAGCGAGAAGTCCAAGGCGAAGCGAAGTGGCTACACGTCCAGCGTCAAGATGAGCACATTCGGCTCCTCTAGCAAAGGGTCCAGAGGAATCAAAGCCAAACCAGGCGTGGTATACATGGAGGGAAGGATCGACCGCCCATCATCACTGGAGCATATCTTACACAATACAGCAAATCCAGGGCAGGGATATGGGTATAGGGTGCAAGTATTTTCAGACATGGGAGCGGAGTCTTCGAATGCAGACGCGATGGCTCCTCCTGAGACTTGCAAGCAGTGTGAGCATGATCAGAGGACGATACGGATTACGAAGACGACGGAAATGGTTTAGCATTCTCGGATGTAATGCTATGCGTAATAGATAATATAGCACAGAACGGTAATCACACATGATGGCCCCGATGCACTGCTCGTTGATAGGTTCCAGGTGTAGTGGAATTGCCTTTCTCAAACTGGTCAGGCTATTTTCTATCACTCTTTCTGAAAGCAGCTTTGGGTATGCACGGCTATTGTACGTTTTGCGCCGAGCTTCCTTCGCCACACCTTCATCAGTCCACCCTCAAATTTTGCCACACCGTCAAGCTTCTTATGGAAGTTGTTATCTTTTTCACATATCCTTATCTTCAACGGAGGATGCAGCTAAGCCAAATCTTGGAGAACGACTTGGCTATTTCTTAGGTTTGATTGTGGGCCTTGCTATCTCTTCGGTGTCTTGTTCGAGACAGGAGCGAGAAGTAATGATAATGATTGACACGGATTTCAGTAGCCAAGAGTACAATTCATCTACATCCTGACACGAGAATCCTCTGGTCGTTGACCACCCGTCCCATCACGTTGGACATCCAGCCGACTTGAAAGGTGGCCACGATTTCATTGGGTGAATGAGGAGCGCTGAAGCAGGCTGAGTATTCCATTCTTCCTCTGCGATTCCAAGTTTGTTCATCCCACTCTAGCCTTTTTCTTTCGTGGCAATCATAATATGAGCAGCTTCGTATCCTAGACTCTCGGCCATCATCGGGTGGATGCTAAGCGATACAAGCAATTCGATAAGATCGAGTCAAGTACTCCTTGGCACGTTGTAACCTCGACTTGCTATCTCTCGCTATTCAACTAAAGTCGACAACCAGGAGAGGACAACTTCAGGGGAAGATAACACCATAAACGGTGGAAGAATTCTGTTGTCCACTCCAGAATAAAGCATGCCTCGTCTTTCCTTTTCAGTCTCGTTACCTCTCAATTGTTGGTCCATCATCTCGGCTCCAATACCGGAAGCGCACGACAAATCTAACATGCCACTCTCTACAAAACGAGAGCTCCCCCATCAAATATATCTAGCTCATAGTAGCGAGCCCAATGAGAAGCGTCTCGTTTCCAACAAAGCAATTCGGTGCGGCCATCGACTCTGTACGGTTGAAGTGCGGTCTTGGCAGCAGCTACCAAGCGACTTGGCCATACACTTCCGGAAGGCAACAAGCAAGACAAGACTCGCCCTATTTCAGCCCCCTGGAAACAACCTTATCTTGAAAATTACCAGGAGGCGCATGCGGGTGTTGAAGTGCGGGGATATTAGTGATGGCCGCAATAATACAGCTGCTGAGTGGCTCCCTCGACTGTTGGTTGATAGGATGATCTTGGCTACGTTGTACGGTCGTCTTGGTTCCACTGAAACCTTCCTTCATCGCCTGTCGCGTGGTTGACGATAACACACTTAACTCCAAGATATATCTTGGCAGCTGCCTTAACAAGCATGACAAGACAACCTGTCGCTTTCTAGTCGTACCAGATTCTCTTGGTGAGCTTGGGAGGGTCCAACATCCAAGATATCCTCTTTCTATTTGTCCGTGCCTCGCAATACTAGGTGGCCAAGATGTAGTATCACAAGAAAGATAGTGAAGAGAGAGTTGGATTTTGATTGCTATCTGAGAAATGATCGGCCCAGAACCAACACCGTGGTACAGGGTGTGAACAGGGAGACGAAGCTCCCATGTATATATATATGCGGCCTCCACTCGACTTTGTCTTGACCATTTCCTACGACCATCCATTTTCAATTTCGTGAGAGACGTCTAAACGTCGTCAACAAAATGGACGTCAAACGGAGTCTCGAGGTGACCCATGGCGCCACCATGAACGAACCAACACTTGCAGTTGATAATTCTCTCTCCGATGGTGAGAATCCCACAACGGTCGTTGACAGTGACAAGCCATACCCAACGGAGGAAGAGTTCGCGACTCTACCCAAAGTTCCCGGCCACATCCCTTGGACATCATGGACTGTTGCTGTCGTTGAATTTGCCGAGCGTTTTTCGTACTATGGTACAACTGCTGTTTGTGAGTATATGATTCAATCACTCTACCATCTTCGAACCTTTGCTAATGCTTGGATAGTCGTCAACTTCATCCAGCGTCCCCTACCCATTGGGTCCTCCACAGGTGCGGGCAAGATCGTCCAAAAATCAGGTGCTCTCGGAATGGGACAGCGTGCATCGACTGGACTCGTTATGTGTAAGATTCCTTCCTCATGGACTGTTTGCCCCTCAGAACTGACACTTCACAGTCAACAGTTTCTGGTCATACGTTACACCTTTGGCAGGAGCATATGTCGCCGATCAGTATCTAGGTCGCTACCTGACAATTCAGTACTCCATCGGTTTCGCTCTCATCGGCCATTGCATCTTGATCATCTCCGCCATTCCTCCAATCATCGTCAAGCCCAATGCTGCCATCGGAGTCTTCGCAATTGGTCTCGTTATCATGGGTCTCGGAACGGGTGGATTTAAGTCCAACATCTCGCCTCTTATTGCAGAACAATACAAGGATGAAAGACCCTATGTCAGGACAAACAAACACGGAAAGAAGGAAATCGTCGATCCTGCAGTCACAACCGCTCGGATCTACATTTACTTCTACCTCTTGATCAATATTGGATCCCTCACTGGATCTTTGGCCATGGTCTACGCTGAACACTATGTCGGTTTCTGGCTGTCATACCTTCTTCCCACCATTGTCTTCACCATGTGCCCTATAATTCTGTTTGTCTGCAAGAAGTATTACACTCATGCTCCACCTACTGGTTCTGTCATGGGCAAAGCAGCGAAGCTCATCGGCTTGGCGTTCAAGGGAAAGTGGTCAATCAACCCTGCAAAGACGTACGTATTAATCATTGTCCATGCCTTGTTCCTGCAATGTTTTCCCTAGAAGATGTCACTGACCTTCCATCTAGGCTCAAGAACTTCAAGCATCCCGACTTCTGGGAGAGAGTCAAGCCAAGCAACATTGCTCCAGCAGACCGCCCTGCCTGGATGACATTTGATGACGCCTGGGTTGATGAGGTTCGCAGAGGTCTTCTTGCTTGCAAGGTCTTCCTCTGGTACCCACTCTACTGGCTCGCCTACAACCAAATGACTGGAAACTTGGTCTCGCAAGCGAACACCATGGCTCTGAACGGTGTACCGAACGATGTCATCAACAACTTGAACCCTATCTTCATCATCATTGTTATTCCAATCATGGATTTCATCATTTACCCCGGTCTACGGAAAGCAGGAATCAACTTCACACCAATCAAAAAGATCTCATTTGGTTTCTTCCTGTCCTCTTTGGCCATGGTCTCTGCAACTGTCACTCAATACTACATTTATAAGCTATCTCCATGTGGAAGCAACATCAACGCACGCCAAAACGAAGGAGAAGACTGCTCTGCCCCATTCACAGTGTGGATCCAAGTTTTCCCATACGGCTTAATCGGTCTCTCCGAAGTCATGGCATCAATCACCAAACTCGAATACGCATACACCAAAGCGCCAAAGAACATGCGATCTACCGTCCAAGCCATCGCACTGTTCACCAGCGCCGTTTCCAGTGCATTGAGTCAAGCTCTTGTTGGTCTCAGTGAAGATCCTCTTCTGGTTTGGAACTACGGCAGTGTCGCTGTCGTGGCGCTCTTTGGTGGCATTGGTTTCTGGTTGACTTTCAGACGCGCGGATAGAGATGAGGATAGGTTGAATAACTTGAAGGAGAGTAACTGGGAGGCGGCGACAACTGACAGTGATGTGGAAAGCAGTGCGGATACAGGAGCTAAGAATGTTAATGTTAAGACTGAGGAGAAGACGGCTTTGTAAGGGGGCGTGTAGATGATGCTTCTTCCTCTTCTGGGTTGTGCGTTCATTATACCCGAAAGATCATGATCGACGATACATCTTTCGCACGAGTTGATGAGTTGATCCTGATATAAAATCGATAAATACAGTCTTAAGGCAGCAACTCCAACCTTTATACAAGTTTCTCTTGTGATGTTCGAGGTAAGCAAGAATGTGGAGCTCATCAGTGTTCGCCTGCAAATGCAACGATTTTCTCATGAGTACTGAGCACAATTCCCCCTTCTGAAGAGTTTGCTGCCGTTTCACAACTTGTGCAGCTACACAGATCAAGACACGGCGGATATCGTGTCTGACAAAAATTTACTTTGATAGAGGACTTGATGCGAGCCTAAGAAGAAAGGAGGACACCAAAACGGCGAGATGGGAGTGGTGTGACGGTCATGTGACGTGGTAGATGTTCACAGGAGGTGTCTTGGCATGGATCTCATCGTCTCACACGTTCGCATTTTCATCATTCCTACATTATTACGTACACTTTGACTCCCCTCCCAGAAAGATCCGTCCTTTCTACTGCGACTGGAAGGCGTAAGAAACTTACAGATATTACAAATCCCCTACCGGAAAGACTTCAATCCATCTTACGTACAAACCACATGATCTCGCGCCCTTTACGCGATTGCCCCTCATGCGGGGTCAATATGACTCCTCTCACGCCTTCAGATCCTCTACAAAATCTCTCAATCCTTCGTCTGTAACTTCCTAATACTCGATTATCTATCACAATGTCTTCCAGAGCCCTTATTGACAACAGCTATGCACAAACCCTCAAAGCCCTCCACAAACCAGGCGACCCCGTAGTCTTCGCCAATATCTTCGACCCCGCCTCAGCAAGCACTCTCATCTCCCTCAATGAAACCCATCCCGGACTGGTCAAAGCCGCAGCGACAGCCTCATATGCCGTAGCAGCCAAACTCTCAATTACCGATGAAGACCTCAATCTCTCTCAAAACCTATCTTCCGTGTCACAATTCGCTCCATTCATCCGCGATGCCGGCCTCCCCCTATCAATGGACCTACAAGATGGCTATGGAGACCAGCTCGTCGAAGCCGTCACGAGCGCTATATCAATAGGCGTCGTGGGAGCTAACATCGAGGACTCGTATCCCGAGAAAGGATTCGGTGGTGGTTTGGCCTGCTTGAGGAGTATCGAGGAAGCTGCCGGGAGAATCAAGAAAACCATTGAGGTAGCAAGAGATGCAGGGATTCCAGACTTTGTTGTCAATGCTAGGACTGATATCCTCTGCTTGAACCCTAACCCGGAAGGTTGGACGAGGGAGATGATGGTTGAGGAAGCTGTGAAGAGGGGGAAGGCGTTTTTGGCCGCGGGGGCGACTTCGGTGTTTGTTTGGGAAGGAGCTGGGCCGGCTATCACGACGCAGGAAATTAAGACGCTTGTTGATGGGTTGCAGGGCAGACTTGCTGTCAAGTTGGGATCTAAGAAGGATGATTTGTCCGTTAAGGAGTTTGCTGATTTGGGGGTTTGCAGGATCAGTATTGGTCCCAGTCTTTTGAGGACGGATACAGATGGGTTCAGGAAAGGTGCTACGCGCATTTTGCAGGGCGGGAAGCTTTGGAGTGATGGAAACTGATATGGTGGCAATTCATGTATAATTATGTTGAGTAGCCACACTTCGATGTTCAATATGCTGTTTATTAATTCTTTGATTTATCCTTCTCCGTTCCCCCTGTCTCCTATAGTAGTTAGGTCGTCTTGATTGCTCTCCCATATTCCAAGCACTCGAGTAAAGCAGTCTCTGGGTTTCTGAAGCAGTTTCTTAATCTTTCGGTGAGCTCCTCTCCTTGAGATGAAACAGAGGGGGTTTAAGCGTAGAGAGGATAACTTCGCACCTCTCTCCTTTACTCTCTTCCTTCTTATATGCGTTCGCTCTCCTTAGTAAAGCTTCGATTTCCCTACCTACCGTCCCTTTCTAGGTTTCTGTATATATATAAAAGTGATCAAAGAATCTACTCTAGTGTCTTTGGTTATTTACAGTATAGGGATAGGGTGGTTTTACAGCTCTCGAGCTCGCCCCCTCACTGTCGAGAGCTGAAGGCACTAGTTCCTGCCAAACACATCTTGCTTACCTTTTTGAAGTGAGACGAACGCACGATTAGACATATGTTTCTACCATACTGATGTTATAGTCTTTCAAGAAGGGACCAAAACTTCAAATTACTCGAAGTATCGAGTGCTTTCAACCACTCAGTAAAAGTATCTCTCTCCCGAAATACACTGTTCTTCGAGGAATCCCATCTGTCGTGGTGAGGAGATGTCAAAGTATTTTGGATATTGACGACTAGGGGGCCGATTCAGCATTTGCGTCATTGCTGACTTTAATTTTCATCATTTTGACCGAGTGACTCGGATAAAATTTCGATGTAGTTTCGCTCAGTTCCCTATCAGAAGCTGAAGCAAGAAAAGACGGGGGGCCTAAGATAAACCTTTGGCTGGTTTTATCAAGTACCCACATTTTGGACGACGCATATGAAGTCGAAGATATCTAGAGAACTTTGACTGAAGAGCACAGATCTCGGTTGAAGAGTGTTCTGATACATCAAAGGAGTTTCCTTAGGGAATTGGCAAATCGTCAGAAAGATCTCCTGAACTAATGCTCGCAAGTGACAGCTAAATTTCTCAATAAACGCACAACATGCCGTTGTGAACGTGGCATGTGACTTCTCGTCGCTTTTTATCAGGATGCATAAAGGTCATGCAGAATGATGATTTGTTATTCCACGATACCATTGTATTCAACCAATAGTCAGGGTTCCCCCCAGTGAGCATCATCACCTCCTAGTACTCTCTATGCTGAATTTTTCTATCAACTTCGTCTTCGCCTGTTGGAGATTTCAACCTGTCCATGAGAAGATTGGGGATACTTCTATCGCCCATTCAATCTCCTTACCAAGTCTCATTGGCTTCAAGTAGAGATTCATCCAGCTTCTCAGATTCTCTTTCTTCAACAAGGAATTATGCATTTCACTACTTCCAAGAATCATTCATTCCTTACCATTCAGTGAAGGACTATATTCAACGTCCCTCTCCTTACCCCTTGTTCACCTACAATCATATACGTGTTGCTTTGGTCAACCATTTAGACCTTTCACATCACCTGTGCCAGATTCAAGCCTCTTCACAGGTCGTCATGAATATAAAAGACGATGCCCCCAAGTAGTTTCGAAGCATTTTCAAACAGTCTCGCAATTCGAAGCTTTCTCAAAACTCCCACAGAAAGATAACTTCATACACCAGACCACCAAGACTCTGAGCCAACCACCAACAACCAACCACCACACCGCAGCTGAGAACCCAAAATCTCACCACCCAGCCCACCAAAATGAGCGCCCCATCTCCCACCCACCTCCTCATCCAAATTCGTTTCGACAACCTCCAACCAGCCAACAGCCCCTCCAACACAGCACTGATACCCCTCCCCACGCCTCCATACATCGCCAGCCTTCAAGCATCCCTCATCTTCATCATCGAACAGCGAGCCTTCGGCATCGCCAAGCCGTTTGGTCTGATGGAGAAGCCTCAGATAAAGACAAAGTGGAGCGTGTGTTGGGATCTTCCGTCACCGGGATGTACTTATGAGTTGCGTATGGCGTTGGAGAAGAACGAGGATGTGGCGAAGGCGCTGCAGATGATGGCTGTGAGGAGATGGAGAGATTCGTTTATTGTGGATGTTCAGATTCGTTGAGAGGTGAGGGGGATTTTGAGGGAGGATGGCATGCCCTTGTGGTTGTGGAGGTGAGGAAGTGGAAGGATGTTCTGCTTGGTGACGTGATGGAAGCTGGGAGCTCTGCTGGGAAACTATTGGATGGAAAGACGCGGGAGACATTTAGTGAATACTCTGGGATTCGGAGTTCAATATTTTCTTTTCTGGGGGTGTCTCTTGGATACTGAAGCCGTGAATATGATAGCAGGATGCTTGGTGTCGCGCTTGATCAATAAAACTATTCACAAACCCGCACAGGTGTATCTCACTTCCATCGCCACCACCTTATTAATTCTCAAAGTTACTCGACAAATGTTGTCATTCACTCTATATACTCTGAATTCCGTTCATATTACTTTGATTTGTCTGCGTCATGGCTTTCTGCTCTCCGACCTTTCGACATTTTTTCGGTTTATTAATACACCCTCTGCTCTCTTTGTCCATCCTTTCAATTCTCCACCTCAAAAAAAACTCCCACTCACTCCGACATCCCACAACATCTTCAACAAATCATAGCAGAACAACACAAACATGAAGTCTTTCACAACTTCCATCCTCTCCCTCTTGCTAATCCTTCTCCTCACCCTCCAAGCCGTCGCCATCCCAACCTCCGACATCGTCGAGGCATCCCTCCCATTGGATCTGAGCTCCGACTTCATCTACCGTGATCCAGATAATGGAGCGTTGATTCCAATGAATGGTACTATTGAGGTGAGTCTTGTATGGAATTCTTCCCCGGGGTAATTATCTAACTGGATACAGGAGAACCTTCACCTCTTCAAGTTCGACGACGCTGTCAACATCGCATCCACCAGCCTTGAGAGCCGCAACCCTGTAAGTTACTCTCACCTCCCAATTCTCCTTCTCGTTCACCATTGTGCTCCCTTCAAATAATCTACGTGTCGTTCTCTTCATCTCAAACAACTCTATCTTCGAGACCATCACTAACATGTCCCTCTGCAGCGTGGTCCACCCGATTGCCACCCTCCCCAAAACTGGAAGCCAGTCGGAGAAGCTCCCCTGCTGGATGGAATAGACTACCTGCATCGCATCAAAGGTGACATCCGCTTCTCGGCTCGCAGCTGTGGACGCGTGAGCTGTTCTTGGAATGCGGGTATCTTTCTTTGCAATGATGTAAGCTACCACCCTTTCCACCACACCCCCTCGACATGATCTCTGTACTCATTTCTCTCGCATTATTGGAGAAAGCATATGAGAGCTGGATCGACCGAAGCTCTGTCAATTTGTGAATGTAAGCTAACAATTTGTCTCCCACACAGAACTACGTGGAGTGGTGGGTCACAGCCAGCAAGATCGGTGATTACGCGCAGAATATTGCCAAGGCTTGCTGCCGTGACTGTATGGGTCAGCAATTCGATGATGCAAACTGGAATGTCTGCGTTGCAAGCAGTCCTTGCTAGTTTGCTTCATCGCCCCAAATCCTTGACTGCATAATGCTCTTTCATCATGCGTCATTGATTGAGGAAGGGTATTCGGGGCCTAGCTTTGGGGAGTGCCTAGGCATAGCTTCTTGCAGCAAGCTTTGAGGATGATGATGGTAGATAAAATCTCGGCAGCATTGCTTTACTTGCACTAAACAAATGGAGCCCAGATTTTCTATATCGATGCGATGCCAATCCTGCGTATCCTCGTGCAGCCATACCAAATCATTGTAGCCACTATAAAACATTAGCATCGATATCAAGACAATCAAGCGGAACACCTTGGTACCGGTTTTGAGCACAATTATCACACTGAATGTGCTGAAAGGATTATAGATCTGCAAATAGTTGGAAACATATAGAAATATTTTAGGCAGGTCACGGATTAGCTCATCAGGTTGCTTCTTGACATAACTGTCATTTTTCACAAACTCAACCCTAACACATCGCACTTTAATTGAATTTATCCCTACAGATACTATCTAGACAGACCAAAACGAAAATTGGAAGTTCTCCTACCACTGGTGGACTGACTATCTTTGGTCGTCGATATCAAACTCTCGACCAACCAAAGAACTTCCCTACAGCATTTGCCTGCACTGACCTAAGAGCATGAGCAAGTACCACACCTGACGGAAGTGATAGCAAAGAAAGCCAGAAAGAATAGAAAAAAGCGCAAAGTAATGTTGATCATCCCCTGCAAAATCGAAGTGGAGCCTGGCGTATGCGTGGTCTAAGTGTACACTACAAATGACCATTTCATGGCCGGTTGCTTCTGGACAGGCAGCATACCAACATTTCCAGCGCCAGAAGTTGTCATGTCATGTTTGGGGTCGGCAGCGGACATGTGGTGTGGCTGCAGTCGAAATGTATAGATGCCAAGACCATCTCTCAACAACGAAAGATGCCTAGTTGAGTTCTTCGAGGTAGACACAGGTCCAATTGAATCTATGTTCAGAGTCAGCCTGTACCCATACTCAAAAAAAAGAAAAAAAGAGAATAAAAAAGAATCAAAAAGAGACGTACCGGAAACAGCCTGAGACTTTCGCTGGAATTCGCCTCCATCGATAGCCTCCCAGATATCCTCTCTGAGCTTCTTCAAGCCATTGGGGGTCCAAAATGTGGCGTTCAACTTTGTACCACGGAATTGCAGGAAAAGGCTAAGATCGTCTGGCTTCTCATTTTTGTACTCAACCAGGCGATTCAACCGTGACAATTGATGTAGCTCTGCGAGTTTCATCCAGCCAAGAACAATGAGTTCGAACTCCTCAAGTCCATTAATGCCAGTAGGTCCCCATGAAACTAATGACTGACCAATAATCTCGTAAGAAATTGATCCAGTGGCATTAAAGATAACAAGTCTGCAAAACACAGTCAGCAGAAGTCCTGAAAAACAAATTTTTAGAATGCCGTATGATCTCTATATCAAAGGTACCAAACATGTTCCCCATGACCTTCTCGGAACAAAAAGTAAAACGTGGTCCAGTTGGGTGACTTACTCAGGCCAAATTTTTCTTATCGCGACTGAGTTACCGGGACTTGCCACCATGTACTGCTTGATATCGAAACTCGTACACTCTGCGTAGGCAAGCTCTCTGGTGATGTTGACGATTTCAGACTTTAGCGTGTTGCCATTCATTGCTCTGTTGATGCTTCTACTGAATGCAGCTAAGTTGGCGATGGCTGCGCGCTTCGTAAACAGCATTGTATCCCATGAAGTGAAGTCGCCAATGCCGTGGATATTGTTTGGTTTGTTCTGGATGGCTGAGATAGAATTGACTAGTAGCGACGTGTCTAGAACTGTGAGAGGATAGTTGTTTTGAAGGGCGGCCGAGGGTACAGACTCGTCAAGTGTCTTTTCAAAGACTTTTAGGCTGGTTGGAATGATAGTTGAGTGTTCGAGGCTCGACTCTAGAGGGACCATTCTGAACTTCGACGCGCCTTTCAGTACAGTAGTGTCTTGGGTTAATATCTCAGGTATCGGCTCTGGGTGCGAGGCGACAAGAGAACTTCCTTCTATGATGGCGGCGGATGAGTCGCTAGCGGATCGATGATTTGGCAGACGAACTCTCTTCTTCTTCGGCTTTCGGACTGGTACGAAATGTCCAGCCTCGCCGCCCTGTTGTGAATTGGCTCTCCTTCTCGTCAGGCCATTGTCAATATGAGATGAAGAAGACATATCTGAGCCAAGTCTTGATAGATTCGCGATTGGAGGTCGAGTGGGCTTCGTTGACGTCAATTGGAGTTCAGTGAAATCGGCCATGGTGCTGCCACTCTTGACCTGTTCAATACTTCAATCAGGTAGTATTATTCGACGCGACACGTTGATCGTAGGACTAGAGTTGTTGGTCTTGGAAACCAGAAGTACAGTTTCCGAGCGCGTTGAGACACGAAAGGTAAACAATCGTGATTTTTAAGCGAGAACGCTAAACAGGCTAGCGTTGGATGAGATCGGCCCAAACATTGATGAGTTTTCTTTGACTGTGATTGGCGTGGCTGTTGTGGATATATACCGCAGTGCGACTACAATGAATGTGCTCCGAGAAAGTCCGACGAATAAACAAAAGGGGAACTTAGAATGGAGCCAATTTCGAAGCGCACGACGTCGATTCACATATGAAGGCGAGAGTACTAACGCTGCAAATGACATATCGCACAAGTTTTAGAAACTTCAACTCCCAGTACAGCACGTAATCCCAATTCCATAGGTGCTTACAACTCTGGTTAAATGTACATCGGCTACTGAACAAGTTCTGTGCCAGGTTTCGTGGAATAGGAGAACGTCAGGTGTGAAAATATCAGATGCTCTAGATATGGCGATCTATCCTGTCATTAAGTAAATTAGTGCCACATAAATTAATCAGCCTCTTATCTCTCATTTAATGTATATGTGGTCACCGCCAGATGAGGTGAGTTCATTGAGGACAGCATTGACCCCAGCCAGGATCAACGAATCTGGGGAGTTCCTCAGATAGTTTGCCAAGTCCTCCTCAGCTTGGATTTCTGCAGCAAGTGGTTCTATCAAACCTTCTTGAAGTAAGTCTCTGATATGTATTCCGAATTGGACGAGACTGTCACCTAAGTCTTCAGCTGCTTCTTTCGTCCACTCCTGGCTCGAAGTGAGCAATGTGCCTAGATACGATTTCATATCGGGTAGCAACGACACCTTGGTAAACGCAGCTCTGGCTTGACTTGCATCCTTTCCAGCTTCTTTGAGGACATTTTGTCTGAGAAGTATGTTGTTGAGGATCCTTGCCTTTTCACTCATCAGACTCACAGCATATTCCACGAGAGCAGAATCACCCTCGATAGCTTCGTTTTTGGCCATGTTGTCCGTCTTGGATCTTTCATGCTCTGAATGGAAATTATCCCAAAGGATGCTGAGCCTGGCTGGATTGATACGCGCATTAAAGTCTTGCACGTGGAGTGTAACATTTTCAAAGGTAGTCCATTCGTCGCCTTTGAGATCTATCGCTTGATCAACATAATGCTACTAGTATAAAATTGTGTTTTCACTCACCAGATTGATCCAGGTCTTTAATCGCAACATCCCCGTTCACCTTGATAGTGATGCTCTGCAATAGGAGTTTCAATCTGTTGCTGGTCCAACTCTTGAACCCTGTCTGGATCTTGTATACTTCTAAGAACGTCTTCAATCGCTCTGCCGTAGAAGATACCGCTCCTGTAGTCTTTTCAACATCTTCCATGCTGCCTGACTCTATCGAGCGCATCCAAGAAGTCACCACCTGCTGGAAGATATCTAGGTCGTTCTTTGAGATTACTTGCTTCAAAAGGTGGAATGAAACCACGCCGATGTTCTCAAAAATAAAAATCTCTCGACGTAGTCTCTCCAATCCGATCTTTGATGGAATATCTTTAAATGACTCGGAGTTTTTCAAATCATCCATGGTCCATTTCCTCGCTGTCAGGAAATCGATCGTAGTGGACACGAGGGACTGAGTAACTGGAACTTCTGTTTTGTGCAGACTCTTGGCTATGTCTGCCATCTGCGATGTATCATTATAGGTGGCTGTGACCAGAGAGGACTGTTGCATTTTGGATGCCATTTTGGTGACTTGTGGACGATCGGAAACAACGGCCTCGGTACCATCACCCAAGCAGTTTTTGCGCTTGCGACTCGTACTCTTCCGAATTTTGGTGCTAACAATTGTTTTCGTGATTCTCTCTTGAGATTTGAAATATGTTGGTGCCGCCAGTAGCGGCTTTATCTTCATGGTTGAAGACATGGGAGACTTGACTGGAGGTTTAGAAAGCTGAAGCTGAACAGAAGGTCAATAAAGTGATGGGCAACTATGAATTCAAGACTCAAGTGAAGGTAAGCTGAACCAAGGTCACACCTTAAATAATGTAGGTAAAGTTCCTGGTGAATGTTATGGGAAATTTGTTTCGTGAACGCTATGTTTTTTGAATTTCTTTAGGAAGGTGTGATGTAGAGCGCCAATTGAATACTCTATGTCACACTCAATGCCCCGTCTCTGCTTTTGTTGAGAGGGTTTCAAGCTGGAATTACGCGAAAATGGTTCTGCTAGATTGGCGCAAAGTTCTCGGACTTGTACATCCCATACAGCAGCTTGATTTCACACGGTAGGGGGATGAGTGGCTTTGTATTGCTAGCTTTCGGTGTCAGCATTGGTGTTGGAATCTTTTTAGTAGATCGAGAACAACTTACTAAGATTTACAATCACAAATTGTATCACAGCATGCTGGGAACTTATCAAGTAGGTACACCTCCAAATTATGTCCACTCATAAGTATCTGTACAAAGGTCGCGGCTAAACAACATCTCGCTTGCCATAACAGAATATTCCTTGTGAAGTTATCTAGTAGTGCCTCTTAAGACTTGGATTCTCTCATCTGCTTTCTCTTCAGTCGCTTCGATGCTCTTACAGGGCGCTTCTTCTGATCAACTTTGACAGTTTCCTCCAACACCTCCAACTTTCTCTTCTGGACCTTTCCAGTCTGCCACATATGTATCCTCTTGAAGTGGTCTCCAAACTTCGCCTTCCCCTGCTTTCCACACACGCACACTATCCCCTTCGCATCGTTTTTCTTCAAAAAATCTTCCCAAAACCTGTCTGCGCTCTTTTTCCATTTTTGACAATCATTCGCGTAACCTCGAATCTTTTCTAATGCTCTGATCCAGCTATCAAGTGCCAAAGATTCCTGCCTGAGAGTCATTCCATAATCAACAGAGGAGAGAAGTCTTCGAAAAACTTCTTCCTGGAACTTTGAAGCTGCTCCACTGTCGTCGAGTCCGGCATTGATCATTCCTCCATATGCTTTTGAGGAGAGAGGTGTTGTAAAGTCAATGGCAATCAAGAAGCCGCCTTGGAGAGTAATGACGGCGTGAATGCAACCGGCTGGGAGGTAGATCGCTTCGTCTGAATCTGTGGTGATGACAAGTCCTCCTTCCAATTCTTTCCCAATTCTGTCCAGTTTTGCTCTCTGTCCATCGGCCTGTTTCATGAGCCCGAGATTTCTTGCTGTAGGTGGGAAGACTAGCCAGAGCTTGCGACAGTTGCCTAAAGAAGCTGAAATTCCATCGGAAGTATCAAGGTGTAAGTCCGTGATAGCAAATTTTGGTGTAAGTATCAGCTGCTGGTTGGCCTCGTCAAAGCCCTCCACAAATTCCGACAAAGAGATTGGAACGTGGAAGCTTCCTTGTGGGAGAAAGTCTAGACCAATCACAGTGACTGGACTCGCTTCACTGGGTTCGATGAGCTGAGCAATGGCTAGTCTTGGATCGACGTTGGGGGACTGCTCGGATCTTCGGTAAACCTCGTAAGGACGGCATTTGTCGTTCTTAGTTGTTTCAAATAGATTGAGCGAGGAAATTATCAGCGTGGTAGTTGAAGGTAGAGACTCTTCGTCCCAGCACTCGGTAGCAAAGAACACCCTCGGCACCATTGTAGTGCTCTGGGTCCACAGGCGTGACGTTTCTTCCGAGCACTGCTCGAGAGTAGACACTTGCAACCCCAGGATCTTGTTCACAGCTTGCCTCGGGAAGCCCTTCCTGCGACACGGTATAAGTATATATGTTCGAAAGATGTGAAGAATACTCACAAGGTTTCGTGGATATGCAACATTGGACAGACTGTGGGTACCGGTAAGAGTCCTGAGCGGTTGACCGGCGCCATTCAAATGCCAGCAATAGTGAGATCCGGTTCAAGTTACTGTGTTCGAGTAGTTTGAAGTCGAGTCGAGTGTCGGTGTTTTGGAATTGGGGCAGGATGGGAAAATTTGGAGTGCGGAGGTTGTTACTGAAGAGAGGTAAAGAACAAGCGACAAACAAATTTTTGTAGCTATACATGATGGCGTCGAGTCTTCTTCTCATAGGTGGTGAACTCTCTGTCATACATTTACAATAGCTCATCCTTTCAACAATAACACTATTTCTGGTGTTGAAAGACAATACCTAGGAACAAGTGGCACGTGACGGAAGCGAATCTGCCAGACTGAAAATAACAACACAAATAAGTAGAGAAAAGGACGGCATCAACATGTACACACTGTAATGTAGAATAAAGGCTGGATAATTATATACTGGTATTCTAGTGTCAATGTTGCAAACCCTAACCGGCACCTTGTCCAAAAAGCGCTGCTCGCTTACCAAGCTTTGTTCAGTAAACAAAGAAACTTAAATAGCTCTTTCCCGAGATCATGGACCTGATAAACATACGTGAAGCCCACGAATACGAAGAGAACTCCTGTGCCAGGAATGTTGATTTTCTGGACCACCAAGAAATTAATGCAGTGGAACTTCCGTTTATTTTCGTCTCAGCGAATGACAGCTTCACACGTTTGGTGCCCGGATTCAGCCCCGGGTCACATGACGCAGCGCCACTGTTCACCGAGTATCGGCCAACGAGGCTGTGGGAATAGGCAACGGTATCTCACCTTCTTCGCCTCGCGTTCGAGATCATTTATCAAAGTAAAATTCTCCGCTTCTGTCTTCTATTCTTATCTTTATCACTTTCCAGCAATATGCACGAACTACAGCAGTCACTTGCTTCTAGACCCAGCGTTGGGCATGGCCATGCTAATCCGGCGGACGTTAAATGGCAGGAGACTGTTGACAAGGCTGCGGCAGGAGTAGTATCCGCGAAATTCTGCCATACCCGTTCCTTTGATGGCGAGAAAGCAATATCTTCTGAAGCCACCGGGTTTGTGGTCGATGCACAGAGAGGGTATGTTCTCAACTATTATTTCAAACAAAAAGCTTGAAGTTGATTCTTGTAGATACATCCTCACCAACAGACATGTATCCGGCCCAAATCCTTTTTGGGGCAGATGCATATTCGAAAACCATGAAGAAGTCGATGCTCATGTCATATATTATGATCCGATCCATGACTTCGGCATTCTTCGATTCGATCCAAAAGCAGTCAAGTACATGACTTTGATAGCTATACCTTTGAGACCCGATCTTACCAAAGTGGCTGAAGCCGTTCGACTCATTGGCAACGATGCTGGAGAGAAGCTTAGTATCCAGGCAGCTGTTATCAGTAGACTTGATCGGAATGCACCGGAATATGATGGAGAAGGGTATTGTGATTTCAATACCAACTACATTCAGGCTGCTTCTGGGGCTACTGGAGGTAGCTCTGGTAGCCCTGTCATTAATGTTTTCGGACAAGCAGTCGCAATGCAGGCGGGTGGCAAGGCAAAGACAGCAACAGACTTTTTTCTTCCGCTTGACCGACCGCTTCGCGCGCTCCAATGTCTTCAAAGAGGAGAACCGATCACTCGAGGTGATATCCAGTGCCAATGGAAATTCAAACCTTTCAACGAATGTCAGGGTCTTGGATTGACCGCGGAATGGGAAAGTGCTTTCCGGAAAGCCTTCCCCTCGGAGGTCGGGATTTTAGTTGCAGAACGTGTGATTCCACAGGGTCCATCTGATTTGAGGATCAAAGTTGGTGATATCCTGATCAAAGTCAATGGGGAGCTTCTAGCACAATTTAAGGATCTGGATGCGGTTCTTGACTCAAGCGTAGGCAGTACCGCGAAACTCCTGTTGCAGCGACGTGGGAAAGATGTGGAAGTAGAGGTTGAAGTACAAGACCTGTATAAAATCACCCCAAACCGTCTGGTAACAGTGGCTGGTGGAAGTTTCCAAGATCTGTCGTACCAAAGGGCCAGAGCTTATGGAGTAGCTTGCAAGGGGGTATATCTTTGTAATGCAGCAGGATCGTTCGATCCATTGTCCACGGGCTGTACAATACAAAAGGTGGACAATAAGGCCACTCCAGACCTGGATGCATTTATCGAAGTCATGAAAGCGATTCCAGACCAAAGTCGAGTTGTAGTAACTTACACCAATCTCTACGACCCCAACACACCGCGGATTTCAGTTTTACGCATCGACCGGTACTGGTCAAAGAAGATAATTCAGTATATCCGCAACGATGAGAATGGTCTCTGGGAATCAACTGATCTTGCTGATGTGGTTGCGAGACGACCGCCAATCCCCAGAGCAGCGAATTTCGTGCAGCTACGGAGTGTTCCTCCGGCAATTGCAGGCATCGTCAAGTCAATTGTCAAGGTGGAATGCTATGTTCCAGAATACCTCAATGGTTCTGACTACACTCCTCGACCAAGCGTTGGCATTGTGATTGATGCGGAGATAGGGGTAGTTTTGGTTTCGAGGGCAACAGTGCCACACGCTCTCTGCGACATTGCGCTCACAATCGCAGATTCAATCATTGTCGACGGAGAAGTGCTGTTCTGCCATCCGCTGCATAACTATGCACTTATCAAGTACGATCCCATGCTTGTCATGGCTCCTCTACAGAGTGTCACATTGAGTCCAATAAATTTGGAACAAGGAAAGTCGCTTCACTTTGTGGGTTTCAAGGATAATAATATCGGAGGTCCTGTTTGCACTCAGACCACTGTCACCGACGTCTACAATCTGCAGCTGGCTGGAAACTTAGATCGACCTAAGCTTAGAGCGATGAATAGTGAAGCAGTCAAAGTCAACACAGGATTGGCAGATGAATGTGGAAGCGGACTCATGATTGATGATGACGGTGTTGTCCAAGCTTTCTGGCTGACCACACTCTATGTGAACGATGATGACGAAGATATGTATCGATATTACGGTATCTCGACTTCCACCATCCTCCCGGTCATTTCCAGAATACGGAATGGTGAGATTCCGAAGCTACGAATCCTCAGTGTTGAATTCGAGGCGATTACCATGAGCCAAGCTAGGGACATGAAGGTTTCCGAAGAATGGATCAGCAAGGTCGAGGTCGCCAACTCGTATTGCCATCAACTTTTCAAAGTCAAGAAACGCACCATTCAAAGCGATGATGATTCCCGCGCGCTTTTGGAAGGAGATATCATTCTGACGCTGAACGACAATATCATCACTCGTCTATCGGAAACAGAAATTCAGGATGATGCTGAGGTGTTGAAAGCACGAGTGGTAAGATATGGCGAGGAAGTTGACTTAGAGCTTGATACAGTTCTGGCAGACGATTTCGAGACCAAAAGAGTGGTCTTGTTCTGTGGCGCGACTTTGCAGCCACCCCATCATGCTGCCAGGCTTCGGGTGGGAAAGTCACCTAGCGAAGTATTTGTATCGAGTGTGATACGAGGGTCGCCTTCAAGTCATTACGGACTCATTCCTGCAACCTTCATCACCCATGTCAACGACACCGAGGCAGGGAACTTGGACTCGTTCCTCGATGCCGCTATGGCTATTCCAGATAACTCCAGTAAGCTTCACAGAACTGCATGTTCATGTTCCTTGTACTGACATTGTGCAGACTTCACTTTGACGACCATGACATTGGGAGGAATTGAGCAAGTGATGAAAATGAAACGAAACGATCATTACTTCCCAACTAAAGAATGGACCAGAGCATCTCCGAAGTGGACTTGTCGCTTGATTCAGGGGTAGAACCAAGACCCGGATGCGTCAGTAATCAGGAGAGGTATTGGCGGCAATTATACATGGATAAACTTCCACTCTTGGAAAGCTCTCTACCACTTAATACTACTTGTCCTTGGTGAATTGCCCTGCTTCAATTGCCCTGCTTCCATTGCCTTGCAGTCATTTGTTTTGTATTGAGTCATGTTCCATTCTGCCCTGTAGCAAAGATTGCATTCAATCTAGGTACCGTGTATCATTTCAAGTGGCCCCGTGTCTTCCTGTCAGGAAAAAAAAGCTGTTTTCAAATGCAACTTAAGTATGACAGAACATGCCTAGGTGAGGTAGGTACCTAAAATCTCGTTTCGCTTAGCAAAAGACACCGTCTATTGTGCTAACACTCGTCCCTCCCAAGTCAGAACAAGTTAGTAAATGTAGTCCAGATCGAATAGAATAAAGGTAAAAGTCTACAGCCAGTTTCAAGCCACCGGTCGTCTGCGAACCACCGCCCCTCAATCTATCTCCCGCATACGATTAGACAAGTACGGCGGCATCCAGCACGAAACATGACACCTCTTGCACCAAACACGAGACAGATAGAAGAGGAGATATCTCACCTTCGAATGCAACTTGGCTCGCTCTCAACGCGTTCAGCCATTGTTCAGGCAAGCGACTATCTCTCAAGTTGCGGCATATCAGCAGATGATTATGCTAGACATGAATCCATGCGAACAATCATCCAGGGTCAACCAGATGCTGAGCTTCTTTGGCGAGAGATCGAGATATTCAGGATGATAGATAAAACGTCAAAATTCTTTTTCGGCGATGTCGATATCGGTCTACCAACAATATGTGAGCTGCAATGGGCTATTCAAACTTGGTCTCATTTTGTTCTTGCTGGCGGTCTCGATGTGATCTTTGCTAAACACGCAAAAATCGAGGTGATGAGCGAGAGAGGTGCGTCGCCTGCATCTATCTTCCGCCGGTATCTCTCAACTTACCAAGCTGAACTCGAGTTTGAATCCTGGGACGAGGAACTGATGAACGCTTTTCGTCTCAAAGTCTTTCAGCTTGACCAAGACCTTCGAAGGACAAAACGCGAGATCGTGCTCCATAGTATAGCTCACACCCCTCTTTTCGATGTCTACTTGAATACTGACTGGAAATAGAGAAGCGCCACCAACAGCCATCTTCAGCCGATCATTCTATGGACAAAATCACCACTGAGACAATCTCTGTGACCCGGAATGACCATTTGGAGACAGAATCACCAACAGATCGGGGTAAGCTGGAAGTTTCTTGTAAGAAATCTCGGGCTGTGCTGACTTCTGCTCGTAGTTTTACGTGCTTCAAAACGCAGGAAACTCAGCACCGATAACATCACCAATGAGAACGAGAGGCTAAAGACAGAACCTCTTATTAAGCAGGAAGGCAATGACTTGAGCGAGATTTTCTACGACGCTTCCCCACCACCATCGTTTCAGCGAACTTCAATGGCCCCTTCCTCAGAATTGTCCGTTCAGTCTGCCAGCAACACCGCTCGTGCAAGCAGCGACGTTCCACCTCGGGATGAGAGAACACCCCCGCTACAGCAGATCTCTGCATCGCAACCCGAAAGTTATCTCGAACAATCCGTCAATGCAAATATCCGAAGACTTCAAATACATCTCGCAGACTGTACAGAGCGGCAAGAGTCGGCATCAGAATCAGCGAATGTTTCTTTAGGTAAACTGATTACTGCTATTGAGAAAAATAATGTGCTTGATAAAGACACAACTGCTCGGCTGAAGATTTTGATCGAGGATTTCGAGGAAGAATTCGAGCATTGGAACTTGTCCGTTATCAAAGAACAGACTTCCACATTGCGTGTATTCATGGATTCCACTCACACAACTATGCTGGAGCTATTTGGATTCTGGACTGCTGCTACGGAGTCTTTTGAGAAGTACGTTGGCGTCTTGGTAGAAAAGGAGAAGTGGGAGAAGAAGATCGAAATTGCCGAGCTTGTTGCCACTGCATTTGGAGATGACTGATTCATTGATCTGTACGATGAGATGGATATCAACAGATGGTTGCGAAGTTGAATGTTATGTCCGATTTTGTGTAAACACCGAATAAAAACGATATTCGGGACTGAAAGGAATTACTCATCCATGGATGACATAGTCAAAAGGCAATGAATAGTTAGGGTTCATTAATCCAAACACAATCAAGTACATCAAGATGCAAAATTCAGAGATCTACAACGCCAGGCATGTCCAGAAGCTCGTCCTGCGTTGACCTGAGCACTCCAAGGACATGTGTATAAAATAGTTCACTTTCTTCTCATGTACTTTAGATTCACACAAGGATATGAACCTATGCGCATTCCATTTTGGTAATATGAGTTTATCTCACATTACTTCTCAGATCCTCCTTGACGTGATTTTGTTTTGATGAGTGGAAGTCAAGCGAGGGATGCGGATCAAGCGGCCGAAGCGGACTCCCCACTACAATTTTGGAGCTTCAACTTCAACCCCGCCATCCATCGCACTTCATCTCATTTCGCCTCAAGAAACACTTCTCCTATCCATTATCCGCCATCATCAACCAAGACTCCCAGCAAACAACACAATGACACCGCCAGCCCCAACCACATCCACAAACTCACCCTCCCCCGCCCTCACAGCAACCTATTCCTCTCCCACCAACAAACCCTTCACGCACTCGACTTCTCTACCCTCTCTCCAACTCAGCGAGTCCTCCAACTCCTCCCCAGCAACCGCTCAAAAGACCCAATACCTAGCAGCGCTCCGCCAAGCAACATCGCAAATGCAAGAAGTCATCAATAAAGAGCTTACGGCGCGGATGGAAGAGGATAATGCAAGGGCCGCGACAGCGGTAGGGGAAAATGGGGATGGGAAGGCTAAACTAAAGGGTGTGGATGAGAATAAGGAGGAGGAGAATTATGGGGAGGAGGTTGTTGAGGAGGATTGAGGGAGTGGATGACGAGCTCAAGGGACGTTTGGTTGGAAGAATGGCATCCAAATGCTTGGGATGGAGGGACTTGAGCTAGGCGGCATGAGTCAGATTTGGGAGAGAGAATAGAACTGGAAGTGAGCGTTCAGAAGTCACTTGTTGATGGTTGGGGAGACATTTGAAGGCAAGGTCTGGAAAGCCAGAAGGGCATAAGATGACCAAGATTACTGGCTGCATGCATGCATTTGTTGCTTCACGAACTATCATGCGAATATATACAGGATATACGACCTCCAAACTCCCACCAACGGCCATCGAGCTGCCTTCCAAAACGATAAGGAAGAACGCCGCGCTATGTATCCGAATCGACTAGTCCACCATATCACTCTTCGTGGCTCATCTCACGACCTCCCCCAACCCGCTGCTCTCAACCCCGCCATCCCACCTCCAGACCCAGGTCGATTTCCAACTCGATTGAGACATCCATAATGTACGACCTCGTTATCAGGAAGCACAGCAATAACACTCCTCCCAATCCTCTTGTGGCACACGCCACAAACGCGCTCATCACTGACCACGACTCGTCGATTTCTGCCTCCCTTGCCATTTGGTGCTCCATCACCAAGCAAGAGTCCCGCTTGTGCGGACACCACTTCGCTCTTACGGAGTCCAGAGACAACACGAGTCTCGTTAACGATGGAGTTCGCGGCGCGGATGCGGCCGCGGAAATAGGATTCTAGTTCTCCGACAGGTAGAGTGGTAGGGATTAGATTGAGGGTTGAGGAGGCGGGGAGGCGAGAGCCGTGCTTGGAGAGGAGGTCGAGAGCTGGTGGCCAGTTGGGCTTGTGTGGTGGGGGTGGAGTCAGGTATAGAGATAGGAGAGTGTGGTAGATGGAGGGAGTTGATGTATCGTCGTCTTGCGTAGAGGTTGAGCCACGACGGGTTTGATCGGGAGAGGCAGTTGCTGAGTCGGTTGTAAGGTGTATGTGGTTGCAATACCTGGCATCGTTAGATAAAGCAGAAATGACGAAGCGGACAAGGAATACATACTCTTCAGCTTTCTCGAAATCCTGGATCTTAAAGACGTATATCTCTAATGCCTGTTTATGCTGTCCCATGTTACTCAAAACCACAGCTTGCGCCTCATAAAAACTGGGATCTGTGGCAAAGTCAGCTTCACCCTGCCATGCCAGTATCAAGCACTTACCGTCCCGGGGTATCAATCCAAAAGCCTTCGAAAGAGAATACTGTTTACTGCTCCTCAAGAACTCTATCAGTCGTCCCATCAAGCCCTTCCAATCCTCTGAGTCCTTATCCTGTCTCCCCCTCAATTCTTGGACATAAGCATCCACTAGCCTATTATGGAACTCTGGAGTCAAATCACTGAGTTCGTTGATCACATGCTCGAGGTATTTGACTGCCAGGTTGACATCAATGCCTTGTAAGAAGTTGACGACTCTGTCTCGTGGGAGCGTCTCAGCGTTCTCGGTATCTGCCAAGAAGATCTCCATGCCCAGAGTCGGATCCACTCGCAGTGGCCAGTCGGCATACTCTAGAATCAGGTCGATCATCTCGGGAGGCAGGTTTTGGAGGTATCCAACCGTCCGTTGAGGACCCTTCAGAGCGGCTGGTCCCTCTTCACTATCTTCGCCTTGACCGAACCGTTTCAGAAGTTCAAGTGCAGGACGATGTAACTTCTTGCCATGGAAGAAATCAACCAGGTCGTTGAAACGACCGTTCTCGAGAAGCTTCTCGTTCACAACGTCTGGGTCGCAGAAGTTGGGCAGTCGGAAGAGAGATCCAGCTAGTTGGGGGCGGGCTAGCATGTATGCCCTGAAAAGTGTTGTGTCGATCAATTTGGCTGTATCGCGAAGCTTCTGTTCGCGATCTTTCTCGGCATCGGATGCTGGCGCTGTGAGAAGCAATTCAAATGCATTCTGTGAGCTGCCGTTCTGACCATTCTGCTCCAAGGGCTTCAGCTTCCCTGTCTCTGCATCTAAGAAAGCCTTCATCCTGTTGCGCGCTTGAACAAGAAATCCAGAGAGCGCGAGCACAGCTGTTGTCAGATCTTTGCCTTCCAAGGGTAAATCCTCAGTTGCTTTTGACTTGGTGCTGGATAGGTCACTAGGCTCTTCGCCATCTAATCGCATGAAGGATCGGATAGACGAAGTATCAGAATTCTTGACCTGAGCCTTGAGCAACTTGTTGACAGCGGCCACTTTTGGAGAGCCAGTTGCCTCGGTTTTCGATTCTCCAGAATGGTCCCCGTTGGCGCATGCCTCCGTTGCTTCATGTTCGGATTCTGAGCCGTGATCCTTCTCATCCAAAATAGTCAAATCTCCTGCGATGACTCGTGGGAACAATTTTATAACTCGTTCTGGTGGTGCCTGAACATCCTTGGCCATGAAAATATCAACTGCATCCTGATACTTCCGTTGGTCGAACAACATCTGTGCTTTCAAGATCTTGATCTCTCGTAACCTTTCTTCCTTGTTTCGCAGAAGTGCATCTTCTAACATGTTGAGCACGCTGATAGCTTCATCATATCGCTCCTTCTCCACCAGTTCATCAATCTGAGAATCATAGTCTGTGGAGCCCATCCGCCAAATACATCTCTCACTAGCGACATGAAATCCTTTCCCAGCATGGGCAAGGCTGACTGTTGGTGGAGGAAAGTGGAGCTGTTTTGCACTTGGGAGAGATATGGACTGTAGTAGAGACAGAGTGTCAGGATTTCGAACTTCCAATGTCCCTTGAGACGGTGATTGTAGAGCAAGGATATAAGGATACGAATATCCTATAGCATCCGGCGACTGGGCCCATGGGAGCTGGCGTTTCTCGAGTGGCTTTCCTTCCGCAGTGATAAAGAGCGAATTAATATCTTTGGCGAGCAGCATCTCCCCATCTGCAAGCTTCGTTGCCAAAGGTTTTGGGATGTAGCTTCCAAGACCCATATATCCCATACTGGCTGATCCAACACCACCAAAGCGACCGGCTTGCGCACCTGCTGCCCCTCCAATAGCTCCAGGTCCAACGATATCCTCAATCTGTTGGCTGATCACATCCACAATGACATATCCAGAATTCATGCCGCATATGATCTTCGTGGCAGATGCCCAAGTCAAGGTCTTGATGGTGTCCGATAAAGTGATTTCCAGTACATCATGTTCCAACTCTGATTCGTGCCATGACCACAACAGGAGCCTCCTCTTGACCGCGACTGCTAGCCTCGATATGATCTCTGGTATTCCAGTCGCAGAGTCCTTCACAATATTCGAAGTAACCGCAAATGTAGATGCACTCTTCGTCTTGACGAGCTGTTCTTGCAGGGTGTACGATCCGAGGTCGTGAATCGATATGTACGAGTTCGACAACGATATCAGCACATTGGCTTCCTTAATTATAGCCAGCTGGTCAATAGCTCGAGTCGAGAACTTCTCTACCTCTCTCAGGAGATCAACTGGTTTCGGCGCGGAGGAAGATGTTGGCCGTGATGGGGGTTTATCGTCGGACTTCGCATCTGGTTTCGCAGAGCCATTCTGTTTCGCGCTCTCTTCTGGCAGCTCGTTGACCCGGTATATTCGTAAACTTCCGGTACTTAGTCCAACTAGTAGTCGATCACCTAGATGATATCAGCAGCCGCAAGATACAAGGGAATTGGCAGGCGGACCATATGCGAGGATAGATTCAATCTTGAACTTGTCCCGCTGCCTGAGCTCGACAATGGGACGAGCTGTGAAGGCGGACAGCATAATGGCGGGGTGCCAGCTTTAACAGGAATGCCAAAGCTGGAGAAAAGTATCATCGAGAGTGTTGTTCCATCAGATCATGCGATCGTGTGCGACTTGGGGCTCGTATTGTTGTCGGCGCATATTGAGGTTGCTGTCTTGGTCGTCCAAGAGCTCCGCTCCAGTTTTGGCGTTGTTCCGCGGCATGACGATCCATGCCTTGGCGCACCAGCTCCATCTTTGACGTCGCTTCGCCTCCACTCAATTAGACTCCTACCAAAACAAAATCCCAGATAACAATCAATAAATTTTCGAACATAATGATATCCACTGAGAAAACGTCTCCCTAAATTACCTGCGTCTTTCACTACTGCTTCCACGGCTCATCAATTGATTCAAAGCAGAGCTCTTCTGCTGCTTCGGCCTCAGCTATTGGGAACAAATTGTTATCTGGAAAGCTTGAAGGGAGTTCGACGGCTGGAATATCTCTCAGACTGTCTGGTCCCAAGCAAACTCTTTACTTTCAGTAACAAATACAACACCTTATGGAAACTTAAGTATTGCTAAGGTGTCCCAGACGGCGATACAATACACCATTGAAGAAGGCAGTGCCGCCTCGTTTTTGGATCATAGGTCTTGCATTGTTGTACGTGAATTTTTGCTATCGTCATAGGTGGATGACGTCCTTTCGTGTTTATTGAAGCAGCGCAGTTGCAGTAGCAATTACAAAGATTAAAAGCACAATCTCTGGTGGAGTTATAGCTTTGCAATCATTCTCTCTGCGACAGTTGGAGTTCACTAGATCTTATATCTCCCAAGATATCTTGCAGAGAGACATCTCGAAAAACAAGAGCCTATTATATGCTTCCCTGCCTTCACTTCATCTCCATCAAAGATAACTACCTAGTTCAAATCCCTGGCCGATGTAAATGCAAAAGGAGCGGACGAGACCCAGTGAAGAACGAAGAAAATCTGGATCTGTGCGTCATTTCTGGCTTGGAAAGTGTGGATTGCAAGGAGAATGAAGGTATGGGTCATGATAATCCACTACCTCCCAGCAGAAGGCGAAATTCATGAGAACACCATGTTTTACTGTAGTCACTGAAGTTTGCTTACAGGAATATTGACAACCATTACACCCAACCAGCGCGCTAAACAGACCCTCAGGCAAAAAAGTAAATGTTGATAGCATCCCCTACCAACCAAACTTTTTTCGCAAAAAAACACCCAAAAAGGTCAAAAATAGTGAATCACACAGATAAAGTCTCCTAGGTGTTATTTAGAAAAGCAAAACTCCCAAACCGATCGCGATGAGGCGGACGAATCCGACCGAGAAGCGACCGGTCTGTTAGAAACCATGAGCTTTTCATGATTTTAGAGAGGCATCACCGTGACGTACAACGTGGGTGCTTTTAGATAGCACAAAATTGTTCATTTGGTTAGATATACGACGTAGAACAGTGGTCGTTAGAAGGATGAATGAGGGCAGAGTGTGGGAAGTGAATGGGAGGTGAGAAAAGTGAAAGATAAAGGGCTCATTCACAGGGTTTGCGACGTTCCCATACTTTAAAGGCTCCCAGTAGGAACGACTTTTGAGCATGCCTCTGAATGTTAGCCAGAGCTGAAGCCTCAATCGGAAGCTGTGACAGTCTCATCGTGTTGCCTCAGTAAAATGCTGTCTTCGTCCCCAGCTTCCAGATTTTTCTCAGCCAGGAAGTTTTCGAATGTGGCAGCGTATATATCGCATACCTGGAGAACTTTGTAACCGTATAAAAAGATGGTTTCTAGTCTTTGTGGGGACTTTCAATCCTAGATAGATTTCTGAATACTCTGTCTGAGCTGGGCTCGTAAACAGCTAATCTGATTGGGGATATATCCATAGGTAAGGAGGATGCTCGATCATATCTTGTGACTAGAGCTGTGTTGGCTCTTGTTGTAGTGGTTTTATTGAATCTCTTTTCGTACTTATGGATCGTTGTGGAATCATTGACAAAAAGATTACCAAGTTATAGAAGTGGAACCAGCGTACGACGAGATGGGAATAGTGAGACGACTGTATTGACGGGTACTTCTGTGAATAAATTTCAACTTACTCTTATGTCTACATAAACCACGAGTAGGATTTGTGGCGCAAATCCAGAAGTTAGTAGCCTAGCCCTGGACTTCCAACGCAATCCTCTCCCGCGAGCTCTTGCACAGTAAGCATGCCACCATCGCATAACCGACGTAACCGGACATGGTTGTAATCTCTACGTTTACAAAAATGTAGCAGAAACTGAAGCAGAAGTCTTGGAGAATGACATTTGAGTTTTTCTTATCATGTCAGTATTTTATGGTCCTCCTCAACAAGGCAGTAATGGTTTGTTTACTCACATCAGAAAGCCCCCTGCTCTTCCCCACAATCAGCGCCCAAGCGAACTCGCCAAGCCTGGGGGAAGGGCGATCCGATGTCGCCTGCACTGAAAATTCCCTGATTCCCTGCTGGCCCGTGTCAAAGCCCGACGCCTGCAAACGCCTTGAACCTCCACACCGCAGCCTTGTGCTTGTGCTCCTCTGTTGAGTTGAGCTACACCGGTGCATCTCCAACCCTCCACTTTCTATGCAGACGGTCGGCACACTCCCACTCTGAACCATGAGAAAATGTCTCACGACACATCTGCCGTCCTCGTGGGCGAAGCAGAATCAACATCCCCAGTCGTAGCAGATCATAACTCCGCGGGGGCACACGACCTACATGGAGAGGGGGATGCAGATGCTGGGCAGCGGGAAGCTATTCCAGCTACGACTAGTATAAGTATGGATCAGGATCCAGAGCCAGCACAAGTGCGACCATCATGCCCAACCCCCTCCTCAGCTCCCGGCATCTCTCCTTCAGTTCAACAACATTCTCATGGTGTTACTGGGAGATCTGGGAATGCTGGGCAGACTGGTGTAACCATATCTCCACCCGAAACACCTTCCTTGTTCTTCAGTGCTGTGTCGAGCCTGGCCGCCGATGCAGAAAACCCAAAGAGTCACAACATAGGTATGGTGGTCCAATTGTTCTCTTGAGACAATATGTTGTTGTTGCTTCCAAGTCTTCATGGTGACTGACCATACCACAGTTGCGCCACCAACAGAGATCACCCCACAAGGCCCTCGTGACGTTCTCGATTCTGTAGCCTCGCCCTTAAATCAGACGACAACTGCCAATGTCGCGCTAGCCTCGCAATCTACAATTGAGCAGCCGATATCGACCGATCCTAAATCTGCAGAGTCACTCCCACACGTACATAAATCGACAGACGGGGCTGCAGATGTAAAGGGCGAGCAAAAGCAAGACAAGATGATATTCGCACATACCACTTCGAATAGCATGCAGCGGCGACGGAATTATGCTACTACAAATGCTGTCACAGATTATGAAGCAGATCTCACAAGTAGAGACCGCGCGAAGCAAAAAGAAGCTGTAAAGAAGTACCTGTCGGAGAAAGTCAAGAATGATTGGAATTGGGAATGGCCACAACCTGGAAGTGAGGCAAAACTCGAGCCTACAAAGACGATCGAGGAGGATACAGATTTGGCGTGGAAGGAGAGAGACGAGTGGTTGAGCAACGCCAGTGACGACGGAGATGATATGAAAATGCCGCGACCAGCAAATACCACCTCGAGTCACGACACACCTACTCCTACAAGCAAGAATGGTGTGCAATTGGATAGTACAGAGGGTGTCGGGGACACAATCACGAACGCATTATTCGATCGGAAACGCAGGCGGAAGAAGCGATTGGCAGAAGAGATGGCGTGGAACGAGGGGTTGAGATGTTTTACTGCACGCCGAGATGCCTGGACTTGCGCTCGGAAGATTCCTCGGCGTGGAAACGGTGTTGTGAAGACGACTACACGAGCTTCCTTGTCTAGTGGAGATGGCGGTAGTTCTCCAGCCATTGAGCAAGACGACGACGATCAGTGGGAAGACGATACAGAGATCCCCATTGCTCCTCCCATCTTACCCCCAGAAAACGCCATGCGAGCTTCCATATTACCAGGCGCATATAATACCATTTATGACAAGGTGGTGGTTCAATCACTAACCCCCAGCTGTCCCATGAACCTTAAAGACGTAACCCGCAGCTGTGTCCAGGGCTGGAAACGAGACGGAGAATGGCCGCCGAAATCCGCACCCGACACCCTCAAGAAGAAAGGTCGGAAGATGAGCGTAGCCAGTCTCCTGGGCTTCAAGGAATCTGATAGATCTGCTCAGAACGTGAATGATAACGGCAATGGAATTGCGAATGGAAATGGCGTAGCGAGAGACAGCGGGGCCGCTCATGAGAGGGATAGGAAGGGTAGTGGTATTAGAAGGAGTCTTCAGAAGATCTTGAAGTTGGGTCACGGTGGTGAATGATCTTCCTGGTTCTTACTAATGTGTTTGGTAGTTGGTGGGAGCCAGCCCTTACATATGAGAAAGAACCGGCGAAGAGAAATTGACATCCACGCGTTGAGGGGCGAGGGACGATTGAGTGGGGATTAATGGTAAAGGACGAGTGATGACAGATTGAGTGGACGTGGACTGTGCATATGAATGAGAACACATTGGGTGGGGAAATCATTGTGGTCAGGACCATGACATGACAGGCTTGTACAGACCTTGATATTAGGCTGGGCTGGTAGGCGGGAGTTGAGAATGACACTTTCGATATGATCGATTCATGCATACTTTGTATAGCGAGCAAGAGCAGGGCGTTCTATCTTTTCTGGCATTCATAGGTACGGATGGACCTGGTGTGGACGGTGTTTTGGGCTGACTAGGGGCGGCTGGGGTATAGTTCAGGTTGGTTTGTGGAAGGGAATTGAGCTTGAGCATCGTGGTATGAATTGGTATGGTGTGGTAGCAGTGTATACCTGCCTACCTACTTTAATGCATTATTCTTCAAACTTTATCTTCCTACTAAGCACTCTTTATCAATTGTTTCTAACCTCTTCAAGTCCTCCAGAACCTGTGTCCACTTGTGATGAGGAGTCGCATGCGAGTGACCACGAGAGGTGGACTATCACATGATTCTCCTGGATTCCTATTGGCTCTCAACTCAGCGAAGCGAGGTTTTGTTGCAGGTCGCAAGTTGTGTCGACTTCTCGTTGCTGGATGGTTGTAGTTTGGAGACGGTTGATGGACGGTTCAGAGATGTGGGACGGTTGATAGTTGACAAGTTGAGTGACGGTTGCTTTTGCGTGATGGTTACGAAGCGACTTGGTATATATAATATTTAGAAGCGGCTGGCAGAAGATTAATTGATAGTAGAGCAACAGCTGCGATTTGTCTTTCTTGTAAACATAATCGGACAACAGGGTGTGGAGGCAGATAATTTGTTAACTACCTATGATCGTGTCCATGAGAGACAAACTTTGGACGCGTGTTGAAAAGAAGAATTAACCCTTCTTTGCCGTGTCTAGCTCTCGTTGCATAACCTATAGCGTAATGGATGAGCAGACCGATCATGAATCAGGGATACTGAGGTGCAGGTTCAGGTTTCCTCGCTTAACACTCATGATCTGTAAACAATGCGCAAGTGGGGATGCGCATTCAATGAATTTAATTAGCTCCATCTCATCAATCCTCCGATTCCAACTGAGATTCTGCTATTTCACCTGCGCAGCAATTGAATGCGAATGATATCCTTCAATTTCCTACCCACAACCTTCTGCAGAACTCCTTCGCAGCTTTGATCATCCCTCTCAATCCACAATCTCAAAATCGACGATCGACGGTGAATTGGTGTCGCCAACATATGCGTTAAGTTGGGATACCTGGAAGGTATATTGACTTTCTCTGGCAGCGCCGATTTGTGCATCCTTGATTCCTTGTCCCCTGACCTGTCTTTCCGACATCACATGAATGAAGCAGGGAGACACCGTTAAGATACAATAGGGTTCCACTTATAAATCACAACAAGTGAGTCGACGAAACCCCTCTTGACGATCATCTTCAACAATTCCCTCAGTTCCTCATCATCGTTGACATAATTATTCGAGAATCCTCCCATTATCGCCCACTTTACGATGATCTTTGACAGCGCAACGTGTCTTGCTGATGCCGGCTGCTGCAACCAAAGGCGATCTTGTACCGTGTGAAAACCAGACACTTTGTCAAGCAACTCAGCGTAGGTAGAGGTAAGCCTGAGGTGGATGAGTCTGTACTCTGGTAGTGACTGTGGACCAAGAGGGGGACCAGCATCTGTGTTATAGAGACCGTATGCGTCTTGATAGACTGGCGCGATGGGCGTAAGATGCGGGAGGGGTGGGTCTGCTTCGAGGGCGAAACCGATGTGGAATGAGATCTCGGTGTCGGCTGGTTGGAGTTCGACATCCAGGACTGCTCCCTCAGCCTGATCGAGAAAGTGATTTAGTTCTTCCATCGGAGATTTGCGATTGATTTTTTGTTTTTAGGGAGGTGTGTTAATATGAGATCCCTGAAATGTGGAGACGAATAGATTTGGGTTGTGGACGCCATATTTATGTTCGACCATGTTCAAAGAAAAGATCTTGCTTTGTGTCATGAGGCGTGTATGGATCTTTCTCGCATATAAATTTTCATTCACAGAACTGTACTGGGTTATGTTTCATGATAGAGCATTTCCTTTCTTCCTTAAAAGCAGTTTGTGCGTTAAGCGAAGTTCTTGCACTTTTCGTCCTCTATCCTTCAGCCACTGGAAGAATCTAGAAAAAGAACCCGACACTTTACAAACGTCGATAAACATTTCATCAGTGCAAACCTTTATCAAAACTATATCCACGCAATTCGGTGCTGATTCTCGATTTATCTAGCCCGGATAGAAATGCCAAGCTTTCACACCTACTTTCGAGTGCTCGCTTGCACAACGGCATGTCCTGGGAATGTCAACAACGAAAAGCATTATGAGCTCGATTCACTCCAGCTACGTATTGACACCTGAGCATGTCAGTGATATCCTGCTCCATTCCCTTCCTTTCCAAGTCGATGGGATTCCAGGGCTCGATCCTTATCACATCTGGCTGTGCCACTTGCTGGCCGAAAGGAGACTGATGCAGCGCTACCTTGGCGGTCATACCCTGAGTCATTTCTAAAACAAGTGCAGCCGAGCTGCACTACCGGACTACAAGTATCTCCTTTTTGGCATCGATAATCACTAATGTTTATGTAGAGGAAATAAATCCTCTTTAACCTCACAACAGTTTCCCCTGAAAAGTCCACGGAGTATGAGCGGTTCCAGGCTGTTCCGCAGCTTACGATACACCTCAAGAACAACGTTTTCAGTACCGACACCACCACCATTATCGATCATAGCACAAAGTACACAAAATAATCTAATAACTTCATCAATATCAAGACAATTTACATCGGCCGCTCACTCGCAACTACCAAAAGCGACCCCGCCCAGCATACCCTCACCACACATCCCCCTCCCGGACGATGCCAAGATCCTAACACTCCCGGATGGCCGCCACATGGGATACTGTGAGTATGGGTCCCTCACAGGAACTCCCATAATATTCGTCCAGTGAGTTTTCGTCTCTACCCTTCATATTTCTATTTTCCCTGCAGTTTCTGACTCCACCACCCCCTCAGTGGTACACCAGACTGTCGCCTCGACTTAACCAGCACTCCCAAAGATCTCGCCCTAATGCAACGCCTCAACATCCGCTTAATCGGAATCGACAGACCAGGAATTGGTCTCTCGTCTTCAAATCCAGGCCGTACTGTATCCGACTGGATTCCCGACGTGCAGCATCTCATCCAGTCACTCAACCTAGAGAAATCCGGATTTCGGATCCTCAGTATCAGCGGCGGTACAGCGCACGCATTAGCATGCGCGAAATTGTTACCTAGGGAGCAAGTTCGAGGTGTTGGGATTCTAGCGGGGGTAGGGCCGCTGAGTGCTGGGTTGGGAGGAATGGGTTGGGCGAACAGGATAGGGCTTGGGATGTGGAGGTATTTCCCTGCCATGGTGGAATGGGTGCATAATAGGAGTGTGGTTCCTGTTTTACAGGATCCCGATCCGAGGAAAGCAGAAAATATGTTTCGGAAACAGTTGAAATATTTCCCGGAAAAGGATAGGTTGGGACTGGGGACGGAGGAGTCGGTTCAGGCGATTGTGACGATTATGAGGGAGGTGTATAGGGGTGGTGATGCGAGTGGGATTAGAGAAGAGATGAGGCTCGTTACGGGGGATTGGGGATTTGGTGTTGAGGAGGTGGAGTATAAAGGGGTGAAGTTTTGGTACGGTGATGAGGATGTTAATACGCCTGTTCAGCATGGGAGATGGATGTCGGGGAGGATGGAGGGATCGATATTGAGGGTTTTCCCTGGAAAGAGCCACTTCAGTATCTGGGATCATGCGGAGGAGATATTGACTGAATTTCTGCAGGAATAACATAATGGGAGTCCTCGAAGAATCTCAACTCCGTATGATATGTAGCATAATGATGACCATCCGCCAAAGCCCGGGAAAAATATTGTCTTGGTGATATTGACTTCTTCAACCAAAACCCTCAGCCCAAAGCCCAATGCCTAGTAAGGTACTTTTGTAAAGAGGCAATCGAGCCAGTTTCGAAACCATCGAATGCTTGTCCTTGCCCACCCCGACTGTCGCAAATGCTGCAAAGTATTTCCCTATTGGTCGATTACCCTGGTATGAAGATCATTTGAAAGTGATCTTTGAAGCCTCTTGCTTTAATCAGATCCAGCGTTTTGAGCAGCTCAACATCATCCCCACATGTCAGATGAGTGCGGCCGGTTTTACCCTCTATATCATGCCACATCACACAGAGTACTAATGGACGGAGAGCGTAAATTTCAGCACTTTGTGAAAAGGTTTCGCGGTCTTTCTCAATGTGAAGGCCGGAAAGGGCTTCCTTAACATCTTCCCAAGTCGACGTGAACTTCAATTGTATGATTTTCATTTCAGGGCTTGCGGAGTGTCTACGAACAGTCCCATACTTTCCGAAACTGTCTTTGCCGAGACGAACAACCCTGTGTGGATTGACATAGCCTTGCAAAGACAGCACGGATTCGATCAGAAACGGATAAAATATCTCCAGTCCAGACCAAATATTGATGTTACCACCGTCGGCGGGGACTTGAGGAGAATCTGAGCCAGATTCAAAGTTCGGAGCCATGTCTGCCTGGGGTGTCATATAGTTTGCTTGGGCTTGGATACTTGGGGTGCTAGGTTCGCATTCTGGTAGATTGCATAGCGTGGAGCTGGATCTGCGATGTTCAATGCCAGTTCCTGGAGTACAGTGTTGAGGGTGAGGCATGCCAGGCTCCCCATTGCTCGAATTGATCGGGTTGAAATTCTCCGAGATACGATGCTCTTCGAATTGTCCCTCAGCAGCGACTGCTATATGATGCTCGGGCGACATTGAAGGCTGAGAGGGTTGGGCACCCCATTGCGTTGATGCAATTGGGGGAACGAACCGTGTTTCGCTATGTGGTTCCCAGTCGTAGTAGGGATTTGTGAACTGGTATGCCATATTAGACGGGTCCATGTCCTGAATCTGGGTCAGCACGAAATCAGTGTGACAAGATCGAGTTCTCTTGATCAATGTACTTCCGAATCTGAAGGCTGAGGCTCCGTCTGTGGGCGGCACTAATCTTGTTATCGTCCGCCACCCTTGGAATCTGTAAATTGATTTGGAACGATGTGGTTTGATAGTTGCAATGTGTGCGAGATATATGAGAGAACACTTCAGAAGACGAAGTCACATTCCTGAGCATAACTTTCCAAGGGCAGTACCTAGGTGGCCGAGGCAAGAACGATCGCGAATGGGTGCTGGTCCCGAGACGACCACCCAATCCAAGACAGGACTCGACATGGTCAATTGAGCAAAACCCATTCAAGTCCCATATATTAGACTGTAGGATTTGGGGATGTTCTAGATACGCAACGTTTGAATTTGATATACTTAAAGTGTACGCCTGAAATATCTGCGACGGAACAAGAAGGTGATAGAGGGAGAAGTGACTTTAAGTAGTAAGAACTGAGTCCTGGAGGACATTTGCTGGACATTAGAGGCCTCACCCAACGAAATTAAGGGATTCATGAGAAAGTTTCTCGATTAAAAGTGATGTGGAGAATTCTTGATCCTCAAAACACGAATTATTGTGTATAACTGCTGGGAGCCCGATGTCTGGATTGAAGTTCAAATAAAGTCGCGCTAGTGCAAGCGGCCGAGGGCGATGGCCAAATGCCAGGGAGCTTCCAGGCAGAGAGGTCATGAACTGCAATTCGTACCTCAACCGCCAATCATCAACAACACTCGTCACTCACTGTAAATACCCTCGTTTTCTCCATTTTTGGAAGTTTGACTCACACCAGTCTTTTACAACCTACGAACTTGTGTCGAAGCCACAACCACATCGAAACTCGCAGGCCTACCCCTCCTAAGGTTACAGTGCGGTCGATCAATGATGTGAAACCCCATATTTTATGCATTTCACAACGCTGCACACGCCATACATACAACCATGTCACATTCACAGCCTGTTCGGACAGGGACTCCTCAACATCGAGCACCAGGGAGTTTCTCACCTATGATTCAGCCTGCGAACTCACGGCCCGCTCTACGACGCGTTGATACCTCGGACGACGAAGATGAATCTCTCAGCATCAACAAATCTCGAGCAGTAGGAACTCCGCAGCATGTGCCTACCCCTCCACGACCTCTCTACTCCTCTTCTACAGCAAACTCGAGCACCAGCAGTCTACAGAACTTTTCTCGCCCTACACTCAATACGGCACTAGGTCCACAACCTGCCAGGAATGCTTCACCGCTGAGCGTTGCGCCGAAGTCTGCGACAGAATTTTACCGCGGGCACGGTAGGAAGCATTCCCAGACGCAGGGATCATTCGAACCATATCTGCCCACAGCGGCGAACTCGAATCTTGGAAGTATGGCAAGCGTCAACAGCGGGTTGAGTGCATCTCAAATCGCTGCGCAAGCAGCAATGCAGCACCAAACCCATAACAGACAAAGGTCGCAGACCGTACCTGCCCCGATAAATGATGGATCGAATGGTCCACAGAGTCGCAGACCATCAAGAGGAGGACCGATCAGCCCCCCGATGTTGAGCTTGACTGAAGCTTCAGGTCCACGAGAGCCCAGCTTTGGCGGACAGATATATCAGAACGGATTACTGGGAGGATCACACGGGAATGCTGCACAAACTGCTGCCAATATAGTATTCCCGAAATCTCCCAACAGTTCACCTGGGCTGCCAGCTACGGATCACGAATCGGTACACCGTATACAACCAGATAAACCACTGAAGACCGAGAAGTCCAAGGTAAAGCTCTTCTCCAGGCCGACAAAGATTGGCATAAGCAAAGATAAAGAATCAAGAGCCGGTGCACTCCCCAGTCCAAGTAAGATGGCCTCCTACACGCTGGCTTCCCTCCAGAGAGGAAATTTCAGTACCAACAGTTTGACAGATTCCATGTCGAGCGCCGCCAGTATGTACAGCATGGCCAATTCCTCGTCGGCAACGATACGGGCAGTTGAAAACCAACAACCGGAAAAAGACAAGGAGAAGCATAAACATCATTTCTTATCAAGACAGAAGCACAAGTTGACCAGTAAGGATGATCACCATCTACCACTATCGTCAGCTGCTAGCAATTCGAGACCCGTCGATCCAAGTGCCCCAAGTAGTTTATACAATTTCAACCTCCCACCAAGTCCAGGACCCACAAGTACAAGTTTCGCTAAGAGTATGAGTGGTCTCGATTTACGGCATGGTGGGCGGGCATTAAGAGAGAAGAAGAAAGAAGAGAAGTCTGATGCCCTTAGGGAGAGTGAATTGTCATATCAAAATACCAACGAGTGGCCAGGACCTTCGAGTCTGGGGTCTGCGGGCGGGGCATCATACCAAGCCTCAGCAGGTGGAAGTTATGGATATACACCCAGTCTCTATGGGGTTGATCCAGAGCTGGGCAAATACGGACTTACAAATTTAGGGCCTGATGATGCTTGGCCGTACTTGAAGGCTAAGCTTCTGATCATCTTCGAGGGAGAGGATTTACGATTACCTGTGGAGGACTTCAACCGACTAGTAACGTATGTCCCGCCATATCTCTGACATTGCCCTTGCTTACAATGACAGTGTCAATATTCAAAGATGCATACAAAAGCGGACTCCAAATTTGATTGTTGAGGACCTACGAGATCTATTAGCCACAGGGTTCAGTTCACTAGACCAAACACTGAGGCGGACTCCAGATGAACGCTTGATCCCGCACTTGGTCGAGATGTGGCTGTTCACATTCACATCCGTCCTACCTTATATGCAAGCAGTCTTTCTACCCCTCGACCTGGAATTCTCCGGCCATGGACCTCTCATGACACCAGAACAAGCTCGTGAATTTTGGGGAGCATTACCAACTTCCACCCAAGGCCCCAGCGGCAACAATCCTGCTTCACAGGCCCTCGAAGTGCGACGGATAGTATTGACAGCATACCGTGACACTGTTATCCTCCCAAGATTCGATACCCTGAAGACCATCTTCTCACGACTATCCCTCGAGTCAATATCGCTATCCATCCCAGCTACAGACATCCTCTCCACATCACCAGACTCATTCTCAGGCGGTAGACCCTCAACAGCGATGTCTCTCGACCCGTCACACGCCTCGTATGGCTCCCAGACTACCACTCTTCTAGGCGGCGGCAGCTCCGGCGACGGAAGCGGTAATCGCAGCAGAGCCATAAGTAACGTCTCCTACGGCTCCGAGCCCTCCTCCGGCCTCGGAATAGCCAACCTCCCTCCGCCCCCACAGCGACCCTTCACTCCCTCCTCGACACACCCTCTCCATCCTCTCAACCGCGGCCAGAGAGACAAGACGGTCGAAGATAGCAGTAAGCAGCTCACTGAGATGGTCGGCCGCATGCTGCAGTGTATGAGTGTTCTTGCTTCTGTTGGGGTGGGAGGAGGGGGCGATGAGGATAGTCAGAAGAAGATGGAGGAGTTGACGAGGGGGCTGAAGCTGAATTGGCTGGGGAGGGGGAGGATGGGGAGGGATAGGAGGGGGTTGGTGGGTGCGAGGGTGCCGGGTGTGGGGGTGGGTGGGAGTTCGAATCCGAATTCCAATCCGATGCTTGGGAGGGGCGAGGGCGTTAGTGTGATTTGATTTGGAGTTGGGTGAGATGTTCGTGACTTGGCTGATGCATTTGGAGGAGTATCTTGTGCTGCATATTCTGCGAGGAGAGAAGACCTATGATGGATGAATGATTCATTTGGAGTTGTGAAGGGATGTATGTTAACATTGGACTTGCCTTTGGGAGCGAGAGCGAGATCTTGAGAAACGGCGCAAAGAGTATATGAGGGACGAAATGTATGATGGTAATGATTGGTCTTGTATATGTATATGTATAGATACCATATCACGAACAGCTCAAATGTAAGATTACAATCTTGGACAACAGGCCTCTTGATTGCAGTGGCTGGCTGGCTACTCTTCCAGCCTTCATGATAGTCCGTGAGTGAGTCTTGGAGAAATTTCGACGATGTGATGATGGAGAGATCTTGGATAAGCAGTAAAGGACCTGGCAATATCTGCGTTTTGTGCGAGACTAGAATCTTCACCTAGCTTCGTGGTGGGTCTGAAACGGTGGAGCGAAGATAGTTCACTTTGGAGCTCCATGAGGCTTTGAAAGAGGTACTTTCTACCAAGTCTGTTTGTGAGGTAACATGCATCGCACTCCACGTTGGTTTAGGTTTCGACAGAAATGTAGGCGGTGTGGTATTGGTTGGTGTTGGGTAGTATCCGAGTGGCGTTGCAGGCAGCACGAGTCTCACATGATCAGGCTTGAGAAGATACGAAGGCAGATTTAAGGGCGAAAGCACGAGAGCAAAGACTTGAAACGATATAGATGACTAGGTCAGAATAATTCATTGTTTGTAGACAGCTATTGGGAGATCAAGCGCGAGGCTTGACATGCAAGACTGGCACGTAATAGGAGGAAGAATTGGACCTGAGAATCAGCGAATTAGCAAAGTCCTCGCAAAAAAACATGTTACAACGCGGTGAAGAATGAATAGCTTTAGTCAGACATCCAAGGAAGATTATACCCTCATCTGCCTCAAAATAGGTTCTAAGTAGAGGCTCGAGTGAAAACTGCGAATGTGGTTGTGTTTCATCATGAAAGCTTTTTGGAAGGGGAGAACCGGTATGAGATTGTGGGACTGACCTTTTGTGGGTGAGGTGGGTGTGAGAGACCTGTTTGTAAGTTGTGATATAGTTGTAGCAATGTCCGGTGTGCGTCGCAGAGAAGGTGAAGAAGTTTTTCAGTCACTGGCCGAAGCCTGAACTCGTGCGCTGGTACCGGGAAGTACCCCTCCGACGGTAATGTGCCACAAGGCTGAGGTAGATCCTAATCTAGAAAATCTTTGCAGGTCAGTAAATGCTCGACAAACGATTCTCAAGAAGAAACAGTGACGATGATCATAGCTCAGACAAGGTGTACTGGCAAGTAACAAGCTCCCCACGTATGGAAAAGCCCGAACAGCGTAAGCTTCATCATTGGCGATTAAGTTGGGAAAAGAAGGTATTGTATCAATTGTCATCATTGGAGATCGAGCGCGCACAGGAAGGAGGAGTTATCAAACATACCATTGGTTGTATTGAATATTGCGGTGCGCGCGTGCGCGGGAGGAGGTGATGGTGGGAGAAGGTGTGATGTGGTGAAGAAAGATTGAGGTTCAGAAGAAGATTCTCAAATATCTTCAAAATTTTAGCGCGAAACCTTAGCGTCGGCCGCTAGCGGAAGACCGAGCCGCAGAAATCCAGTCGATCACGTGGATCGTACCAAGCAAACAAGGCAAACCTCTCCCTCGCTCTCCCTAGGCAGGTAAGGCAAGGTAGGAGGTAGGTGTACCGCCGCAACTTCAAGCTTTCGGGCTAAGTTTCAAAGTCAAATAAATGAGAACAACTGCCGGGTGAAAATCAATGGCCGGTAACTTTTCAGAAATGCATGTTTCCTTGGTAGAACAGTTCTCGCAAGGTGTGGAAGAAACTTACTTACCCCTCCCTAGGTACCTTGGGTATTATTATTTTCGATCGACGGGGAGACAACAGAAACCCAAGGCCAGATACAGGACCTGCTTTTTGAGGTACCTATGATAGGTGGCGTCTTGCAGGTCACCATTTTGTGTGCTACCTATAGTACCTTTAAGCAGGTAGGTAGATTAGTCTAAACTTCTAAAGTACCTTCTGAAGCTTCAACCCAAGGCATCTGCAAACAGTGGATGTAACTAAATCCGAAAGTCACGTTGATGTATATCACGTGGCATGCAGCTCAACACATTTCATCTCTGCATCGTTTAAATGGATAAACCTCCGTCTCCAGATACCCTTATACGGATATGCTCAGAGTTATTGTTAGTCCAGTCAAAATAGAATTCATGTTGTTCATTTTCAAGACATTCCAAGGTTCTCATATCTCGGGATTCAACACGTGAGATCGGAATCCCTCCACCGGGGCACGTTGAAGCCCGCTCCACTCCAATCAGTCCCATCCACACCTGGTGTCTTTGGCGCACCTTCTGTTCTCGCCCCTTCTTTTTTGCTTTTGCTTTTGCTTTTGCTTTCGCCCTCGCCGTTCCATGGCATGATCCCCTCCCTCCCGCTCGGCCTCTGTTGTATTGTTCTCGTCCCGACGCCTGGGAACGAACTCGCTGTTGCCCTCCGAGACCTTCACCCTGCCCTGCACTGCACTGCACCAAGCCAGCGCCGGCTTCCAGAGACCACCACCCAAAGCCAAAGCCAAAGCCAAAGCCAAAGCCCCAAAAGTCTATTCTGACAACAATCATTTTTCACACCTCACAATACATTGCTTCCAGTCCTCACGTTGTCACCGAATCATAATCCGCATTGCATTGCGTTGCGCAACTGTGAATGCCCTCCTCATCATCGTACTTCTACTTCTCTGCATTGCATTCATTCAATCACTCAATTGCTTGGGCACGTTTAGACATTCTCTCGCTACTGCACTCTCTATCTGCCGACTTCCCAGGCACTGCACTGTTTCCCCTTAGATGTTACATCAGCACCCACTCCCACTCACACTCCCACTCCCACTCCCACTCCCACGCCTACGCCCACGCCCAACTTCGACATCCTGACCAGACCAGGGCTCCTACCACTGTACCGACCACCTCGACCAAGGGTTCGCAAGTATCCCCCGGGAAAACCACCGCGACTCTATTCCCACGACACACAACCGCCTCGATCGACGAGACTTGTCCGCTGCGCGCGTGGCATCAACCGCACACCGAGCTGTCTCCCTCGTTCGTGCCCATTACAGAACCGGGCTTTGCGACACGACACAACACGACACGGCCCTCGACATTGGCACATTCAGACGACCGCCGCTGTTGCACGCATCTCTGTGCTACTTGCCTACCACGATCTTCTCTTTCTTCGCTTTCTGAACATATCTGCCAGGTCGCACCATACTGCGAGGCCAGATAGGACGACAAACACTTCGACGCTCGAGAAAAGCAGCTTCTGGTATTGCGCCATTTAGCCTGTATCCGATCGCGACAAAACTGCACCTGCCAGCCCCCTACAACCCTCCCACGACGACGAAATCGCAATTGGCGCCGTCTTCGTGGAGTATAACATCACTACCGGCTTCGACAGCGCGGACGGGCATATCAGGCTTAGCAGCCGGCGGAGGTGGATTCAGAGCGTCGCGGCGCATGTCAGGTGTAGAATTGGCATACTGCGAGTTCCACATCGTGGATAGTCGCCTCCAGCAATATGATGACCAGTATGCAAGCATACTCACCACACCCAGGTGGAATGCAGCAACAACATCCAGGTATGGCCCCTGGCCATCCTATGGCTATGCCTCATAATCAGGGACAACAAGGACAACCAGGTCCAGGCATGCAGCAGATGCAGATGGGAGTTTCTGGCCCCGGACCACAAGTCACTCAAGGAGGCGCCATGATGGGTGGCATGCCCCCAGGAGCTGGTGGACCAAGTCAACATGCTCTGCACCATCTTAATCCGGGCCAAGCCCAGCAGGCGCAATTTTTACAACAGCAACAAGCCATGTGTAAGTGTTTCCAATTTGTGACAGTTCCCGTAGATCGCAGCTGCCTTGGGATTTTTGACGGGCCGATGCTGACCACACCTCTCTCCAGTCGCAACCAATCCTCAATTACAGATGCAACAACAACAGATGATAGCCCAACAACGACAACAACAAGCCCAGCGACAAGCCATGCTGGCACAACAATACAGTGGTGTTCCGATAGGGCTCCCAAATGGGATGAATCAAATGACACAAGCCCAGTTCCATGCGATGCGGGGGAATCCCATGGCTCGACCTGTCAATCTGCCACAGCATCTCCAAGCTCAACAGCAACAGGTAGCTGAAAATAGCTTGCAGCAGCAGCAACAACAGCAACAAGCTGCTCAGCAACACCATGTGAGAATCTGCCTATCCTCCCCCCCCCCACTACCGTTGATCAGGCTAACATGTCCAGCATCAACAGCAACTCATCATGGCCCAGCAGATGGCAATGCAACAGCAAGCAGCACAAGCTCAAGCAGGGAACAATAATCAAGGTCAACCTGGACAAATGAATCCTCAACAGGCACAGAATGCACAGGCTCAGAATGCAATGATGCAGCAACAAGCTCATCAACAACAGCAAGCACAGGCAGCAGCCGCCGCCCAGCAGAATCAAGGACAAGCCCAAGCCCAAGGGCAGGGACAACCTCAGCAACCGCAACCAAATCCACAAGCTCAAGCACAACAACCCCAACAGGTTCCACAACCACAACAGGCCGGATTACAACAGCAGCAGGCAGCAGCCGCTGCTATGTTGCAGCAGCAACAACAGAGACAAGGGGACAAGATCAAGGGCCAGTGTTTGATGAAGTTGATGCAATTCGGCGACCATTTAAGTAACTTTGGGGTAAGCTCGAAACCACTATCATTGTATATGGCCAATGGTACTCAACGACTGGCTGCGCAGGGAACCAAACAGCGTGATGACCTGAATTATTGGTTAACATTCGTCGATCGGTTCTTTTCTCCGAAAGGAGTTCTTCGTCATTCCGTATGGCTCGTTGACGAGACTTCCAACAAGCAATACGAGATCACGTTTCCGGCACTAGCAAGATACTTCCATACTCACTTTGAGAGTGGCATCAAGAACATGCAGATGATCATGGAACGAGGATCAGAAAAGGAATTGCCAAACAACGGACATTACATTGAGAGCCAGAAGTCGAGTTTCGTGTATTGGTTCGATAATGGATCTCAGGTAAAATTGACCCAGACAGTGATATTGACCCTTGCTAATACGTGGTAGCTGGTTGCGAATGGTACGCTGAAAGCCCATTTCGACGCTGACCAGAAGATCGAGCTTCTCGAATTCGTTACAAGCAGTCACGAGGAGTACCTGCCCCGGACACAGATACTTAACGCAGCTCGACCATTACATGAATGGCAGAAAGAGTGGCACAAAGTCAATGCACCACCAGAGGGTAAACAGTCCCCCGAGATGAACAAGAAGAAGGCAAAGGCAATGAAATCGCCGCCACAAGCCCCGCCTGAAATAGATCTCCCTCAATCAAAAGTGAAGCCAAGTATGGGCATTACGCCGGCGGTATTTCGGTATCTCGAAGTAAGTCTCGGCTCAATTCTGCAAGTCTTTGTCTAACCTTTCAAGCTTGCCGAAGTCCTGGGTATGATGAATCCATTGTTCAACTACTCGCATCAGCATTCAGATTTAAACCCTTACGGCGCTTTGGACCAATACGTCACTAATGTGACTGCCAACGGAGCCAACAATCCTGGTGCGCAACCCAACCCGAACGGTCCGCGAACACCCAGCATGGGCAACTTTGGCGCGTCCCCTGCAGCATCTCATCTCGTCCTTCCTGATGGTTCACCACGACCACATGGTAGTCCGGCTCAAGCTCCTGGTATGCAACTCCAACAAAGCCAACACGGAACCAGTTCCAGCGGCCCAAGTGCAAATACCAGTCCTAACGCAAGTAATAAACGTAGGAGGCCAAGCACCGTAAAAGCAGAAGAAGAGAATCAGCAACAGCAGGCAAACGGCACGCAAACGAAAACCGCAGTCAAGCCAAGTCCAAGAATAGGGGGAAAGAGACAGAAAGGCAACCCAGCATGAACGCCGATTGTCCAGTTTCTTATTATCCAGCTCCTCCACGTTGCAAAATCACCTGCATGCAACGCCCAATCGAGCCGACCTGATCCCCTACTGCGCGGCTCGCCAACGTCGAATCCTCGAAGGTCAATCACCCCTTCAAGACATGTGAAGATTCGACCACATACAAAATCAATCAAATTACATACAACCAGCGTGGCGCTTGAGGAACATTCTGAATTCCGGCTCATAGTTTTGCAAATGCGTTTACTGTTCATTGTTTATTTCCTCATCATCATTGTCATTGTCAGCATCATGTTCGGCGGTATGGGGGTGGGTTGCTCGGGGCGAAAGAGGCGGAGTAATCTTGTATTATATTATCATTATTACTGTTTTTGGTTTTGGAAGTTGTCTAGTTAAAGACAGGCGCTCGGGGTGCTTTTCCTTTTTGCTGGCTTCCTCATTTCATCGCTGGGCATGGCGTCTGCGTTTTGCGAAATATCGAGTCGTGAATTTGTCAGTGGTTTTCCATGCAATCGGTTATGGCTCTGTCCCTTGATTTTGCTGCTGTATACCCGTGTTATGGGGGCAGTTGGATCGTTCGGACAGCCTGCTCCTACGTGGCTAGTTATAGCGCTACTCTGTGGTCTAGGTGGGAAATACAAGACGAATCGTCCTCTATTTTGGGAGAGCTGGGGATGCGACGCGATGTTGGAGGGGAGGCATCAATAGAAATCTTGCGGGGCGATCAAATAGCGAAGAGGTTGTGCACGACTTATATGGTATGAGGTGCATGGCATGAGGAGATAGTACGTGGTTGGAGTCAAGAACGGATCACATCAAGTCAAATCACGCACCTCTTAACTTTGCGAGAGGAGAGAAAGGGAAAGAGAAAGTTAAAATGAAAGAGAATATTATGAGATTATAAGCTAGTGAAATCGGGCACCGGGAATTGAGAATTGAGAATTGAGAATTGAGAATTGAGAAAATCCGTTATTAACCATGCCCATGCTGACTTATGTTGTCTGATGTGATGACTTCTCCTGTATGTCTGGGTGACAGGGAAAAATAGTGTAAACGTGTGGTCCCTGAGTACTGGTGATATATATAATATTGGATTATTAAAGCTATCTATCGTATACTACCTAGAGGATCTGAGATGGTATTGTGGACGTTGGGAGGTTGGGATGGATGGGTAAGGAAGCGTATAGATGTGTGTGTGTGTGTGTGTGTGTGTGGTAGGCTGGAGGGGATGGGGGTATAGGATAGGAGAAGTGAAAAGAAGAGAAGTGCGAGGGGAAGAGGGTTGAAGATTAGGTAGAGTCAGATGATAATAAATAAATAAAAAATCAGCAATATATCTCTATTCTGGCATGTTGAAGAGAGGTTGAGAAAAAAAACATCTTCATAGACTCTTGAAAATGAGACGTTGAATTCGATAGCCTCTCTCTCTCTGTTTTGATAGCTCCAGTGAGTGGAGGCGCGGAGGGTGATAGGAGAGTGAGGTAGCGAAGCAAGAACGAAGTTCCGATGAAGCGAACCTGAGGAAACATGACTTGTTTCTCGAACAAACAAGAGTGAAGTTGAGGGGTATGTCCAACATATTTCTTCTCGTTATTTCACGTTTCTTATTTTTCTTTTTAGGTCTAACAGTGCTTGCCATCCTAAGCTGACAAATTTTAGTTTGTATGGCGGTTTGTTTACTTATTTCGATGGGCTGTGGATTATGGATGTGAACCTCACTGCCAGAAGCCTCAGATTTGACTCAACAGCTACAGTGGATATAAATTTTCGCAACTCAGGGGAAAGATATCGCTAAGTTGCACCCGCAAAAGTGGTAGCACTGTCATATTGTTAGGATATTGGCTTTGAAAACAGAAAATTAGTCATACTAGCAGCATCCACATAACAGAAAACCTAAGAAAAGAAACCGATGCTCTGTTACAAAAGCTCCTTGTCGTCCGACCCCCAATACGCTTCTTGTGCTGGTGTCATCTCCAAGTGAGGAACAAGTGTCCTTCTCAGTGTCTCCATGACCTCGCCTGCCAATCTCTGTTGGTAGACTGGGCATTTCTGAGCGTGTGCCAATGTTTCTACCCTCGCAATCAGATTGGCAGTATCTTTGGGATGTTGGTTGCCGAACGCATTCGCAATAATTTCGCTCACGGTGAAGGTTCTCCTCAAGCTGCGATCATCGGGATCCATTACCCAACATTTCACGCCTACATCTGGTTCGTTGGCCAGCAGAAGCTGGAATACTTCAAGCCAATTCCGGCGTTGCTCCGCGTCCTGATTATGTCCAAACATCGTGAGATCATGGTAATGAAATGGCGGCTCAGATACAGTGGACAATGCACTCTTCCATGGTGTCCAGCTAGCCCAATAGGAAGCTCGTATTAGGTCACTGAGACCGGACATGTGCGCTGGGGCTTGACTGGGACAATGCTCATTCACTTCGGCCCCCGATTGCAACAGTATCTGAACCATCCTCGGGGTTATTGCACATTCAGCTATAGAACCATAGGGTTGTCTCGCTAGAGCGTAGTCCAGATAAGGCCTACCCGGTTTCTTGATGCCCAAAGAGTGCTTAGCAATTTTGAGTTGCACGTAATCCGTAATACTGTAACAAATCGCCAAAGATAGAAAATCATCGTGAAACATGTTTTCATTTAGTTGCAGTGTTTGTCGTGGGATAATTCGGATAATTGCCTTCTCGAGATCATGAATATACCGCGAGTGGCAGCAAAAGGCAATATGTCGGATTGCAGAAGTCACCCACGACACCTCCTGGTCAGATTGTATGAGCTGCATGGTGCTGTCAAGAAGATCCAGAAGTCCAACAGGGCTCGGCTTGCCTTCTTGCAGGCGAGATAAAGCTAGAAGAAGTGTGGAGTCTACAAGACTGTTAAGCCTGGTTCTGAATCCGGTGAGGGCTACCTTCTTAGCAATCCTGATCCTCTGTATCATTGACCAGATAAGCGGCAGCTTTGGGTCGAGGTCATTGTCTATTACGCGCTGGAAGAAGCTTATCGTCTCATCCAGCACGAGGAATTCTTTGACAGAATGATGAATGTATTGTAGCGGCAAGTCCATCATCTTTTTCTGTTTCAACGCTGTGCGTTCCTTCAAGTCTTTATTCTTGTGCTCATCTTTGTCCATGTCCTTTGGTCATGATTTTCCTTCTCATCTCCATCTGATTGATCTTTCGATGTTGTAGCGGTTCTGCTGCTTCCCAAGTCCCATTCGGGGCGCCCGACTTCAACAAGTCCCAGGCACCTCGTTTTCAGTTTCAATGAAGTTTGTTTGATGGCATTGCCAATATCATGGAAGTCAGATAACAAATTTGGTTGCCTTTTTCCAGAAGACGTCACGCTAGAATAGTCCAGAGCGAAGTGCAAGCCAAGCAGTGTTAAAACTGCCCCTTCATTCTTACGAAAGGCGCTCCAGTAATCTAATCGCTCGGCCATGGAAAATCCGACCCCAGCGAAGGTAAAGATCCTCGCGCATTCAATTCGATATTGTGGTTCGACGTGCTCCAGCATATGTCGATACAAGCCCAACAAACTGGATGGAACTAACTTCAGCCGGCTTCGCAGGGTCTCGAAGTCATCCAAATTGTCAATGCCATCAAGGAGCGATTTTACAACCAGGCGAACCCACATAAAGATACCTTGGGCTTGGCGCACAACCAGTGAAACGAGGGTCGAAAGTTCTTCACTAGATAGATGGGACGAATCTAATCTCGCAGTGCCGCCCAATAGCTTGTCTTCTGTGTATCGGTAGATATCACTGTACGTGAGATGTTGAAGGCTGAGCTTTGATTGTTGGTCGAAGTGCTTGTGGAAGATCTGATAAGGTCTACTTGAGAAGCAGATCTTGACATTGGCCCGATCCAGCGAAGTGAGAGACTTGATGCGGCAAATGACCTCCCTGTAGTCATTTCATGGCGCTCAGAGTTCGAGTAATGGTCGGAAGCTCCTTGATATTCATCGAGTCCATCGATGAAGAGGGCCACCTTTCCTAGATCTCGGGAAATCAGATCCTTCAATGCCTCAAACGCATAAGGAACAGTCCAAGCTCGCAAAATGACTGGTACATTTGGGTTGCTTAGATTATTCCACAATTCAGGAAAAACGTCCTTAATCGAGCTACGATGCTTCCTGAGCAGATAGTGGAGCAGGGATCTGAATAGCCCGGTTTGAGAGCATTGATCTGGGTTGCCACTATTCCAGAAGAAAAAATATTCCATAGTGAGTTCCCGCTCTCCAGCCCACTTCTTAAGCTTCTCCTTCGTTCGGGAATCCTTCACAATGTACTTCATTAAAGTGGACTTCCCAGAGCCGGCTTTCCCATTGATCCAATACAGCTTCTTGTTGCTTCCTTCCAGCCAATCCGAAAATTGATTCCAAGTGGGCTGCTTCGAATTTCCAAAAATCCAATTGAATGTTTTAGCGTGAGCTGGATCGATAGTCTCGTATCAGACGTCCATGTAGGGAAGCTCAAGTGCTGTAAGATGGCGTCTTCTCTCCGCTTGTTGTCTTGGCTTAGTTCTTGCTTCTGCTTCTTAGTGACGGCCTGGATGAACTCTGCGTAGCTTTGATCGAAATGTCGCTTTATATTAGGGCCCGTTTGGATCGGAAGTGACAACGCACGGTCCAGCTTTGTCGGATTCTTAAGCGAGATGCAGAAGTAACGCCAAGATTCCTTTGTCCCACTGAAATTTAGTAGGGATTAAGAATAGAAATTAAGTCGTGTCATGAAAAGGCACTAATGCCGATTTTGAAGGGCGCTAGTTCTAGTGGACTGTACGCTGGAGGGTACGCTGGAGGGGCTCTTAAGGGCCCTGTAGTGAGTACCTTATTAGAGTAGTACAAACTCACTTTCAGGGTACTTGCTTACTTCTTTTTAATATAATCGCAAATCTTATAATTTGCGTGTTATTAAAAAACTTTCTTAGATACACTTTTTAATTAATACCTTTTAAATCATTCAAGTTTGTATTAAATAGATTATTTTTAAATACTTTAGTTAATAAGTTATATTTAATTTAAGAAAGAAATATCCTTTAGTTAAGCTTTAGGACCTAGCTAGCTCAGACATAAGGTGATAAAGTGACACTTTTGACACGATTTCGACTTTTAGTGTTATTTGTAACAAAAAACTAAAGTTAACAGAAATAACAGATATTTCTAGAAGTGACAATATCGAGCTAAACAGAATTGTCACTTATTTGTTATTTCTCAAAGTGACGGAAGTGACGATTTTGTTATCTCGAGCTTTAGTGTCACTTCCCAAGTGTCACTTCCGAGCTAAACAGGCCCTTAATCTCCGTTGTCTCATGAAGAGTTTGGATAACAGCCGTCTGTCTTCCGAGTTCTTGTGCAAACACACCTTGTCCTTCAATGAGCAACTGAACGAAGCGTCTCCCTTGGTCCTCCAGAGAAGCAAATTTCTCCGAGTTCCGGATTGAAACCAAATTGTAGACCTCCCTACAGACGCAAAGTAAGCTACCATTTAAAACAACTTGGAACGTTAAGATTGCCAAACATTCCCAGAGACATTGCCAAAGAACACTAGATGCAGACTTAAGCTTGAGTAGGATGCTGAATTGAAACTCAGAACGAAAATCGTTTAGCCTGCTCAATTTCTCTTCGAGATCTTTCTTTCCCCATATGCTCTTCATAGCAACTTTAAGTTTGCTCAGCCCTCTGGACTTGGCATTCTCGTCCAAGGTAAGCTTGTTCAGCTTCGTAGACATTTCTCTCGCAAGAACAGCACATCGCGAGGCGAGGTTTTCGAGCTTCTGCTCACTTGCAGTCGGCTGTGTGGTGGTAGATGAACCGGTCGCACTAGACAGCTTGAGCCCGTCTAAGCTGAGAGATAATTTGTCGACGAGCATTTGCATGTCGGAGATGTCGTCTGTCGCGCCAGAAGCGGAATGGGAGATATCTTGGATCTCTGAGATCAACTTGCATCCGACATCAATGAATCCAACGATATTGCTGGCAAGGCCTATGGCCACCAGAGCCATATTGACAGCCCTGAAACCTCTTTCGAACAGTCTCTTGTTCCGTACGCTATCAAAGGGATGTGCAAAGAATCTTTTGCTGCAGACAAGATGCCGAGTGCTTCGTATGTTGTGAGAATGAACAGAAGTTTCCCCTGCGGCGAGTACAAAAGTGGTCTGAGGCTAAGTCCCAAATTCATCGATCAGGCTGGCGCTTAAGCGAATGCTGTGATAGGCACATGACTGATCAAGTGTTAGGCTTATAACATCTGGATGATAGGACGGTAGGCAGTGCCGGAGAGCTGTGTCATGCAGTGTAACAAGCAAAGCCCTACCGGACGCTGCACACAAAGCGGTCTTCATGGCGAAATGTATACACTCGGTACCTCACGCAAGAGTTGTTGCAATATTCTAGATGTATAGATGTTTTGTGTTGACTTGACAAATACAGCATGTGTAGGAGGAAAAGAACAAAGAGGAAGACGAAGACCATTCATTAAGGATGGAAGACATCGCCATGAAGGCGGGACCTCGCTCCTTCCTACCAGCAGTAACGAAACTTGAAAAGCAAGACATGAATGGGAAGAACCACCCTTTTTTTTTGCCGCGCTTTCCTTCCTCCATGTGTTAAACTGAGGGAGGACGAATTTTTCCTCACAATATACTTCTGTAAAGGGCCTAGGAATGGAAGGTTCGCCCCGGGCAAAACGTACCCATGTCCAGTTTCAGAGGCTAGATTTACGCTCTTATCCGTGATATGGGAGAGTTAGATCGAAATATGCATCAGTCTGCGATCTCAGAGATTCTCAGGTGTTCTTCAGAGTATCCTAATGCATACTAGAGATGATGTTGGTCAAAGTTCATAACACGCACTACATCATCTAGCTCACCGAATCCTCTAGATTTCAAACCAACGCCCCACGACCTCCAACTCTCAACAGCGCGGCCTTCTGCTCCTCACTAATCTTCACATCCGGTAACACCTTCTTTCCCTTTCCAGCAGGACCACCAACGAAACCGATTCCAACCAGGTAAGCGAGATATCGTCCCATGATCTCCTCGTCAACATATCCACCTGCTGAGAGGTCCTGAGAGGTAAATTGGATGTCGGACTTTAAGGAGGCGGTGGCGTTTGGGTCGGCCATTTCAGGGGCGATGGTGTCGTCTGGTAGGGAGGTTGTAGCGAAGTGGTACAGTGGCATTCTGTTTTCACATTGTCAGCCAATTTGTTCGGAAAGGAGAGAAAAGAGGCTGTGCGAAAAGAAAAGACCTACAAAGCATGCTGTTCTCTTCCATCACCCTCGCCCTGACCTGCAGCATAGTTCTCCAACTTCCTCTTCCAAACGTCATATTCCACCTCAGGAACCTCCCACCCATAGCTCTCAAGCATAGCGAGATACTGACTAAACGTCAAGCGTGGATGACTCGTTATCTGGGCGACAGCCAACTTCCCCTTCTTTGGAGGACTCAGTGCCGAGGCAACGACTACGCGCGCTACATGGCTGACGGGGACTTGGTTGACTGTGTTTGCGATTCTGGGACGGCAACTGAGTTGGATACAGCCCTTCGCCATACGGATCAGGAAATCATCGGTGTTAGTAACACCGCTGGTCGGATCACCAGTCACGTATCCAGGACGAATGACAGTCCCGCGAAGACCCCGCGAGCCCGCTGCGCGCACGAGATACTCGGATACCCATTTGCTTTGACCGTAGCCGGTCCCTAAACCTGTGGCACTACCGGAAAGGTCGTCATCCTCGGAGACGGGAACGCCAGATGCGGATTGCTTGACGAAATAGTCCGTGTCGAGGACGGAGGTGGATGATACGAAGGCGAGTTGCTTTGGAGTACCAGTAGAGCAGAGAGCGAGGATATCCAAAGTGCCTTGGACGTTGGCCGGGCGGAGATTGGAATACGGGTACACCCAGTGGACGAGCGCACCATTATGAACGATTACGTTCGCGTCTTGAGCGACTTTTGCGAATGTTGCTTCTGAGAGTCCCAAGCGAGGTGAACCGAGGTCACCCACGACGCATGTTATTCGTGACTCCCAAGAGGAATCCCAGACGCCATAAGCCTGGCAAGTTTGTTTGACCCGATTGAGGGCGGTGGTTGGGTCGAGGGCGCGGACGTGTGCGATGACTTTGATGGGTGGAGAGGAGCGAGTGAGGAGATCCCGCAGGAGATATGCGCCTAGGAAACCGGTTGCACCCGTGAGGAAGACGGTTAGTGGAGTGGTGGGTGTGATGGGTGTGTCTGATGATGGGAATGAGGATGGAAGTGTCTTGAGGAGAGCTTTGGCGTCGGCGGCGTAGTCTACTACAGCTTCGACTTGTATTTCTTCACTGGTAGTCGAAGATGTGCGGCGCTCGATCTGAGCAGCAAACGTCTTGAGTGTGGGATTCTGGAACATCACGCTCATGTTGATCTTGATACCGGACCATTTGCGATTGACTTTGAAAAGCATCTGTTGGGCGAGAATGCTGTGTCCACCAATGTCAAAGAATGAATCGTCGGGGCTAATGGTTCGTTCGTCGACGGTGGGGATGAGAGAGCCCCAGATACTGGCAACGTCCTTTTCGGTTTCTGTGAGATCAACATGCTTGCCTTGTGGTCTTGCGGCGGCGAGTTGCGCTGCGTCTGGGAATGGGAGAGCGGGCTTGTCTTTCTTGCCATTGGGGTTTAGAGGGAATTTGTCGAGCGGAATGATGACTTCTGGGATGGCGTACGAAGGGAGCTTCTCCTTGAGAAATTGCTTGACGTCGTCTCCTAACGGCCAGAATCGTCGAAGTCGTCCTTGGATTCCTTCACCAGATGTGTCGTCTTCCAAACCCTTCTGTTCAAGCCATCTTGCCCACTTCTGCATATCTGGCACGATATAGCTGACAAGAGTCTGTTCTTCATCCTTATTCCTTCGGACCAGAGTGACATTGTCTAGTACCATCACATGATCAGACAGATATTTATCGATTTCACCAAGTTCGATTCTAAACCCTCGGATCTTGACTTGGTCATCCGCACGGCCAACACACTCCACATCTCCAGTTGGCATGTACCGACCGAGATCACCAGATCTGTACATACGATCTCTCGGCCCCTGGTAGAATTCTCTCCATGGTTCTTCCGCGAGGGACTTCGCTGCTTTCTTATCCTCCTCAATCCACTTGGAATTATCGACGAACCAACTGTCCACGAACTTAGTTTTGGTAAGCTCGTCACTGCCGAGATATCCCTCAGCCAAACCAGCAGCGCGAACGTATATTTCCCCGATCTCACCAACGCCGCAGACACGGTTTCGGTTTTCGCGGTCCACGATGAGAAGCTGGACATCCTTCATGCCTTTACCGGCTGGAATGACATTGCCCATGTTCTCCAGGTACTCTGGATCGGAGGCACGGCTAGGAATCTCGTAGTAACTGACGGCTCGCTGCGTCTCGGTAGTTCCATACATGTTCACTATGAACACATTTGGAGCCAGCTTCTGCAGAGACTTGCAATCTCGCTTAATTAAGATATCTCCAACGAAGAATGAGTGGTGCAGAGCTGGGAATTCAGCACTAGCTCCACCGACCAGAATCTGACCCATCGCAGGTGTCAAGTGAGTGACTGTAGCACCATGTTCACGCATCCATTCGGCCAGTCTCTCATGCTGGATATCATCCTTGGAAGGTACCAGAAGCTGAGCTCCAAGAAATAGAGGAGTGAAAATATCTCGTTGGATGGGATCATGAGCAATACCTGACAACATCGTAAACTTGTCATTCTTGGTAAGGTTGAAATTCTCAGCCATCCAATCAAAGTAGTAGGCAAGTGAATAGTGTCTGCCTCGGACGCCCTTGGGTCGACCTTCGGATCCTGATGTGAAAGACAGAGTAGGTGTGGAATCCGGTCCCACCACAACTCCGGGACTCTTGGCTTTCAAAGACACTTGATCTGCTAGAACGTCCTTCCCGTTGATGTTTCCACCAACAAGAGTTCCATCATCATTGAGTTCCAATCCGGGAACCTCAGTCCGAAGTTGCAGATTCTCCTTGATAAAGCTTCGAACTTTGTCCGTCAATTCTCCAGCCTCTTTGGTTGCTTTATCAATGACAACGAGGGCTCGAGGTCTCGCAACATCAAGATAGATGTTCTGACGATCCGGAGGATAAGAAGGATCGATCACTGAAAATGTAGCTCCAGCCTTCAAGATTCCCATAACTGTCACTACCAAGTCAACACCTCGATGACTGTAGGACATGACCACTTCCCCTCGCTGAACACCTGACTGCACCAGATGATGAGCCAAAATGTTTGAAGCTTCATTGATCTGACGGTAAGTGAACTCTCTCCTTGGTGAGGACCCAGATGCAGTTTCAACGACGCATAGTCGGTCTGGATGTGCTTCAGCATTTGCAGAAAAGATATCTTGGATAGCTCCTCGGTATGCAGACCAATGAAGGTCGGCTGTGGGATCTGGGAGATCTGGTTTGGTGGACATTGTGATCAAAGGTTGACACCGAAGATTTGATAGAAGAAATGAGGCCAATCGTTATTTGTTCGGAGTAGATATGAGGAGATATATCAGGGTCCAAGTGGGGTAAATGAGTGACTAACACTTAGTACCTGGCCTGATGCACGAAATGTTCAGTTGTGATAGTGATCCCGGTTCTGATATCAATTGAAACTGAGGGCATTCACAGAAGTCTAACCCAGAGACAGATATGAGTTATGTAGTGGAGGAAAGACGGGAGAATAGAAAATATGGAAGTAAATACACGAGGCGGAGTCACATCCGGACAATTCTCAGCCTCGCGAAAATTGTGTGCCGTTATCGGAGTCACGTGCATCTACCCCTGATTCTCTATCGCAGCTGGCGCCAACGCTGGCTTGGCTCGAGTTGGAAATGGATTGGAATGTCCAAATATAGCATCAACATTGATGGCATTCTGACATTGTGTCCAGACTCCCACGAACTTGCTGGGTTTTCTTCTTTTCTTTGGAGTCTTATATCTGCAGCGTTCTTGATTTTGTTTCAGCCTCTGTTCGCTATCTCGTAAGGTTCCTGGAAACAGCGCAGGACACTCTCGGACCGCGTCACCAAACGACAAAGTCAAGGATCCAAGACTATTAGATTCTCGACGGCTACAGACCGCGAATCGACCTTTCTCGATGCGCTCTTGATCGATTATCAATCTGCGGTTTCATTGCCTTTCACAGCGACTCCAATTCTATACAATGCCAGTCCAACGCACATTCATGGGCAGGCCAGTACGCTCTCTGCCTCCTCGGCGGATGGCAGTTCTTCTTGGTACCATTGCCGTATTTGCTGTGATGACTCTTGTCTTTACACTGCCAAATTCGATACCGGCAAGACCATCACTCGGCAGGTTTACAGACCATAAGATATCGATGCCAAAGATCCCCAAGAAGCTGTCGCCCAGCATCCTCAACCCCTTCAGACCAGCAGCACATGCTCCACCAGTCCAGAAGAATAGCACGAGTGGGGAGGCGTCGTGGTATACGAATTGGAACTGGCTGAGTCCTTTCTCGTCCTCAGTGACGCTGGATGAGAATCGGTCGCTACTCCCGCCCGTGCAAGAACGACCCCCGATTTATACATATTATGATCACACGTCGAAGAAGGATGAGGAGCTCAAGAAAGCTGAGAATGCTATCTTGCTGACATGGAGACGGGCGTGGTGGGCACAAGGCTTCAAGCCAATCATATTGAGCCCAGCTGAAGCCATGAACAACCCAATGTATGCGGAATTGCAGATGAAAGAACTGGAGGAGCAATTAAAGACTGAGTTATCGAGATGGTTGGCTTGGGAGAATATGGGAACTGGTTTACTCTGCAACTATCTGCTGCTTCCCATGGGATCACACGTGGATCCACTGTTGGCATACCTACGGAGAGGGGATTATCCAAAATTGACTCGATTCGACAACTTAGGAAGCGGAATGTTTGCAGGATCCAAGGCCGAAATTACAGCAGCTCTAAAGGAAGCATTGGCGAACAAGGATCTAAAGACTGCGAAGACCTTCATCGATGCTGTGAAGCCAGACACTTTCGAGATCGAGCCAAAGCATGAGTCTTTGGCTTATTACGATGCAAGGACGGTTCAAGACAAATACCCCAAGATCGCAGACAACATAGTTGGAAAAGGGGCTGCAGGATTGGTGATCTTGAACAAGCTCACCGTTTCCCATCTCCACGGAACATGGCAGAATGTATTCTCCAAAGGAATCGCAGTTCTAAAGCCCCATCCAGACCACATGACCTACGCTGTCGAACCCGCCTTGAAGCTTGCGAAATTCTTGTCTCAATGTCCGGAATCACCCATGCCAGCATCCTGCCCTCCCAACCTTCCACGGTGCAAGCCATGCGTGGCGTCAACGCCCATGAAGATTACTACCCCCGAACACTACGTCAACACAACCGACCTCTACACAATCGGCACCGTCCCCCACCCCTTCACAACCGCCATCCTAACCGCCTTTCGATCCGACATCGACGTCCCTTGGATCAGACGCACATCTAGCCGCGACCCATGGCTCACAACACTCACACAACGCCTCCTCGGCTCTGGCGTCTCAGGCGCTCCCCGTGTCATCAAGTTCAAAGAAGCCGTCACCTCCCGCTTCGGTACCGCCCACTCCCTCTGGATCACCGCGGAAAAAGACATGCCCACCGACCTAGACTGGTATTTCGGATTCAGCATTCCCCGAAACGCAACCGACACAGGCAAATCCGAGACTCCCGTCCCAGGACCCGAACGCCGACCTAAACCGGTCGTGGATCCTAAAGATGGGCCTGTACCAAGCCCAGAGGATGTCGAGAAAGAGAAAGAGCTGTTGAAACGGGCGAAGGAGTTTGGAGCGCAGAGGAGTGCGGATGAGGAGAAGTTGAGGGGTGCCATTGAGGCGTGGAATCTGGCGGATACGGAGGCTTGGAGGTTTGCGAGGGCGTTTTTGGCGAGAAGCAGGGTCGAGAGGTTGAAGTGGGAGGAGGAGGAGAAGAGATATGCGGGGGGTGCAGGGGCTGAGAGGGGGAAGAGTGAGGGCTGGGGGAGGTGGTTTGATGATAGGTAGATGAGCTTTCGTATGTTGCTATTAGAGCATCTGTGTGATTAGGATGAGGCTTGTGATCTACCTCTGCTGTTTTGTGCTATCTCTGGAAAGGAACGCGAAGAGAGGAGGATACCAACAGGACAGTGCAGTACATTACCAGGAGTTCGGGATACTTCGTTCGAAGCGAGAAGAGAGCTGGATGGGCTTCGCTTACTGTATTATAAGCTGATGACGATGTAAAAGTACCATTCAAATACCGTCAGCGCATTCTCATTATCATCTTTTTATTCTGATAAATCCATTGCACTGCGTTGCTTTTTGTGCAGTATCAGGAGGTTGAACACCCGACTGACTATCTACATACATATTTTTCCCAGCTTAGTCGAATAGCCCACCACGATGAAACGATGTGCCAAAAGACTGACTTGTTGAAAATCTGTCATTTTCCCCCTTCAATATTTTCACTCTGACGCGGGAAGTAGTAGAAACGCAACGAATATATACAACAATCCATCAAGAAAGCTCCGTGACTTAAGAGCTGGACGTTGAAGTCCCTCCCGTTTTCAGACCCGTGAATGAAACGCATATATGTACCTAGGATGTTGAGATCCTCCCCGTTTTGATTGCGAAACGACGTTCTGTAATAGATTAGCATTCAACTTCACCCGCTCGACTAAGTGTTCGGGCGAAAGTTTACCAGCTCCAACTCCCACCCGACAACCAGCCACCAGCAGCGAAAGAAAAAGATGGAATAAACCAAAAGAATGTAACAAGCAAACAAACAAGATGCCAATCAGATCCAAACACTCCCCAAGAAAACCCCCCTCCCCTTCTCCCTTCTCCGTCGTCCCCCAATTTAAACTGTCGTATCCCCACCCATCTCACCACTCAACTCTCGACTCGTGACCCCTCTTCTAGCTTCTCCATTCTTCTCATTCTCAGCTGATCCATTGGCTTTCAGATTAGAGGTAGAAGAGCTGGTTGAAGTGGCTGGTGAGGGGGAGTTGGAAGAGTTGGTGCGGGATGTGCCGGCTGTTGATGATGAGGATGAGTCGCGCTCTGAGAGGAGGGCGCGGATATGTGGGTTGAGCCTGGGGAATGGTCAGCAAAAGGACTTCTCGAACTCCACAGCCCTCCTTCCTGTCCCAGGCCAATACCAAGAGCTTATTTCTCAAAAAATTGGGATTAAAGACAAAAGAATAATTTTCCGAGTGTTAGAAAGTGGGAAAGACAAAACATACCATAACCCCTCCAACTGCTCACTGCTCATATTCTTTGCTCCAGAAATGAAACCACGGCATGTCTTAGCACCACAGAAACAATCGAAGCCTTGCGCCATATCCCATTCTGTGGATGGGTAGAAAAACGTCAATTCGTCACCAGGCTTGAGACCTTTTGGGCCAGCGAAGATGCCGAAGGACGTGGGGGACAGGTCGAATGTCTATAGTGAGAGGTGTTAGTTTTTGGTACTTTTTTATTAGGGAGTTATCCAAGTAGGAAGGAGTAGAATCGACTTCCTAAGTTAACGGAAAGTGAGGACTCAATTGAGAAGTGAAATCGATGCATACAGAAACAAAGACCAAAAAAAAAACACACATACCAAACTCGGATCACAACTATGGTTGATATAAACCAAATCACTATTCAGATTCAGATGCTCTTCCTTCCCCATCTGCACAGTCGCATACGTCGGTTTATCCGCTTTCGTACAAGGCGGGAACTCCAGTTTCGCGTACAATCCGAATGGTGGGACAGTGATTTTCGAGAGAGACTTGGTGGTGAATTCGGAAGGGTTGCTGGGGAGAATGACTTCTTGGATGGAAGGGTGCGAGGGTTGTGTCCAGTAGGGAGTGGGGGGTGCCATTTTTGAAGGGGTTTGTTTTGGATTGGGCGAGGGTCTTTGTTTTGGTGACTTTGGTATGGATTTTGATGGATAGTCGTATTTGAACGAGGTCTTTTGTGTCGTATGCCAGGTATCTGAAGATGCAAATATGAGGCTGCTTCGGGAGGACAGGTAATTTGCTCTGGGCAGCTGCGAGTTGGAAGTTGGAGGACTTGGAATGAGGTCTTTTTAAATAAAGGTTCTGTAGGGAGGCTTGTAATTCAATGTACTTGGATTCTGTGAATCGAATAAGATTCTTCTTTGACTTTTTGAGTGTGAATGTACAGGTTCTTGAATAATTTAAGGACAGAATGAGGGGTCTTTGGCGGGGCAATTCCGAGGTGTTCGTGCACTGGTAAATATTCACGAAGATCCACTTCCAAGTCCGCTTTGAGGTTCAACGATTCCAACTGTACTTATGTTTTTCGATCCTTTTCGAGGAAATTTTCGTAAGTTGGTAGGTAAGGTCACAGTTCAAGGAGCAGTTGGATCGAGGATGTTGAGTCTGACTTCGTGAAATATTCACGTTCATTCATGAAATCTGATCGGATAGATGGAACGAATGATGAGCTCAGATTCGTCATGTGCATTTTTATTTTCATGCAGGAACGATGTAACTGGACCAGGGGCAGGGGGGGCTTCCTTCGGCTTGTGATTTCGCGGGGCAGAATGCAACTCAAGCCAGCCGTTTCTCGGCAGTGTGATGACCGAAGTCGGCAAGCGTAAGCGAGTAGCCGAGGCCATGGTCTTAATGAAATCTTGAGATACCCTACGGGGTTCCTTATACAGATAACGACTGTAGCTTGTCTGCATTTTATCTCAATTTTCTGGAGGACTGTAGTAAATTGCAGACAAAATTCAGATAAACCCTATAAAAAACATGTTTAAAAAATGCAGATAGATTAGCGTATCAGGAGCAGGTAAGAGAGTTCAAGTAGCTTAGGCCTTTTATGTTTCAAGTAAAACTAAGCTAAACACAGACCCTCTACACCTTCGGAATACTCGGAAAAGGGAAGGGGAAGAGAGAGCTACCTGGAGGGGGGAGACCTACCTAGGGGTAGGGTGACCTTTCCTCGGAGGGAGACCTTGCGTTAGGGGAAGACTTTAGAGGGTTGGAGGGAGAAAAAGAAGAAGGAAGAGAGAGAAAAAGAGAGCGAGAGAAGGAGGCTTTCTCAAAGGGAAATACTAAGAAATGTAGACAAAGTCTAGATATCAGCTCGAGTCAGGGAAAACCCTAAATAGCAGGAAAATCTAGTAAAAATCAGAGAATCTAGCTTAGGAAAATGCAGACGATTGATTAAATTACAGACAAAAGAACGTAAAAAGCGCCTGTTCACAGACGGTAACTGTAGAAAGTGCAGACTGTGTCTGTAAAAAATTCCCCCGTAGGGATATGTCACTGGCAGCAACAGTGACATGAATGAACACGGCACAGGCATGATCTTTGATTCCGCTATATTTAAACATTATATTACGAAAGACATCAGCAAGTTGTGGTAGCAATATCAACTACCATTTCTACAGCGCAATTTAGAATTTCATCTGCCAAGCCCTCTTCTTGAAAGCCGAGGAACTCTGATGGACATGAAGCAAATATTGTCAATGATGGATTCTTGCTAATACCGATACACGAGTGTTCAATATTTGCACCAGTCCAACACCTTTATTCACCCCTGCAGACCACATTCGAAACCACCAAATATTTTCCCAGCCCGACCAGTCTTGTGCTTACTTGAAGTAGGCGATAGTGGAAATTCTCTCGGATTTGTTTACCTCAACCACTTCGGCGTGCTCAACATCAACCTTCTCATTGAGAACTCCCGATCCACCCGGGCCATCAAAGATTTCAGCAATCTCTTCCAAACTGGGACCTCTAGTCTCGGGATACACCAACCAGACCACAGCAATCTCAACAACAACCCACGGCAGCCAAATGAGATAAACTTCCAAGTCATATTCTGGAGTCCAACTGGGAACGCATAGGTCGTGAGGAGCGTAAAGCTGGTTGCGAACAGCTGGTAGCAGGCCTTGGCCTCGCATACGGAGATGGAACGGCAGGATCTCGGTAATGTAGAGACCAAGATTACCGTTCAGGCCGAGATTGTAAGCTGGCGAGAAGAGGTAGAGGAATGCAACGACTGCTCCACCAGATGCTTTGTTGCTGGAATCCTTGGCGAAAATAGCGCTTCCTGTGGTGATGCTTACAAGACAGACGAGAATACAGGAAAGAGAGCCGAGGAAAAGAGGCTTTCGTCCGATTTTGCCGGGAAGAGTTGCGAAGTACAGGGCCGATACCCAGGATAGCATTTGCTGAGTTGCGTTAATCAATGTCTGTTCGAGACTGGTTGTGAGGCCCACTGAGGTCAGGACCGGTGATAGGTAGTAAGAAATGAATGCATTTCCTGAAAGTTGAGCGATGCACGCCGTCCAGAGAAGGATGAACAGGCGTTTTCTGTTTCCAGCGGTGCGGATGAACTCGACGTAGTTCTGGATCCAACTTCCTCGGTCGATGCTGCGCTCATATGCTAGTGCATCCTGGATCTCGTTGTACTCGAATTGAACCATGGGGTCATTTTCGCGACCTTCAGCGTGGTACCTCGTGAGAAACGCCAAAGCTTCTTCGCTGCGATCTTTGGAGATCAACCATCGAGGGCTCTCTGGTACGAAGTAGAGGCCACAAAGCTGGATGATCGAAGGGAGACCCTGAATTGCAGATGGTATTCGCCAGGCAGCGCTTCCAGAAATCCGAAATGTACCAAAGGTAGTCCAGGCCGCAACGATCGAGCCGAGAGCATATGAAGTGTTGAAGAGAGCAGTTGCTGTTGTTCGCTGGGATGGATGTGCAATCTCAGTTATCAAAGGAGCTCCTGAAGATCCAAGGAAAACCGTTCCACAACCAAGAATACCTCGAGCAACAACGAACATCGGGAGGTGTGCAGCACCAGCTTGAAGCGTGGCACCAAGACAGCAGATTGCTGCACCAGTTGCGAGGCTTGCACGTCGGCCAAATCCATCACATACGAATGAGAGGAATGGAATAGCACAAAGACCGCGGATTGGGTAAGCTGCGTTGAAGAGGCCCAAAGTCGAGCCCTTAGGTTCTCCAAAGTACGATCTCCAGCTTTCAACTGCCTGAAGACCGTTCATCATGGATTCATCATATCTGAAAGTTACAAATTAGCGGTGTTACAATTGATGTACAGCTGGATAATTTACCCTTTGAGTGAAAATGGACAGGAGTGGAAAGATCAAAAGGAGGTTGAGAGTGCGCAGATTCTTCTGTCGCCACCAGTGAGTGACATCGACGCTGCTATCGGGCATAGCCGATGCAGCAGTTTTCGCCGTTGAGGCATGCATTGCTACTTCTGTCGCAAGAAGTGAAAGTGACTTTCAGGAAGTGTATCTTGTTGGTTCTCTGATGGTATCGAGCAGAGCTGATGTGGTTAAGTGGAGGGCTCTGACTTCAAGAACAAGAAAAAGTTGGAGGTTATATATACTTGATTCTTGCTACCGGCGCATCATTGAAAGAAGAATCATCCTTCCTCGCACCTTTTCACCCGAATCTCATGTCTTCGCTTGGTGTCTGAATGGAAGTTCGCAAAAACTTAGTTGAATCTGGGGATCTGGGGTGCGGAGGTCGAATATGTGGCGTCAGCTCGAACCACGGCCGTATGAGAACAGAGTCTGACCTGGCAAACGAAGACAGAGAAGCTTCCCAAGCTTCAAACCATATCCGGGGCTACCACGTTCTGGGTCTTCTAGCTTCCTCGAAGTGGCGAGCAAAACGATTACTATTCAGCGGAATACCGGGAGCGATATCTCGGTTTTAGATTCTTGGCAGGTATCCGCGGAATACCGCGTAAGGAGGGGGTTCTCAAACCCACGCAGCCTCGTTCTTGTTTCTGTTCATCCCAATACAATCGTTGAGTGAGATTCGGTTTCTCGGCCCATCTAGATAATTCTCGCAGCATGATGGCCAGACTTCCGATCTTCTGAATATTAAAATTGTGTCCAGATATGTCGTGCCCTCGGCCACCCAGTAACATATCCGTCCTCACATCGACCCCATTTCCATTTCCTTGAGCGGGTGAAACTGAAGCCAGAGCAGTTTTATTAGCCTTTTCTGAACCAATAAATCTAGGTCTGGGTTCAAAAATGGGTTCGTCAGAAGTCAAGTGGATATGGCACCCAGATTGGACCGATGAGTCGGATGGGAGTTCTGCTGGAGGATTTGTCCATTTTCGAAAAACGATTGTCCTCAACCAGCCATCTAAAACATCCTTTTTGATCCAAATCACAGCAGATACGAAGTACAAGCTCTACGTAAACTCCAAATTGGCATCTGTCGGACCCGTTAAGGGAGACCTACACATGTGGTTCTATGACGAAGTCGACCTCCAGCCATTTCTCCATGAAGGAGTGAACACGATCAGTGTGCGTGTCTTGAGGTTCTATTACGCCACACCGTATGCGACGAGCTTTCCCCGAACACCATATGGAGGATTGTATATTCGAAGTTTGCTTGAAAGCACAGAGTTTGGATTGACTGTGGAAAGTGATGAAAGTTGGGAGAATGCAATCGACTGGTCAACACGTCTTAGGACTGATCTAAAAGAAGACGACTTTCTCCATATCTATGAGGAAGTAAATGGTGCTGGTATTGATAGGTTGCGGTGGGTAGCTGCAAAGGAAATGCAATTCCCAACCTCACATGGACTGTCCAGCCCGTGGAAACAATCCCCTCGCATGATACCTGGTCCGCGATACCAATCAGCGAAGTTCAAGGCGGTACACAATATTCGAATTTGTATATCTCAGGTTGATTGGGAGAAAGCTCTGCTAGGCACGAGTGAAATAGGGTCAGGCGTTGTCATGCGTCCCCCGGCAGGATCTCACCATGTCGAGCTCGAGGTTGAGCACCACATGACGGCGTTTCTTGACTTCAAATTTGCGAGATCACGGTCCACTGGAAGTAGTTGGAGAGTAATCTACTCAGAATGTTACGAGGACTCTCCAATATCGGTACCTTATCTTCGATGCAAAGACCAGCGACTCGACACTTCCAAGCAGCTAATTGGACCCGAAGATATTTTTCGTTTTACCGGACCTGCCACTGTGGCCGATCTCAGGTACCACGCACAAGCAGACGAGGAGGTCTTCTCTCCATTCCACTTCCGAACCTTTCGCCTCATATCCTTAGACATTGAAGTCGGCCATGGATCATACTTAGACTTCAAAGGTATCGATCTGACAACAACATCATATCCACTGACAGTCCTCGCTGAGATCAACACACATCCCGAGACGGACGATAAAGCAAGGATGCACGAGCTTTGGAATACTAGTCTCAGAACGCTTCAGAACTGTATACATGATTGTTACGAGGATTGCCCGTTTTACGAACAACTCCAATATGCTATGGATGTCCGAAGTTCTGCATTGTTTACTTACGCAGTCTCGGCAGACGATCGAATGGCTCGCCAGGCAATCATCCAACTTCACAACTCGTACCTGCCAAGTATTGGACTTACGGCTAGCCGCGCACCCGCACACCAGTACCAAATTATTCCTCACTTCTCTCTGTTTTGGATCTGCATGGTGACGGACCATTTTGAGTATTTTCACGATGCCAGCTTTGCCCGTCAATTTCTGGCTGTTTGCGATGGTGTGCTAGAAACCTTCGCGCGGCTTATTGATCCAAGTCTCGGTCTGACCCGTTGTGTAAAGTCTCCTGCAAAATGGGACTTCGTTGATTGGACTGAGGCATGGAAACCGATGGGAATACCTCCAGCTGCTGAGAGAACGGGCTATCAGAGCTACACGAATATGCTTTATGCCTATACCTTAGACAGAATGTCAGATCTGTTAGAAGGTGTCGAGCGACCTGCTCTCGCAGGAGAATACAAATCGAGAGCTACAGCCACAGTACAGGCAATCAAGAAGCATTGCCCCAACGGAAACTTTTACACAGACGGCTTAGCTTCCACAGCTGACCCAAACCAGGATCTGAGCCAAAACAGCCAAGTATGGGCTGTCCTCTGCGGTACTGCTCAGGGCGATCACGCACGTACAATCCTAAACAAATGCCTGTCGGACTCCCGATTCACACCGGCTTCGTTGTCCATGTCCTTCTACACGCTCCGTGCTCTATCACTTGCAGGTGGAGATGTTTATAATGGAAACTTTCACCGATTCTGGGATCCTTGGAGGAAGCAATTGGCTCAAGGTGTCACCACCTGGGTCGAAGACGATGTGAGCCAGAGATCTGACTGCCATGCTTGGGGAAGTGCTCCGCTGTACGAATTTACAGCTGAGGTTGCGGGGGTCAAACCTGCAGGGCCGGGTTGGAGAGCAATTTCGTTTCGCCCGCGTGTAGATTTGTTTCCTGACCTGGACGCGAAGATTCCGTTTAAAGTAAATGGCGACGTTGCAGGACAGTACAGTCTCGATGCTGATGTGGCAGAGGGCAGACGTTTCTGGACGTTCCAAAGCTGGTGATTCCAAGTCAGGTAGAAGTGAAGGGTCGGGCGGGACCATAGATGGCGAAGCATGAAAGTCAACGGGCTGGACTTGCCAAGCATTATTTCTGGTTGCGAAAGACCGAATGAGATCATCTAGGCCATCAAGTCGTTTCAATATTGCCAGACTGGCTGCATCAAATCTAGACGAATGCAGCTGTCAGCTGGCAAGTTCTAGGAAGCTAAAGAAATGGTAACATTGGATCAGCTGGCCACAAACGCAGACTTGTCCTTTTCCTCATAGATATATGGAATGTCTAGATCTACGCAAGAGGTGCAGGACGGTTGCTCATTATCCCATTTTGTTCGCCGGCGTCGACAGGTTCGGCAAGCTTATACGGCGCGTTTTTGCGGGTACAGGTTTCTATCATTCGAAACCGTCCGGGGACGTTTCCGAGTCTCTGCCTCTGCATCGGGTGCTCTAGACATTTCCCCCCTCGCCCAAGTTTGTTTGGCTTCGCTTGATTCAGGCTTCGCGGCCTTGCGGTTGTAAAAGGGGTCCTTGAAATCAGAATGGGAGGAGTGAAAAGCGTCTGCGGAGTTCCGGGAACAAGGAGCTTCTTATGTTCTAGAACTATGCAGAGCGTCAACTGTAAGTGCGGGGTCATTCCCGTCTACTTGAATTGCGGGGGGCGAGTTGGTACAGTAACAATCTATTGGTGGGCTGCCAGCCGCTTAGCGAGCTAAGTAAACAACTTGCCAAGATGATCTAGGCATTCAAGTTGTGACATACGAGTTTTACGACCGTACGAAGCAGTACGATAATTCTAAGCCTCACTGCATTATCTAGAGTTGATGGCTGTCTGCGCTACGGCGGAGTCTAGATTACCCTGACTGACCCTTTACCGTGATGTTTGATAAGAGCCAACACAGGTGAAAGCGCGGGTACCAGGAACTGCGGAATAGATCTTTCCCGAGCTAGACCGACCATTATGCTTGGAATGTGTACATTACAAGCAAAGGGGAAATTACATCTCTTTAGCCACCTGTCTCTCAGTTGAAGCCGCGGAATATCGGGAATTCGCTATCAGCGAGGCATGAGCAACCTACTTTCAAATTGGACTGCTATCAATTCGATGAATCTTATCTACATCTGGAGTCCTATATCCCCACAACAAATTGGAGGATTTTGTCATCAAAAAACTCCACAACAAAACAAATCTTTACCATGCGCGACGTTTTCGAGACAAATCTTCCAACCCCACCATCTCCAATCTCGTCATTCGAGGTAGATGATGTTCTTCAAGAGCTGACCACTAAAGAGAAGATTGATCTTTTGTCAGGTAAATTGCCACTACAACGGCTTTTCCATGTTACGGTCGTACAGACACCTCAGAATGCTAACTCCCCCAGGTGTTGATTTTTGGCATACTCAAAATATCCCCCGTCTCAATGTTCCGTCAATTTGTATGTCGGATGGACCCAATGGTGTCCGCGGTAACCGATTCTTTAACGGAAGTCCTGCAGCTTGTTTTCCATGTGGAACAGCGCTCGCAGCAACATGGGACCTTGACCTTCTTCTCAAGGCGGGGGGCTTGATGGGCGAGGAAAGCAAAGTCAAAGGCGCCCATATACTTCACGGTCCCAACAGTTAATATGCAAAGAAGTCCACTCGGCGGTCGAGGATTTGAGTCGTTTTCCGAGGACCCTGTATTGGCAGGCAACTGTGCTACCTCGATTGTTAATGGCATCCAGGAGACAGGTGTGATGGCGGCTATCAAGCACTTTGTGGCGAATGATCAGGAGCATGAGAGGATGGCGGTAAATGCGATTGTTACGGAACGCGCCCTGCGAGAGATTTATTTGTTGCCGTTCCAGATTGCAGTGAGAGATTCCACACCAGCAAGTTTCATGACTTCGTACAATAGGGTGAATGAATGGTGTTCACGTCAATGAAGATCCAAAGTTTGTGCAAGACATCCTCAGAGGGGAGTGGGGTTGGGAAGGGCTGGTGATGAGTGACTGGTAAGTTGTCAGGCATCCAGTCGTGTCAAGATCTCTTTTGCTGATGTACTTTCAATTCACAGGTACGGAACATACTCTAATGTGGAGTCACTCAACGCAGGTCTAGTTTTAGAAATGCCAGGCCCATCTCGTTTGCGAGGGCAGCTTCTCAATCATGCTTTGATGTCCAAGAAAATCAATCAGCATACTTTAGATCAGAGGGTGCGAGAAGTACTGAATGCCGCTTGTCGGGCGACCAAGTCTGGGGTTCCGGAACACGCGCCTGAGACAACAAATAATACACCTGCGACTGCAGCTCTACTTCGGAAGATTGCGGGCGACTCTATTGTGCTACTGAAGAACCAGGGAAACGTACTCCCCTTCACTAAAGAGAAGACCGCAAGCACTCTCATATGTCTGATACATCTCAACCAATAGATTCTGACAGGCTTTCGTGCAGGTAGCTGTAATCGGCCCCAACGCAAAGATCTCAGCCTACTGTGGTGGAGGATCAGCAGCACTCAGCCCATACTACGCTGTGACTCCATACGAAGGATCGCAACCAAGACATCAAATCTTCGGTTCTCCCTCGGCTGCCATGCACACAAAATGCTTCCCGTGCTAGGAACACATTTGAAGAATTTAGAAGGGAATGTCGGCGTCACTTTCAAAGCATTTGCCTCACCACCATCAATTGGGCGCCAACCAGTCAACACACTCCATCTAATGGATACGAACATGTACCTCGCAGACTACTACCACCCTAAACTTACCGAGGATCTCTGGTGGGCAGAAGTTGAAGCCATATTCGCTCCTGAAGAGACGTGTGATTTTGAATTTGGCTTGACAGTCTTCGGCACCGGAAAGCTGTATATCGACAACGAGCTTCTCATAGACAACGAGACAACTCAACGGAGCGGAGGCAGTTTTTTCAATGTCGGCACAGTCGAAGAGACACGTATCAAGCATGTAGAAGCCGGTACCACCTACCATCTCAAAGTCATATACGCATCGGGCGTGACATCCAAAATCGCTGACGCAGATGGTGTGGTTTCCTTCGGCGGCGGCGGGATCCGCATCGGTGGCGCCAGAGTCATCGACCCCCAAGACGAAATCAATAAGGCTGTTGAGCTAGCCAAGTCAGTTGATCAAGTCGTTCTGTTTATGGGTTTGAATTCAGATTTTGAGCAGGAAGGCCATGATCGCACACATATGGATCTCCCTGGTCTGTCCGATAGTCTTCTATCTGCCGTTGCTGCTGCAAACTCTCGCACGGTGGTTGTGTTGCAGTCTGGTACTCCCGTCAGTATGCAATGGGCATCATCAGTGTCTGCGATCGTGCAAGCTTGGTATGGGGGAAACGAGACTGGAAATGCCATTGCGGATGTGCTGTTCGGTGATGTCAACCCGTCTGGGAAATTACCGTTGTCGTTTCCCGTGAACGTGGAAGACAACCCCACGTTCTTGAAGTACAGATCTGATAGAGGAAGGGTGTTGTATGGAGAAGATGTCTTCATAGGATATCGATACTACGAGGCTGTGAAGAGAAAGGTGCAGTTTCCTTTCGGGTGGGGTTTGTCATACACTTCTTTCCAACTGTCGGATCTGCATGTCAATCTCGAACAAAATTCCTTGAAAACAAGATTCACAGTGAGGAATACGGGGCTTTTTGATGGGGCGGAAGTTGTTCAGGTGTATGTTTCGCAAAGGGACCCATCTGTGAGGAGGCCTGCGAAGGAATTGAAAGGCTTCAAGAAAATAGCTGTTGCCAAAGGACAGCTGGTGACTGCAGAGATGCAAATTGAAAGAAAGTATGCGTCGAGCTTTTGGGACGAGGAGAGGGACCAGTGGGTTGAAGAGAAGGGCATATAATATGTTTTATTGGGGACTTCGAGCCTGGATATTGTGCTGAGAGGAAGTTTTGGGGTTGACGAGACGACGTGGTGGAGTGGGTTATAAATACAGCACAATGGCGACATGTAAAATTTATTGCTTGTATTGTATGTTCGAAGTCTCTCCGTGTCTATGGAGATTATTTCCATGAATATGGAGCCGTTGCCGGTGTGGTGAAGACAAATATCATACGATGGTCTGAAGCACAACAGGTTTCCAAGATGACTTCTCATTGGTTACCTCGTGAGATTGAGTTGCTGGGATCGAATAACCTTCAGTATTTATAAACATCCCGATCGGAAAAGGGGAATGCCATCGTCAGATGGGGGCTTCCAATATCCACGAGACCCAGGTCGTCATGAATACGGTATGGCACTTTTGAGAGTGAAGTTAGTATGATGTGCACAATACTATCACGGAGTTTCGGATTTAAGGCGAGATGTTCACTCCGCTCATTGAACTTCGTACCATATTATCAATCAAATCCATTTTGAAGTTGGTTTTAAGCGAGAAGTGCCAATACATGGGCATGCAGTGGGTACAGTTGTGAAAATTTGCCGAAGATCAACCGATTCTCTGCATCGCTGGACCTCGGTTATTTCGTCAATGAAGCCAAGACAAGACGCTCCTGAGAAGTCTCTGAGGTGGCTGGGATACTTATTTCTCCCTCTTTATTCTGTACAAACTTTACTGAATGGCTCGCATGGCTAACTCCACGAATCGTCAAGTCGGCACTGGTACTGGTGCATCATTGATCCTGTGGCTTACCAAGCTAATCCGAGGATCATTATTATTAGTGATCAATCGGCTGCAATACGCCGATGCGGCCCAACAGAGAATAGCGGGGTAGCGTATCTCAAGATCAAGCTTGAAGCCACAATGTTTGCTTGACTGCACTGCATATAGCATTCCTAACTGGACCGTGTAGTCCGAAGAGGTCTCGACGTCTTCCAGTCAGCTCTTGTCTTAAAGCCTTTATTCGGCCGCGACGGATTTCTCCCTTGCATACCGTGTCAACAACAAGCTGGGAGTGGCAGTAATGACCTCTTCCGTTGATGCTCTACAACCAAGGCTTTCTACAGTAGCTCGCATACATCCTGTGACATCAGTCTTAGTCAGAAAGCAGACTAATCGAGGGCGGGAACTTCAGATCTACAAGGGTAGGTACGATGGTAGGTACGATGGTGGGGTTTGAAGTCGGGAAACCTCCGTCGAATACAAGTATCATGGCTCCCCCCACCTCATCCCTTTCGTGTTCCAGATCCAAGTCGTCTTCCTACCAAGCACACAAGCTTTAATTCAATTGATATCCATCCAAGATGGCACAAGCTCCAAAGATTGTATTCGGCGCTGCCGGTGTGGCAGCATTCAGCACTGAACAGCTCAACGAGATCTTCGACATCCTTGAGAAGCACAATGCTAAGGAAATCGATACCGCAAGACTCTATGTGAGTCCACTACAGATCTGCAAGTCATGTCGTCCACTAATGTGCTGTAGGGCCCCAGTGAGGGCATTCTGGGCAAGGCAGGAGCTCCAAAGCGGTTTACCATTTCTACGAAAGCACTTGGATTTACGCCCGGAGCCATGGACAAGAAGGGCGTAATTGAATCGATAGAAACAAGCTTCAAGGAGTTGCAGGTGGAGCAGGTGGGTTGAGACGGGTCTACAACATGGACATCCGCTGACGTTCAAAAGGTCGACATCCTCTACCTCCACTCCCCTGATCCAAAAAACCCAATTGAAGAGACACTCGCTGGAATCCGAGAGGCATATGCTGCTGGGAAGTTCAAGAGGGTATAGAGCATCTGCGAACCTGAGGGTGAAGCTCCGTGCTGACTTATACATAACACAGTTCGGACTCTCCAACTTCAGACCCGACGACGTCCAAAAGATCTACGACATCCAAGCCTCTGCCAAGTCTGTACTCCCAACTGTTTTCCAAGGAAACTACAGTGCTGTAGCACGGCACATCGAAAGCGATCTATTTCCTCTCCTCAGAAAGCTTAAGATGAGCTTCTACGCATACTCCCCAATTGCAGGTGGTTTCTTGGTCAAGGACGCAAAGTCGTTCCGAGAACAATCAGTTGGGGGACGTTGGGGGAAAGATTCCCAGATTGGAGATATGTACAGCAAGTTGTATGTCAAGGACAGCATGCTCAATGCTCTGGACGAATGGGAGGCGATTGCTAAGGACGCTGGAATTCCCAAGGCATCACTGGCATACCGATGGATCGCGTACCATTCCGCGTTAAAGGGGGAAAATGGCGATGCTATCATCATTGGTGCAAGCAGACCTTCTCAGGTCGAAGATACTTGTTCTTATGTTGAGCAGGGCCCACTGGATGCGAAGATTGCTGAGAGAGCTTCCGATCTGTGGAAGAGCATCGAGAAGGATGCACCAATCGATAACTGGAACTCCCACGCTGGGCTGAAGTGAGAGACCAGAGCTACTCGCGCAGCACTTGTTCATTCGTATAGCGTTTTTGTAGTAGAATAAGGCATGGATAGAGCAACGGCATTCTGAACAGCATCGAAAATGCGCCTCGCTAAGCCAGCATTGACATCCGCAGTTGGCCTGATGTGAGCACGTGCGTCAATAGCAGAGTGTCACACCATTTCGCACCATGCTCTCTTACGGATTTGTTCGCAAAAGGGCGCTTCTTTCCCCGCGTTACACAAACCTTTAAGTGCCTGCAGTCCATCACAAATTCGTAGCCCCTCACGTCACCCTCTTTTAATTGAGTCGAATGGAACATCCCGCTCACGTGTTTTTCCTTCATCTCCTGGGGGGTCTCTGAAACTTTCCGCCATTCCTCATCTCACACAAGATCGAAAAAGCTTATTTGCTGTCAAAATCATTCCCATCGCATCCAATCTCATCCTCAATTCAATGACGATACGACACAATGCATCGCAATATCATCGTCGCAGGAGCTACAGGCAAGCAAGGCCAAGCTCTCATCAGAGCTCTCCTCCACCCATCGCCAGAGGCGAACACAGCATCATCTGAGCATACATACCACATCTATGCATTAACCCGCAATATATCTTCTCCTGCCGCCAAGGGCCTAGTAGAACGAGAGCAGAATGTAACGGTCATAGAAGGTGACTTAGACGTCCCCGACTCGATTCGCAAGGTCTTCCAGAAAGCCAAGCAGGATGATGTGGACGGTCAAGGCCAAGGCCAAGGTATCTGGGGCGTTTTCGCCGTCCTGGCTTTCCCCGGTCTGGGAACTGAAGCAGACGGCGAAGAGCGGCAGGGCAAATTGCTTGCGGATCTCGCGCTGGAGTATGGTGTGCAGTGTTTTGTGTATTCGAGTGCCATGCGGAGTGGACCGAAGTATGAGGATGAGATGAAACTGTCCAGCAAAGCGAAGGGGAACGTGGAGAAGTATTGTAGGGTTCTTGGGGAGCAGGGGCTGGCTTGGACGTGAGTTTTGTGTCTTTTGTCCCCTTTGAGGTGGGATGTAGTGATGAAGTGTTGGAGTGGTGATGTGGTGATGTGGTGAAGTGGTGTGGTGGTTCGTGAAGAGGAAGTTGTGGCTGATCAAATGATTTGTGATAGGATTCTGAGACCGGGCTTCTTCATGGAGAACTTCAATGGTTTCATCGGGAGTATTACGACTTCGGTGCTGAGGGTTGGACTGCAAGCTGATACGAAGAATGGCTTGATTGTAAGCTCGTCCTGTGGATATGGCTCTAGATTGACTCGGCTAACGTTCGAAGGCGACGGATGACATCGGTAATGTCGCAGCAGCTGTGTTCAGAGTAACCGCCCCTCGAAAATCTTTGCGATATTGTGTCTGATACTCAGGACTAGGACCCCGAGAAATTCAGATCTCAAACACTTGCTGTGATAGCAGAGTATGCCACGATCTCTGAAATGGATGAATCGCATCGGCGAGCGAAGGGCACATCGATGTCTGCTATTCCCAGGGTATTCGGGTGGCTTCTGTTGAAACTCAACAAAGCTACGCAAGGACTGTAAGACTCCATGAAGGCCTTATTTCTCTTGCATCTATCTTCGAATTTCTCCCCCTTCGACTTGTTATATTGGTCGAATCATGCTGACATTGCAGCAGGATACAAGACATCGAGCGCAGTCATCATGCGCGAATATCTGGCGAGTATCCAGAATGCGAGAAAGAATTAGAGCTGGCGAGGTCAGCTGCTAAGATGAAGAGTTATGAAGAGTGGCTGGTTCAAGGGAGAGATGCCGAGGGAAACAGTGAAAACTGGAACAAGGTGTCTGTTGGGAAGCTTGTGACTGGCAAACTATGAGTATCAATCTTGCTATCTGGAAGCCTTGCAATGAGAAATCTTCTCTTCCATCTAATGGCTGCCATCCGAGAGAAAGCCAAGCTCTGGGCTCACTCGGCGGGGAAGTTATGTTGGATTATGAGGGAGCTTCGACCAATGAGTCGTTATCGGCAGCCGGCAAAAGTCCGAATTCTCCAGAACCAGACGATGCTTGTTCTATTGATAGTTCTCTTCAAAGCCCTTTCTCACTTACCTCACTTATACATGCACTCTAACTGCTTGTCGAATCAGACAATTCGCTTCTCGCGACTCCGACCACTAACAACGCGAGCTCGTAGCTAAGCGAAAGGCCCAGATATCGCCCAATGGTCTGAAGTCGACTGGGTGGATCCCACACGATATTCGCCTTCGGGTCCAGCGTCCAGGAAGACTTGTCTGTGTTCTCTTATTCAGTTATGTTCGCTGACTTCCTTGGTTTTTGCGTTACAAGTGTCGTCAGCTTATGTATTTGCCTTGGCATTGCTCGATTCAGACAGGAACCCGCAAGTTGGTTGCTGTAATTCGTCGCCTCGGTTATGGCCATCTATTTAGTGCAGTAGCTTTGCAAGGAGCCAGATATTTATCATCTATAAGAGGTCGTTGGCGTATGGATTGTTTTTCCTTACTTTATCTTTCTTCGAGCAATCTCTTCCCGGACATATCGTTGACCACTTTGGTTGTATAGATTTTCAGTCAACATTTCAAGACTCCTACAGCAAACATGGTCCAAAACGGGAAACTACCAGCATCCTTCCCCAAACACTGGGGTGCTGACTTCACCCCAACTCTCCACAGAAGTCTTGTGCCTTCAATTGACCCCGCTAAAGTCAAACTCCCACCATCCTTCACAGTCCTAATAACAGGAGCCGGGAAAGGATTCGGTGCATCAACAGCACTCTCCTACGCTCAAGCAGGTGCATCGGCCATCATCATCGTAGCACGGACTCTCTCCGACCTGGAGGCCACCTCCAAGAATATAACAGACATCTCACCATCCATCAAAGTTCTCTGCGTCCCTTGCGATGTGACGAAGGAAGAGCAAGTCATTGAACTGGCGAAGAAAGTCAAGGATGCATTTGGTCGCCTGGACGTTTTGATCAACAATGCTGGAAAAGGTGTGAGCTTTCTTCCTGACGATTCAGTCGAGGGCGGGAAGCGCTTCCCTTCCGATTTCATCGAGGGATCCAGTTCCGAGTTTCGGGATTGCTTCGAGCTGAATTTCATGGGTACTTATCTGGGCATTCGCCATTTGCTACCTCTGATTATCGCTACAGAGGGAGGAGCCAAGGCTATCATCAATATTGTCAGTGGTGGGGCGCATCTCTCGAGTGCGTTCTTGTCGCCGATTCCGTACAATATCAGCAAGATGGCGGTGATGAGGATGAGTCAGTATGTGGATGATTCTCATCGCGAACGACATGGAGTTGTGTGTTATGCTCTGCATCCTGGTAAGTGCTCCTCCGTACACCATGCAGAGAGAACTTGTATTCATCAGTTGTTTGGTTGAAGGCTCCGCCAGAACTGCACTTACTGCAGACTTTCCGCCGCTCTGGGATCCTAGTACGTAAACATTCTACTTCCATCTTGCCATGGAAAGAAATATGACTTTCAGCTAAGTTTACATAGTTCTGGTGGACGATATTGAGATCTGTGGAGGTTACTGTGTCTGGTTGACAAAGGAGAAGAGAGAATGGCTTTCCGGCAGGTACGTTTCGTCGGAATGGGATATAGATGAGTTGGAAGCTATGAAGGATGAAATAGTCAAGGGAGATAAGTTGAGGTTCACGATGGACGTTTGAGTGCAGCGTCGATCTGCAAGGCCGTCCTTATAAATTGCGACTAGTTTACCTAGCAATTCTGCCATGCCAGCTGTCTTGGCCACGCTTACCAAAGCTCCATCAGCCTTTCATTACTGGAGAGGATAGCATAATCTATTTCACCAAATAGTCTTCAAGTTGATATTGTATAGTAAATCATGATGTCTCCGTGTCTCATTTGTGAAAGTAAGTTCTTTCTTTTAATTGGCTCACGTTAATCCAAAGATATTTCATTCCTCCAAGCCTGCGCCTTCAACGATACCAGAACACGCTTGAGCTCCTCCTATTCAATAGCATTGCTATCAAAGTAATCGTCAAACAGGCCCTAATATCAGTACATATGCTGATGAAAGAACTCATGGCTATCTTTGACAGAAATAGAGGACTTTGTGGTGCTCGTGGCCTCCGTATTTGGTGGCATCCCTAGAAGACCCATGACAAGCCAACTGCCATCTTCTTTAACACGCAAGCATTAATCTCTTGTACAAAACTGAACATCCCATTTTTCAAAATTGAGCCCTGTTTTCCCACGGCATCTATTGCAGCCGTTCCACTTATTTAGGATCTCATGGTTGCGTGCCAATTAAGGGAATGAAACCACCAGCAGGCAGCCTATGTAGCCATCCAGACGGAGGCAGGCTCACACAACGGAGGGCTCGAGCCCCATCTCATCACAACATTATGCAAGATATTAATTCATCGCAGCTAAACCAGGGTATAATTTCTTGCATCTTCTCGGACATCGAATCACGTGATAAAACTAAGCTCGACATGAACTCTTTTTCGCATGGAAAATACTCCTCCATAGCTGATATTGCACTAAACTGCTCAGTGTATTCTGAAAATGAATGCCTTACCTGTTTTTAATTCTCGTTGCTACAGCTATCTGCTGATCTGTCCTATTGGAAGATTTGATCACCCGGTTCCGCGAAGTGTGATATCAAGTCGTCCATCTCATTATTTCAAGGATTTGTCTATGTCGGAGAGGATAGAAACAGGCAAGAATAATTGATAGCAAGATTATATGTCAACTGAACTTCGTAAGAGCTAAAATAATATTTGTGCTGAAAAACCTCCACCTGAACAGCCAGACGCGTACCAGTGCGTGCCTTCCTCAATCTCAGTGTGCCATACCCGGTAGTGCCTTGAGCCCTGTCGCAAGTTAGAATCTCCTCATGCAGCCATAGAAACGGCAAACTTACATCCTTCGGTATCCTCATTTACTGTCGTCGGAATCTTGCACTTATTTGCCGTCGCCATAGGCTGTTTCGTAATGGAACCACATCCATCATAGAAACATTCTGACTTATCCATAGCCCTCTGCAAAGAGTCTCCCTTCCACCCAAACATGTAATCAGCATGGGTTCCGCCAGCGGTGCCCTCGAAGCTCCATATGAATGGGTTCGGGTCGCCTGTTTTCCAAAGACTGTTGAACTTGGTAGTGTCCCATGTAGTCTCGTAAGTGACTTGAGGCATGCGGACTGGATGAGAGGCTGGGCATTTGGGGGCGCTGATGAAGCCGTCCGATTTGATGGTGTTGAACATGTGCGATTGATGGTCAGGACTGTCGAGGTTCTTGCCATCCCAGCAGCTACATGATGTTAGAGTGGGGTGAGACATTGGGATTGAGAATACTAACGCTGGGAAATGGTGCGTGGTGAAGATGCCACCGTCGCAAGGCTTTGATGGGAAGTCGGCCATCTCTGCTCCACGACCTCCGCTCTTGGTGAGACACTGGTAGCGAAGACCAACTTGAGGCTTGCCGGAAGTAGTTGGGTTTCCAACTGTCATGCGAAAACCCTATACCTGGTCAGAGTCAAGTCTCACACAGCTATGGCTGGGGTCTACCAGGAGAACTTACTGGCTTGAAAGCAGTAATCTTCTGTTGGTTGAGATTATCCCTCGACAAATCAAACTGAGTATAATACACAGTCAAACCACCTTGGGCACCATCAGAGCCCCCAAGGAGTGGCTGCACAGGCACGACTGGAACGCGATGATAGGAGCCATTGGTGGGGCTCTTGAAGAAGAGGTGAGCAGTCCAGTAGTTGGAGAAGTCTTCTGACATCTGACATGTCGTGCAGGTAGCTTTTGGGCTCGCACCGATGTCGCCCGTCATGGTAGCGTTGAAGGCATTTCCACCAACAATGTGGTGAAGATGAGTTGATGGCAACTCGCCTGGCTGGACGACAGGATCGAGACGTTGAATCGTCAATGTTGAGCATGGGAATCGAAGACCAGCATAGACCGGTGCAATCAGTACGAGGGAAGTGGCGAGCTGCTTCATCTTGGAAGCGTCCAATTTACAAAATATGATTTTACAGCGAAAGTAGTGAGATATTCAGAATATGGATGCCAAGGAGAGAGGTTGGGGGAAACCCGGCGTGCACTCAGTTCTTATAACCTTTTCCACAGCACTGAAAGACTAGTATTGTCAATGCGACCTTCCATATCTGGGCAAGATAAAGCTGATCGCTGTTTGTGCTGTCTGCATATTAAGCAAGACCCGGTAATGAATAAGCCGATGAGGAATCGAACAGACGAATATTGTGATAAGCGAATGAAATGCCAAGCTCATGACTATTGCTATCACCCGGTAGATGGTATTTTAGCTCTTCGATTGGATATGACAACTGCCGTGAGGAGTCGACCAGCTTTTGCTGGGTAAATGTCATATTTCCAGATTATTGACCCTGCCGAGTTTAAGCGAATGTTTTGGTTATTTGCCGAAGCGACTGAGGGAAGCTACACCAGCAATGATGAAAGAGTGAAGCCTTGCGCCCGAGATAGATAAATTGCGGGGTAACTTGATTCAAACTTGCTTAATATATCTTTGTAGCATCAGAAGGGTTTGCGGGCCGCTGGGCACACGTTTTTGCAAAGAGATAAACCTGCCGCCTAGGGGGTGAAGGACGATGTGACGTAGAAGAGCCAAGAATGGTGGTAAATTCATGACAAGAGTCTCATACAAAGCGAGAGTCACTGTCAGTTCCGCACTTTTGATGAGTCTGTAACTCGAAACGCGGCCCTCAATTCCAGATGTTCAGTTCCGTCGCGGCCTTCACCTGGCTATACCTGAGTAAACTGCGATCAGAAGAAGGAAAACTGTTTGAAACAAAAAAACAGATACTTGCAATAATAATTTACAGTATCGTCACCTGACAAAATCTTTGTTCTTGTACTGAATTTCGGACCGTATTGAGTTCTGACCCTGTTCTGGATGGAAAGAATCATTTCCTTGGAGATCTCGCTTTAGAATAAGCAGATGTTATGATGAACGCTCAACAAAACCAGTATCAATTCCCATAAAAAGAGACTGATATGCAGAAATAAGCAAATGATGAGATAGGAAATCACTGACGGAAGAAATACATCAACTTGTTAAGAAGCCAGCGATTTGCACTCACTAATGACCATGATTAGATAACACAACCTCGTGAGATATAGGTTGGAAAGATCTGACCGTATAATCTGCGACTGTTTGAATACTCTACCTCTTTCGTTCAAAAGAAAACATGGAGCTGCCCATCGGGTCTGAAAATGAGCTGCAGCATGTGACCCGTCGACAGTCTGAAGGACAGGTAGAAAGCGAAATTCATGCTTCCGTGGCGTACCCTAGTATCAAATATGGCATAATCTGACCTCAGTTGCTTTAGTAATATCGAATCTTTCAATCATGACGAGAATCGAACCGATGAGAGGCTCACTCTACCCTTCCTCACGTGCCTCTAGCAAACAGAGGCAGCTTCTCCATCAACATGTCAACCGCCCATTTCAAAGTCGTCTCCATATCTTTATCAACTTCACCTTCTTGACTTAGAATACCCGTCTCCTTCACCACATCGTCCTTCAACTTCCCCTCCACATTCCCACCCTCAAACATCCACTCGTGATCCTCCACATAATTCGGCCAAACAATCTTATCCACATATCCCGGCGGATCTTCCCAGAATCCCTCAAGTGTGACATATCCGCTCCTGGCTTCTCGTCTCGCCTTAGCCTTTGCATAGCTCACTCGCAAGAATAGCTTGATATCCATCTGTGGCTGGATCGGAGCTAGTGGTTTAGAGTACAGCAGGAAACCGTCGAAGACACATAGGCGGATTGCAGTCTCCGAATCAGATAATATACTGTGGCCGGGATGACCAGGCTCGGCCCAAGTTTTGACGCGAGCTTTGAGAGCAGCGATTGTGTCTTCTGAGACGGGGCATGCGCCAACAGAGTTCTGGTCTTCTTTGGAATCAAGGGTGGGCTGTGAGATGGTGAGTCTGTGTTTCTTTTGGTGGATTTCGTTTTTGGGGCTTGGTTTAGGGAGACAGCCGTGCTCACTGCGATGGTTGAGGCTGCTTGGACTGACTGGGAATGTGCCTTCGGCATGGATGTGCTCGAGGGATTTGACCATGTCTGGTATGGAAAGTGCTTCGACGCAGTCCCAATCTAGAAGGCCATGTTTGGTAGGTAATCTGACAGTAATTAGCTGTGAGTTTGCTGCAGCTTCTATAACAAGAGGGGAAAACATTGATGATGGCCAATAATCACGTGTTCGACCAAGAACAAATCTGCTTCGCTCTCAAAGGGGAACATGGATGTGATGTTGCCAGGGAATCTACCCAACGAGGTATTCTAAGACAAAAGGACCAAAAGCTTCAGAATTAGGATGATTTACTCAGTCTCAGCCTTATAAAAGTCATCCTCATGAAGCACGAAGCTGTTGGGGAATATATCTCGTAGAAGCCGAGCAAGAGTCGTCTTGCCGCTGGATGAGCATCCACTTATGCCGACCACAACAGCCTTACGAGGAGTCGTCATTACTGACAGTTGATATGCTCCGAGGGCATAGGTGGCAGGGACTGGAAGTTGATAGAGAAAGGTTGAGTTGAGAGTGGAGAAGACTTGGACGGGCAGGAGTCAGATCTGAGGACTCGCTTATCTGTAGCGCGCCCCACTGAGTGAAGTGATCTGATTACCTACATAGGTCCATGACTGGGACACTTGTTTACGAGCAAAATGTTCTAAACGTCAATGGCCTGAGGATAGAATCACAATGAGCTTGTCCAAGAACATTCTGTCTACATACGCATCGTCAGAAGGTTGGCATTTATCAATGTTTTGATCTCTACTACCTTTAATTGGTCTAGATCTATGATACATCCCCATCTTCTCACTTTACTTGCATGACAATATAAACTCCTGTTCTCTACATGCTCGTACGCCTACGCGTTTATTATGCTAAGTACCATGCAATAAATAGTAACACGCTTACGTCAAGACTCCCACAGCTCCCATAACATGATGAAGTCAGGATGAAACCTGGCCCTCTTACACCACGACTCCGTCTTGTTTCGGAACTTCTCGATAGAGTGGTAAGACTTTCTGCCAGCGATCAGCTCATGACAGAATCGGCTCACAAACTCAACCTCCAACCTTCCCCCCTTCTTCGATGCATCCAAGCGATCCTCAGCCTCAGACATGATGTCATTGATGATGTTTTCCAGATCTGCCCAAAGTACTCCACTCTCGTCGTACAGATCCTTCGGAAGGCTTGCTTTGATGGCTGGTTTTGCATGCTCAATGTCGCTCAGCGCGGAGCCGAGCTTCACAACAGTTTTGCCGAATCTTCGGACAGCGTTCATCTGGTATGAATCGTCTTTAAAGGTGTATGCTGTCCAGTTATAGGTCCAATTTGTGAGCGAGATGCCATCAAATACATTGCCGTGCAGGTAGATTGGGACTCTCTGTGGGTGCCAAAACGTGTGGAAGTAGCTTGCTGGGACTCGATAGTACTGAAGATCAAACATCGTTGCGGGTGGAGTATAGGGACTATGGGTGATGAAAGTCGTGGTATTTTCTGGCTTGTTGAAGTCGACGCTGTTATATCCGCCTTCAGCCTCGTCAAACAGAGCTTGGTAACTCTCCTGAAGCTCTCGGTATGGGTTAAAGTCCCGAGTCTCTTTATAGAAAATGAATCTCATGTCCTCTGGTGCCCACTTCGTCACTGGGATTTGAGAAGTCTGGTTGGCAGGTTCTGCATGTGCGAATCGTACCTTTTTGGTAGACTTTCTGTCCGGAATTGAACTTCCAGCGGACGAGGCCTCAGTGTCACGCCACGCCAGAGTTGCGCCTGTATCTGAGATGTAATCGAAAGTAGCATCTGTTGTAGAAACATTCGGGTGCGCATCAACAGAAAAGTCTTCGTCAAGGACTTCTTCGACGGAGACGGGCTGAGGTTCTGACCGGACATCACTCGCAGCTTCATCAGTAGACACTCCTTTGGATGTACTGATACTTTCGTGTTCACTCGTCTCCGTTGTATGCACCTCATCGCGGATATTCATGGATGGATGCGGAACCTCTGGGCTTGGATCGTAGTATGCCATTCTTCGAGTGCCTGAGAGCCACGATACCGAGCGAACTCTTCGTCGAGGACTTCCTCGATTTGTACTGCATATGGCGACTTAGTTTTTCGGCTCGGCTCAGGTGGAGTGAGACCCAATTCATCACAGAAGGGAGCATTTGAGATATCAACATAGATGTTGTCCTTCACGATGTTTGCTTGGCATTCCAAAACAGAAATCGTCTCTCCTGACATAGGTGATGAAGTGACAAGTGGTGCAGGACTCTGGCTATTGGGACCAAGATTTGGCTGCATGTCAATATCTCTTTCCGACGTTGGACTCGTTTGATAGTTGTTTCGTACATCTGGCAAGTGATCAGACGGGCTTATTTCATCGACATTTTCACACTCTTCCAAAGTCTCAGGCGGCCGTGACCTCGGATTCTCTTTCACGATAGTGCGTTCGTTCAGATTCGAAGCATCTGAATTATGAATCTTTGCCCCACAGTCGCTGTTTTCAGAAGCCTCAGAACATGACAAGGAGAGGTAATATCCACCCAAAGTCGCTGCTGGCTTCGGGTTCTCAATACAGGTAAACGAGAGACTAGCTTTTCCAGACATCGCCATAACTTGACCGACACTCGTTGTTGTCATTAGTGGGATATCGGGATGTGCATTTTCGTCTTGGCCAGTAGTGTGGCCAACAATGTGCGACAAATCTGATGTAGGGTGATATCCATCGTGGTCTTCGGAAAAGTCATCGGGAGCCGCGATATAGCTAAGAGATCATGCTGGCACAGGTGCGCTCAGTTCAGTGTCCCCTCCAGTAATTTTAGAGCCAAAACAGGCAGAATTACCTGCAAAATGGGCTGTACTGTGGCTGTGCGGTGGTACCTCAATACTATGTGCTTCGAAAATCTGTGGCAATTCCTCTGCATCTATGCTATCGTGGTCTCGATCTTCCTCGGCATCAATTGGACCATCATCGAGATCAATCATATCGTCAAACACGCCCCGATTGCCTAGTTCTTCGACGTAACTTTTGATCAACCTCTTATGGCGTTGCAGCGTCGAACTTCGATAACCTTCTTTTGCCAACTCACGACGAAGCTCCCGCCAGAACATCTGGTCATCATTGGTGTATGAGGTCCATACAGATCCTTCCCCAGATGTAGCGGCCATGTTAGCTGTAACCCAATGGAGTGCCTTCCGGATCCCATGTAATTGTTCCCGGTGGCTGGCTGACCGAGCTTCGATTCGTCCAAGTGTTGCCTCCACTCGTCCCATCGAGTCCAATGAGCAAAGATTAAGACTCATCATAATGGCAGATGTGTGCGTGGACAACTTGATTCGAATCTCTGCCAAATCTTTCGTTTGTCCATTCCCAAATTTTATCTTCTGCCAAAGCCCTCTTACCCCGCCTCTGTTCCCCAGTCAAAGTATTGTATTTGTTCAAGACATGGTTCATAGTCTTTAGTATCCCTTCACACCCAGCCGCGTGCTCTTCGAGTTCTTGTCGCTTGTCATTGCTGGCTTTATTGACTTGGGATTCGGGATTCGATATTTCCTTTCGTAGACGGTTCAACACCTTGTAGAGGCTCGAAACTTCACGAGTGAGTTCGTCATGCTCGCCGCAAGCCTTCCTTGCGCCTTGGTAGGTGTTCCATGCCAGTTGTGCCAGCAGAATACAGTCACCAACAGATGATCCGAAGCTCATCCTCGAGCATCATCCGCGAGGCTGCGGGGTTAGACAGCCAAATTGTGGATCGTCGGGTTTTGTACACCCACTGAAGTAGCTAGAGCAGGTGCGAACTCGAACGACTAGACCACTGTAGAGCCATGGTGGCCGTTCCACTTCCAGAGAAAAAGATAGAATGAAGAAAGATTGACATTCCGAGTGTTGTCCTCGATATTGCAACCTCTTCTGGGAGAGGCGCATCTCACCGAGTTGCCCGCCTGGCTGCATCGTGGTGGGGTATATCTGATAGGGATTGGACGTTGCCGGCGGAAGCATGGGCTGAAGGGTGGGCAGCTATATGCAGTGATTGGAAGAAGATAGGAGAGATGCACCTGACTTACCGAATCCCCATGGCTGGGGCGGGATCACGCAACGAGTTGTCGTGTACAGTAATGATGGGTGTAACCTGGGAGTGTTTGGGGTTCAAAAGTTGAGGGACTGGCGCTAGCGAGGTTTGGGTCTAGCTGATCAATACAGTCTTTGGTCAGTCAGGCTTTCTTTGGAAGCTCCAACACAACATCGTCTAGAGATGAAAGCGAGAGCCGTTTCCGTTCTTGATGTTTTAGATCATTCAGTCTATATCATTTCCTATACTACCAAGTTTGTGCCCTTCGAGAACACATTATTTGGGTCATATATCTTCTTCAACTCCGCCAACCTTGGGAAATTCACACCAAAGACAGTTTGGCCCGGATCTCCCAAACTATCATAATTGCTATACTCTCCAACACTAGTCTTAGTTGTGGAGTCTGTCCCTTCGGCGATCTTCTTTTCCAACTCATTTCTAGTCTTTATTGACATTGTTCTCGTCCATTGTCGACAAATAGAGTCATTCTCAGGCTTGGTCCATCCAGGGAGGAACGCAAGATTTCCATAGGCTCCTCGGTTTGCAAATGACGTGGCAGTTTGCGAAACTTCTAAGATTTTCTTGAATGGCACGCACTCCCATAGGACCATTGTCGCTCCGGCGTCCGGGTTCTGAGTGATGAACACAAGCCAGTCGTCAAAGATGCTCTCGGCGAACTTCGTGTCAAGTGGTGCGAGGAAAGCCGAGCCTTTCACGGTCCTACGTAATCCGTGGAACATGGCTGCGTTTAGCATTTCGTTCACTTCGCTGTAAGGCATTATGCTCGTTTGGTCGACAAGTGGATTTAAGGCCAATATTTCCTTGAAGTACGATTTGCCTTCTTGCTCAGTACCATTGTAGAAAACAACGACCATGATAATCTAGTAGAATTATGGTTAGTCATTGAGCCCCAGATTTCATTTATTCAACACATACCGGTTGCAAAGCTGGAGGCGGCGCACCAAAACCGAGGAGAAGAGCAGACTTCCCTCCTTGATCAACAAGCACCTCGTTACCGATCTTGAGCAATGAGTCGAGCTGTTCCCTGGGAAATACAAACATGCCGGCCCAGACAGGTGCTGTCTGTTCATGGGCCTGGTACACAAACTTGGTAAACACACCGAATCCAATCCCAGCTCCCCTCGCAGCCCAGAATAGATCCGGGTTTTTGGTTTCAGTAGCAGTAACAATGCTTCCATCAGCAAGCACAGCTTCGACTTCCAACATATTGTCGATTACCATTCCATGCGCCGGAGTGAGATATCCGTACCCTCCGCCTAGCGTCAACCCTCCAACTCCCGTATGGTTGACAGTTCCCCCTACAGCAGCCAACCCAAACTTGGCAGCTTCCCTGTCAACATCAGCCCACAGGGCACCCCCTTCAACAGTCGCGGTCTGAGCTTTCTTATCTATAGTCACATTCCGCATCTTCGACAAATCAATGCAGACACCTCCATCTGTGGACGAAGCACCGCTTGTCCCATGCCCGCCACCGACAACGGCTAGCTCAAGCCCTTGAGATATACTGAATAGAACTGTCTTAGAGACTTCTTCTGGCGTGGTGGGAAAAACGACGATGCCCTACAATGTAATATCAACAAGAGTTACACAGCAAAATGTCTTGAAATCGGTTGGACTCACGGCTGGCTTCTCCGCAGCAGCAGACCATCGCTTGAGACTCTGCTCGTAGTTCTCCGACTCCTTTGTCACAACATCCGCTTTTTCAGATAACGTCCCCTTGAACTGCTGCACTGCCGCGATATCGATAGCCATGATTTGCGATTAGCCCAGTTTAGGTCAATCTTGTTGTTCCTTCGAATATTCCAATCTCAATATGTCTCACAATCAAGCAACCTAGCAAGACGAGACAGAAAGGCAAGTAAGTAAGGAATATAATAAACTTATGTTCAGGCCAACTGACCACACTTTACAGCGGCGCAACAGTCCCTTATATGTATTTTCCCAATCCTCGAATCTCCCCTCTGTCATGCAGGTGGTTTACACATGCACACGTGACCCGGGCCCGGCGTTCACCAGCAAATCATTGATCCGACAACCTACATGCTCACGCCACATCAGGCTTTCAATGTAAGGCCTAGCGCTAGAATAAGCTTGATTTGAAACTTGGAAGACGCTCTTGTACGTCGGCGATGTCAGATCGAGTTACTCAAGTATTACCTACATGCGCCACAAGCTGAACATCTGCCCGCTTGTGCATCCACTCGACTGCATTTCCCTCGTAGGCACGCTTACTAGCAGTCTCATTGCAGCTTTAAGAAAGACTACCCACAATAATGTTTCGGCTACAGTTGTTTAATTGGATGCTGTTGAATGAAGCTGCAGCTCCACAGCGCTCCACTGTGCTCATTCCAAGACTCGCGGTTCCACTCTCCAAGCCCTCGCTCTCGCTCCCAGTTGCAGCAAACCCATTCCCGGCATGACGGTCATAACCTGTGTTTGGTATGAAGGAAAGACTGAAGTCCTATGGAAGCAGAATACGAGTAGCTCCCAGGATGGTACTTGTCAGATATCCGGCACATCGCTCAGGACGTTGAGGTTGCTCATGAACCGGATACTGTAAGTAGACTTGCACATACACGTGCAAGCTCAGCTAGTATGAGATCAATTTTACACTCTAACAGTTTAGTTATGATTGGGATTGGACGTATATTACGTGAGAAGTTGTGGTCAAATCCCAATTACCACAAAAAACTACACTTACGACGGTTACGATATCGTCGAACCTCTTCTCTCCACTCTACCATCTCCTGAGCTATACTTAGGGCGAGCATGGTACAGAGGCGCACCTGCGTTGGTACAAAGGCGCCAACGTTTCCGGAATTTAGTTGGCTAGGTGGCCATGTAGTCAGGTGATCATATGCCACCCACTGCCACCAGCATAATGCCATTGTCAGTATTCCAACACTTCCAGAGCAATATTTGACTATTCATTCCGTAGATAATTCCTAAAGCCCTATAGATTGAGTTGGGGAGTATTGATTTAATTTCATATTTCATAAAGAGCTGATAATAACATGAGGGACGTTGAACTCATTATTCCAAATCCAATCTTCAACTCCAGGAGGATTTATAGACCATATAATTAAGAAGCAAGTACACCGTAATTGTCAATCTACATCTGTAACAGACTAAATCTTACTTGATGGTAAATACATTCGCCGGGCGAATATTATATCTGCAAGTTGCATGTATTCAAGAATTCGTACAGCAATGTGTCTCTGTTGATACAGCAGTGTGTCTCTGTTGACGAGTTCCTCCTCATTCTAAATTCATCAGCTTAGTCTTCGAGGCAGCCTCCCAGCCATCACTACTTTAGTAGAGTTTGTGACGCTAGAACATGAGTTAGCGATACAAGAACAGATCATAAGAGCAAACATAATCCAGGGAGCTTACCCCAAGAAAAAGGGAACTGATAAACGCCAGAGCAGAACCGGCAAGTATTATCGCAAATACGTTGCTGATCGCCAATGTTACTTGATCAATGACTGATTGTTGAACTGTCTGACTGAGACTTTGGAAAGAAGCGCTGTGCGTGCCCGTGATCAACTGCAATAGTTCCGGGCGCGAGCGATCAGGCAGGATTTGGCCAAGTTTTTCCGCACCGATGTTGTTGTAGAGAGTCCCTGAAATTCCAAGAAAGGTGATCGCTCCAATGTTTTGTGCTAGAGGAGAAAAATATGTCAGCCGTTGCGTTTTTTTTTATCAGTTGTTGGATGCGGTAAGTTCTTACCTCCTACCATCGCCCCAACTGCGTTGCCGGCATCCGAAGTGTCAACGAGAGCTTGTGCTACCGCAACACTGGCTGTCAATATCGATCCAACGCCCATGCCAATGAGTGCTGTGAAGCTGTAGATGGCACCGTTTGATGTTTTGGAATCAATTAGGACTTTTGGCACATCAGCGAATAATGAATCTTACTGGGGGAGTAGGACCGCGCTTACACATAAGAGACGAACCAGCAAGAGTGGCAGCCGAGCCAAAAATATACCACGGTGTGTAGTACCCGAGTTTAGGCATAAGAGCTCCGTTGAGAAAAGAAAAGAACACGACCATGCTCATGAGTGGTAAAAGACGAACACCAGCCTCCAGAGCGCGATCGCCCCTTGTATCTGAAAGATTAGTGGCGTGTAGTATATGGTGGTGTTCATAGTGCCGGCAATAACGAAAATTTGAAACTGGAGGATGACGAGTTCCAATCTCTTCGCAAAGTGGCCGGGGTACAATCGACTATCCTTCGAAATGCCAGGATGGTAGATGGTGACGAGAACAAAGACGATGAGGAAAACTCCTGTCATTACCCAAAGCGCAATTTCAGTTCCGCTACCAAAGCTATAGTAGCTACCGCCGAATGTGAGCGCCACTGTTTTAGTCAAAGTCAGCTTTGATCTGCAGATTACCATGAGAGAAGCGGATGGCTGGGGAAAAGGAAATATGAAGGGTCTTCCATAACGCGACTTACTCGCATAGCATGCGGTTCCAGCCAGGAATATAACAATGCCCAACCAGTCTTGAGCCTGGACTTTTTTCCAAAACGGGATATCAAGCGGGTTGATGCTAGGCAAGCAAAAAATTATCGCAGGAGCAAAGATGGCAGCAACTACTAGATTGATGTAGAATGACCATCTCCACGTAGCAGAACTCTGGGCAAAAGCGCCACCAATAACGGGGCCAATTACCGAGCCAATGCCATACACGATTACGATCCCTGAGAAGTATAGAGGTCGCTCATGGTTGTTAGTAGACATGGCAACAGAGGTGAGCCCACCGGCATAGACCCCGCAACCAAAAAAGCCTTGGACGAATCGACCGAATATCAAAACATCCATCGTCGGGGCAGCGCCACAAATAGCACTACCTATTTCGAAGCCGAGGACCATGCTGATAAAATACCATTTCACGTTGAACATGGCTAATGCTTTTCCACTAGAGATTATGAATTGTCAGTCTGGATTTCCGACAAAGATGTTCAAAAGCGGCACTCACTGTGGAAGAATGGCCACGGTGCCGAGACTCAATGCAACTGCGATCCATGATAATTTGTCAACCTCATCAAAAGTATCGATGATTGCGGGCTGGATATCTGCAACCTGGATGCCATCAGCGCGGTTGAAAACATCAAATACAATAAGGCACTTACGATTGTACCATCAATGGCGAAGAGAAGGACGGTCGAGAGAATCGAGGCGTAGGCAAGGAACCACTAGACGGTGTCAGCAATGTGGTTACTTGAGAGGTACTACTAAGCAGCAGCAGCCACGAGGCCGGAATGATAGGATTTGGATGCAAACCTTAATGCCGACGGCAGATCTCACCGGGCCGGAGGCAACTTCATCCTCCACATCGGCATTCAATCTAGCCACAGGCGAGCTGTCATGGCCCGCATTTGCTTTGTCGGTAGCCAAGGGCTGGGACGATTCGGGTGTGGTGACTCTGGTGTCTTCTTTCTCGCCAGAAACGTCGATTCGGGCATGAGTAGGCATGGAGGTTGGAATTCGTGGTGAGAGCTGGGTGTCTGGATGTCGAGGAAGGGAGAAGAATGAATCACGGAATATAACTTATATGGGATGACCCCCGTTACAGAAAAATTGATTTCTAACTTGTTAACGGGGCGATCTTGGTAAGCGTTTCTGAAATTGCAGATTGATCATCTTCCGAAATGCTATGTGAGCTCCTGGAGTTCTGAAGCAGTGCAATTAAAGTAAGCATGCCATTGCCAATGTTGGCCCAAAAGGGACGGGTTCGACGACGTATGAAGACGGCCATTTCTCCCTTGGGATTGCACACGTCGGGAAAAAGCCTCGGGATCATTTCCTGTCAACGAATTAGCTGAACGGGGGAAATAATATACTACTGCGCTGACAGTGTGAAGTCTGTAACCTTACCCGCTCCCGCTCCCGCTCCCGCTCCCGCTCTGCTGCCTCCATGAGTTTCGTTTTGGTACCGGAAATGATGGCACTTAAAGTGACAGCACCGTTTCAGATCCAGATGTGAACAGCGCGTATATCTGACTCTACCTTGCCTTGGTCGTTGCATCACCATTCCATTTCGCGTGATTGTGTCCGGCAGGACCGGCACTGGAGTGGTTGGTCGTACCGCTTCCCACTGCTTTTAACTTGCCAGCATCGATCATGTTGTCATTGAAAAACGCGACGATATCGCCCCAGCTGAGGGAGCCAGTATCGCCAGTAAGCATGATCTCTTTGATTTCATGTTCCGTGCTTTGTGGAGCTGCTCTGGTTGCTTTTCTCTCTCTTACATTTTCCGTAAGAATAAATTTTGAGCTTCGAGACTCTGTAACAGTTCTAAGGAGGACATAACGCATGGCTGACTTCTGGATCTTCTAGTCTATCCTGATAGTGCCCGGACCCTTCATGAGATAGGCTGTATAGAGCCCATTCAAAAGGCTTCCATTCCATGCGAAAGATGGTATGGGCGAATGCCAGATGGCCGGACAATCCTGGATAATGGGTATTTCCGGCACCTCAAAGAAAATGAGCCTGAGCGCATTTCATACTTGCCCTGTCCTGCGACTGTGTTTGACCAAGTCAAAGAGAACACCTGAGAAGTTCAATTTCTGCAGCTCTAACATATAGTAATTTCCTCCTCGACCGCACTTCTGAACAGACCATCCACCGAGTCGTCGTTACTCTCGTTTGCTCTGTGATGCAGATATCGACGTAGAGAAACCCCGATTCTCACATACGTACTCAAGTCCCCAGTGCTCTTCTTCAAAACCAGAAAGAAATCTTCGCGATCGGCTCCAGGCAGTTCCACCACACCCACCAACAGACAGGTAACTTTGCCCGAAAGTTTCTCGATCCCAGCCATGTTCATCTCATTCACACCGACATCTGGTAGAATTGTCCGTGTATGCTCTCCGCGCCAAAGAGCATACCGTTTCCCCTCTATGTACCCCTCATAAGTATCGCCTTTTCGCATGTCCTCAACTTTGATAGAAAAACCATGCACGACTCGTCCCCTGACAACAAGCTTGCCACTGTCTTTTCCAATCTTTCCGTACGGATCCAAAGTATTGGGAACAGTGTTTACCTGCAGGATTTCCAAACAGCTGCGAAAGTGCCTTAGTGGAATGTATGTTACAGGCCCTTCAACGGCAGCCCAGGTCCAACTCGGCGCCCTCCAAACCTTGGGCCGTCGATAGACAATCTCCTTGTCCCTCATATCTCTTGACCGATCATCCTCCACGTTCCAAAGGAGCGAAATGGCCAGATTCGACCGCCAATGTCCAGCCAGATACTCATCTTTCTCCCCCGTAGCCAATCTCTGCACTTTCGCGAACTGATTCGCAAGACCCGACAAGGCAGGCAATTTATCTTCATCATATCCTAGCTGCCTTTCAGTAAATTTCATGATAATGTCGTTCCAACTCTGCCGCAGTTCTGAACAGGACAACGTCCCGAATATCTCCGGCTTCCGCACCGAGCGACTGCTAGCTTCGTCATCTTCCTCGATAGGGTCAGAGCTGTGCCCGCACTCGCAATTCCGCCACTCATTACACTCCCAGAACAACTCCTTGGACGTATACCTCAGCAATCGATTCGAGAGAACAGCTTCCTGTAAACACCATCCCCGGCAATTAATAGGTTCAGGTACTGGCCCTCGCCCAATCATGCTGAAATTATCGTGTTCGCGACCAAGTTGCTTGCGGACATACACAGTTCTTTCCTTGTACTTGACTTCTTTCGGTGCTACTCCGAAAGATTGTTTATTGAGAATCCCATGCGAATTTCCAGGTGAGTTATCCCCTGCGATAGTCAAGTGAGCATTGCTGTATACATCGCACATCTTACTCGATTCCCTGGCCTAATCGTCTAGGTCGCCTTGAATGATACACAGGGCATCAATCCAGAGGAATTTCAGTCCTAGTCGACGGGTGATTGTCACTGCATCTTGTAGAGTCCTCGGCATAGCGTTAAAAGCGATGCGTTCAAGATGCTTCTCGTACGTGTCGGCTGTCGTCTTCAGAACGTTGTGAAAGCGTGGATCTCCCCAGCAATAGCTTAGTGCGACGTATTCTCCACTCTGCCCTCGCGATTCAACTAGAAAAGGATCTCTTGTCCCAGCTACGCCGACATCTAACACACGAGTCGGAAGAGCTTTTAGTGTCTCTGAACTGCAAGCCGGGTGGGAGTCGACGCATGTCTTCAGCCAAGATGACGCGAGCTGGAAACATGAATCCGAGGAGGACTCTTCAGTTACTTCCTTCACAGCTCCAATCGTATCGGGCACATCTGGAACACTCTCTCCCACTAACCCAAAAATCATTCACGCCCATCAAGAATTGACATGCGAAAAGTTGAGAAATTAAAAAAAAAACCACCCACCTCTCCTAGAAAATAATTCCACGTACACCCCATCCTTCCTCCAAAACACCTGACATTGCTTCCCCACCGCGACTTTCAATTCGATATATTGCGTCAGGTCTTTCTCATCCCAAGAACTTTTGTAATATGATAAAGCGTCCCATATCAACCTGCACTCTGCGCACGAGGTTGTCGCGATTGAAGACTTGAGATCTGAGACGGTGAAGAACAGACCGGTCCATTTTCCCACTGGCAGGGTTGACAGGATTTGAGGCCGAAGGTTGGAGCAGGTGGTGCAGACTGCCATTGTCGATTTTTGGCTTAAGAGAGTATCTTTTGTCTTGGAGGTTCTGTCTCTGTGTGTGAGTGTGTTCTAAGATTCAAGAGGTGTGCAGAAACCCGACAGAGGAATTGACACCTATTTTGTAGGTGTGTATTGGGGAAGGATTTAGCCCCCACCACCTTGGCGGGGTACAGGGGCAGGTGGTGGCGCACCAGTGGAGATTGCTAGAAACTTCAGGGGCATCTCGCTAAGTCGATTCCGAAAAAGGCATTCAATTCGTGCAGATGTGATGACATGCAAGAGCTGGGGAGAATATGTCAATTGAGAGCCACGGTCGATGAGAGATGGCTGGAAATTGATTGGCAGTGCAGGCGTTTTGAAGGGCCTTGAGCAAATCTCGCTTAGCCTAAAGTCAACATCAATGAGACTTTCCCTCTTCTGGCGACCTAGTAAAGATCAGCAAACAGTACAGTACTTCTTCTCTGAATGATCCATCGGTACAGCTTGTACAGAAACAGGATCCTCCAAATCCTTCTCATCCATCACGTTATTGTCCAAATGCCCTAGATCAAAAACATCAGAATGATACTCTCCGTCAAACAAATTTATCAATCTCTTCGATTCACAAAATTGCAATCGATTTAGAGAAGTCGAGCTTCCTGGACGCGCTACAGAGTTAGGAGTTACGAGAATATTCCATGTAGATTAACATTACTTCTATGCAAAGTTCATACGCTGCAAAAAAGCTTTCAGCGTTGGAGGATAGATAGGGACAGTGCAAGCATTAGTATGAATTGAACTGAACAGGCAGCTCGCTCAGGAATAATCGCCCAGTTACACAGGTGAAAATACCGCTTCATCATGTTTCATTGTTTTGATCAGCCGTCCGACCTCAGATCTCCTAGTTCCCTCGTTGGCCACTTGCTGTTTAATTCCGTTGAGGGTAAAGGTCGATCCCAAGCCCACCTCTTCTCTAGACTAGGATCTAGCTCGCCACATAGCATCTCAACAACATATTTGCCTAGAATAGGCAGAAATTTATACCCATGGAAAGATCCGCAAGTTGCAATGGATAAGCCCTCACAGGCCGAATGAGGAGAAATTATGAAGTCCGAACTTGGGGTCAAAGCCTCCCTGCGAACATTAATTTAGCTTAATATTTTAGGCCAGATTCCACTCACCAGCAGATTCTGAAGGCTTCGAGGTCTTGGTGCAGCTGTTTCTTGCCAAACAATGATTCGGGTCCTTGACGAACATCATCTTTCAAAGCCAATGGTACCTCCCATTGAGCATAGTCCGGCTGACTCGGCGGGACGGACAGCCGTGTGTTGGTGATGGGATGCTTGACTGTGTTTTTGAAAATGACTTGGCCCCAATATTTGACAGCGTTGATATTTGGCAGTGGGAGACAGCCCACATCGCACCCTGTCTTTGTTTATTATTCAAGATGTAGGTGATTTATGGCCACTACATACCTCGTTCGACAGGATTATCATTAATTCCAACTGGTATAACCTCGAGAGCCGAACTCTGCTGAGCCGTCATAGGCGCGACGGCTTCCGTGACAGCGGCTGCAATAATTCTCTGGCCTGCATGAAGATCAATCCACTCAGGGTCGCTGTCAATTAGCAGCTTAGGAGTAAATGCCCCGGTGCAGAGAATGACTCGTTCTGCTGAGAGAGACTCTCCCTTCGCTGTCTTGATGCCAGAACACCGACGTTGACCATGATTGTTGTCAAACTCGATGGCTGTGACCTCAGACGTGATGTATTTCACTCCAAGATTAACGGCAGTCTTGATGGTGTTTTGTAATGCCTCTTTTGCCTCTGCCCAGCCACTAGTCTTGTTCACGAGGACCTCCTTGACGCCGGTGTAATCAGCCTCTTCAAACAGGCCATTATACAAGATGCGAGCCTCCTCAACAGAATATATCTGCAAGTCGGTCTCGACTCCAAGATCTGTGAAGTTCTTCAGCACCTGCTTGGCAAATGATGTGGGCGTGATCCAAATCACACCACTCTCGTGGTAAAACGGTTTCCAGATTGGGTCTGTCCGCCATAGATGCTGTGCTTCAAGGGCGAGCTTAGTGTATGCGATATCGTTGTAGTCAGCACGGACGACTTTGTTCCAGTCCCAAGATGCAGCAACCCGTTTGGAGTCGTCGAACCTATCGCGGTCGATCAGTGTGATACTTGCTTCGGGATGCTTGCGGATGAGGGAAAGCGCAGTTGAGGCGCCAAATACACCTGATCCGACGACGATATATGATGAAGGGGACATATTTGAGGTTTATTGGTGGAGAGTATTGGATATAATACTTGTCGTTGGAACGGTAGAGAGTTGCAAGTTGTGAGGAGCTGCAGGGAGTGAGCTGGGCTGCGGGGTGGGCCATGATAAGAATGCGGGGTTACAGTACTGCAGGACACACCATGGAGAAAGTGGTTGGTTTTGGTTCCACAGTTGGGGTTCTCAAAGTTGTACGACCCTTATTTGATTCGACCCTCCTTCGCTTGCTGTCTGACGTAGGAACTTCTTCTGAATCAGCGTAAAAAGCTGCATATTGCATTTGCTCAACCTGGTTAATGATTCGTTGATTCGTGAATGAATTCCAGCCGAGCGCACATGTACCTTAAATGTAACTTAAACTTGCTCGGATCTTTCTAGTCTTGAGTAGCCAACTCCCAAAGTCCTACAATTTGTCTTCTTCAAAGAATCCAGAAGCAGGATGTTCACGAAGAGGAGGACAAACTTCTTTTCAACTGGGAGATTGCTCCTTCAGGTGGGTAGATTTCAATGAGTAATCTGAGCACTCGGCTTCTTTGATTGCAACTCTGCCAACTTGTAGCAAAAACTCAAAGTAACTTGTTTGATGGCTCTCGTCTCTGAATTTTACCTGCTGTTGGAAGAGATGGACTGCGAATTGCCTGGAGACTTCTTGAGACTCGGTCGAGGGATCTTGGTTGTGTCATTCTCCTGCAAAAACGCGAAGGAGGCGGGGGTTAGGCTCACGATAGAGGTTTCTCCGTGGTTTTTGCCAGAGAGCTTGAACTTGTTAGTGGACTATTGGTTGTTAGATTGGAAGCTTATTATCTTTGTTTTTCGATCGCGATTTTGCGTGCTAGCTTGGTGCTTGGCTTTGGGGCGACAGGTCGGGTATTTCACTCGTCGAAATTGAAATCTTAGCGAGGTGAAGGAGCTTAATAGCTATCAATTATTATTACAGTGAAAAGAGTTGCATAAGTACCTCATTTATATTTGCTAGAGTGGTGTATGGCCTGAAACATGCTATCTCTGATTTTGTTCCTCATCGTACTTCATCATCACTTCCACTGATCAAACAAGATATATTCTCCTTCTCTTCAGCCCCTCTTTCCAAGTATCTTCCCCCTCCGGCCCTGCAAAATTCCATGTCTTACTTCCCCTCACCTGTATCCCTCCAGGCAAACAGACAATCTCCGGATCCAAGCTACGATTCATCCCGAAATATCCCACACGTGTAAATATATCGCCATCTACACGTTTTAAAACAAGCCCAGCAGGACTCATAGATCTTTCTACCTCAAGGAGCCAGAACTCGCATTCTTCTTTCTCGTTTGAGGGGGAATTGCTATTTCCGTGATCACGTAAATGACTCGCGAGACCATGAATGGAGCGATGGCTATCACTTGAGCCTGATGCAGGATGCCCAGAACTTGGAGTCTCGGGTTGCAATGCGTTGAATACTGCTTCCTTCACGTCGGCCACTGGAGTAAAAGGTATCTCCGAGTCAGGACATACCAGTGAAGCCGGTTCCGGCACGACTGGCATTTGTATCCTTATTATGCCATCACCAATAAATATTGAAGCACCTCCATCGTCAACAGGATGTTGTACGCTGGTGTCAGCAAGCGACTGTGGATTGAATGAAGCCTCATATTTCTCACTCATCTCCGCGAAGAAGACCGGATTGTCTGGTATTATGTAGTCCTGGTATTCAAATGGTTCTCCATGAGCGACGATGACGAAGTTGGCTGTGAGTTCTTGCCAGGCCATTGAACACATTGGCCCTTTTATATCCAGATAGCTGAAGTTTAATCCTCCGAAGGGATTGATTCGGGTTGTAAGCTCAACGTGGAGGTCATTGATCTCGACAAGAGATGTGTGGTATTCATCATTGTCCCGAGTTGCCGAGCTCTCGAAACAAATAGGAACTCTGCTTGACATTGGCGACCAAGATGGCGCGACGTACTTTCTTAACCATATGGAAGAGTCTTGCGATTCTGTTAATGACATATCAAATAATCGACCACGGAGATACGAGATTGTGTCTGCTTTCGGATGTCCCCTTGTACCCACTCCACTTTCTTTGCTATTGCCGGATCGGCGCCATAGAAGGCCGCGGGGTAAAGAACGCCTCCAAAGACCTGCAGCATAAGTTCCTCCCTCAGGCGACTGATGCTCCGCAGCTAGTGCAGACAAAGCCGCAAGCTTGTCTGTTTGGAAACTCAATGACCTTTGCGAGTAGTTTTCCAGGACCGGGAACCAAGCAAGCCGCAATCCAATGTCATCGTTAGGCGGCGTCGGTCGGTCAACATATCTCAGTGTCTGGTCTGCTGAAATTGATCCATCTTCTATCGTGATTTTCATGACTCCCGAAGTGGGCTGTGGGTTTGGCAGAAAGGCTGGGGGAATATCCAGTCCAGAGATTCTCCATCTCTCTTTGCAATGCCACTGCGGTGGTCCGGAACCAAAAATAACAAGCCTAGGCGCGAGAGTCGATTCTTGATACGTCCATGCTCTGGTGTTAATGTGTTCTTCAGAGAACAACTTTACTTTATGGCCCATGTAGGGATCTGGACATAAGTAGACCCAATCAATGACCTTGCGTTCTTGAGTTTCTTCATCTGCTTGGCTGAGAAATGGCAAACACAAGGATTTATCGAGACGAAGTTGAACATCCGCTCGGTCTTCCAAGAAACCTTGTCCGCAGTCCTCAGCAGAAGCAGCTGAGATAGTCATGGTAGCGTTCTTGTAGATATTAGACATAGCAACGATCTCTTTGTCCTTGTCTTCTGTCGAATCTTGAATAATGCACAGTGAATCAATCCACAAATACTTGATGCCTAGTTTCCGTGTCGCGGTAATGCTATCCTCGATTGTTTTTGGGAGAATCCTGGCATCTATGCCCTTCTCCGTGAAATCTTTGATATTGGCTTTGGTGAGCATGATTTGTTTTGTCTTTCCCCAGCAATAGCTCAGTGCGATATACTTGATTTCTTCGTCAGGTTCACATTCATGCACAAATACTCTCTTTGGGTCACTATCTTCGAGTCGTAATACCCTGGTAGGAGATTGATTTGGATTCGGCTTCTGGCATTCCGTGTGATTTGACAGACAATCCATAAGGTTGAGCTTGAAGGAGTCGAATATTTCATCACGGGTAACAGAAGGATTTGGTGGCCCCGTAATAATAAAGTGATCAAGCAATTCAGAACCTGAGAAGTATTAGAATGCCGCTGGGTCACGGTATGGCTCAACTGACGTTTTGTGTAAATTCCAAACGGTATCGCCCAAGACTTGAACTTCCGGTCCCTGATGGTACCAGTCCCTTCATTCATCCAATTGAAACTGAGAGGTTCTCTGATCTCGAAGAGAACAGCTAAAAGAACGCCAGGCGGCGCATCTTCTTGTTTTCTGGCGCTGATTTGGTTACCAGGTTGAAAAATCTATCAAACACGTTAGAAAATGGCAAAGCTTTGAGCATTTATTGTTTGACCTCCTCATTCAAGCTCCATATCTCACAAAGAGCTTGGCACAAGCGACATCCTATCTGTGCAACCTCGAGAAATAAATCGACTGCTCCAAGTTCGATTTCACCCCCTGACAGAATCTGTAAAACATTGTCCGGCGTGAAGATGTAGCAGACGGGACATGCATCTATACATCCATGGGCATCCTCAACTATGTCGCCTGCGCACATGTTGTGGCAGTCTCGCTAATGATGAGATTATTGTGCGCTGTCAGGCTCAGGACGCCGCTCTTCGATGATTTGGAGTTTTTTGCATTTGATGTGGGGAAATGAGCCAGGGGTTATATGCCTCGTTGGGCATTGATATCGGAAAACCTTGGTGCTTTTGTGGAGTGACTTTGCACAAGGGCTGATACAGCTGAAAAGCTCCGCCACCACCATGTAACAGCCATGTTCTCTTTCGCGTCAATTCTGTCCGTAACTGATAGAGCACATCACATTCTGCCGCAAGAATATACCCCCACGCAGATGTAATGGACCGGCGCATTTCTGATAACGATTAAAGTCTAACACGCATATTTTAATACACAATCCTGAAGTTCAATCCATGTTGGTTATCAAATTACTGGCTCCCAGTTCTTAAGACGTATGATCCAGTCCAAGCCGCTTTCATATTAAATTAATTGCCACTGGACCAATCAGCCCGAATTCTGCTGCTTGCGATGTTCAATTCCATATGAGTACTCTATGCAACTATCTCTAATCCGTGATACTCTGGTACATCATATGGCTCTTCGTCTTCGGCATCAACAGGCAAGTGTTGTCTTCTCCGCAAGTCGATTCTCTGTCTCTCCACATTCGTGTATTTCGCTTGATGTTTCCGCTGATGATGCCAGGCATTATTGTAGAGCTTTAAGGCCATGTTGTCCAAAGCATAAGATGAATTATGATAGAGTGACTCAGCATATAGGATTGCCTTACGGCAGTCCCGGCTGCTGAAAATCAGTCTCGGTGGATTTTCGCTCAAGGCATCCTGTTGTATTTAGCAAAGCAATTGTAACAACTGCTCGTGTCTCGCAGCAAGGGCTATTGATAGTATGCTTAGTCCGGCGTTTTTCTTCGTTGTCAGAGACGCAGACGCCCCGTCGTCAAAAATATTCTGAACAGCGGATTCATTGCCAATGAGACTTGCAGCAGCAAAAAGCGCTGTTTTCCCATTTACATCAGCATGGTCCCACCTAGCTCCGGCTTTGATCAGCGCTAAAAGTATTGACTCCGAGCCATTCTGAGCAGCCATCATTAATGGCGTTCTTCCTCCCGGCAGCCACGTTTTGCAGAAGTTTACATCGGCGCCACGAGAGACAAGCAATTCAATTACTGCAGTGTAACCGAGACCAGTGTCACAATTGGCTAGCAGAGCAGTATACCCTTGACTGTCTTTAGTGTCGACTGGTATGCCAGCATCCAAAATGTGCTTCACCATATCAGCGTTCCCGCGACGACAAGCCAAATGCAGGAGACATTGTCCGTGGGCACTTTTGACGTGCAAGTTAGCCCCAGACCTGATCAGGATAGCTAAAGCCTCTGCGTTGTCATTCGCACAAGCCGTTAGAAGTGGAGTGTTCTTCTTGAAATCTCTTCTCTCGATATCAGCTCCCGCCTCGAGGAGCGCAACAACACTTTCAGGCGAGCCGGTCCTAGCTGCATTAAAAAGTGAAGATTGCCCCTCCATGTTGACATAGTCTGGATAAACTCCTAGCTCTAACAGGCATTTTATGCCCATGGCACGCGCCGGATTTTCAGCACACTTCAAAAGCTGTCCCGCCACCCTGGCTTCAGGAGCAAGGTCCTTTATATTTGCACCTGCTCTCAACAACGCGGACATGATTTCTCGATGCCCCATTGCGGCTGCTAGGAATAATGCCGAGTCTCCATTCGAATCTTTGATGTTGACATCGATTTGACGCTGCAATAAAATCTTGACGACCTCAAGCTGTCCTTTAATCGTAGCTCCCAAGAGCGGTGTCTGATAATACGCCACATCGATCCGGGAGAGAATGTCTCTAGCCTCTGCACGGCTATCTGAGTAGAAGATTCGGCGGCGTATTGTTACCGTGTCTGGATGAACTGAATCTAGCTCCAAAATACCTGTGGGGCTCAACAGGCTCGGACATGCGTTATGCTCCAGGAGATACCGCACCATTTCAACATGGCCATTGGCAGACGCAGCGTAGAGTGGAGTGGGGGACACCTCAATGGTACCATGATTCAAAAAGCGACCCCCAGCGTAATCACTGACAGCGCTGGAGAACGTGTCGGCTCCGCATTTGATCAGCATATCGGCAATTTTCAAGTGTCCCATCGAAGCAGCAAGACCGAGAGGTAGACCCTCGATGTTGGTCTCCGTTCCACATCCCGGAACCCCCAACTCGTAGTCTTTATCGAGCAAGTACTCTACCACTTCGGCTTGGCCCTCTCTTATAGCTCGCATGAACGGACACATGCCATGGCCATTGGACAATGGATCCAGACCCCACTCGCGGAAAAGTCGAACAGCGGAAAGTCGGCCAGCAGAAGCAGCGCTCACAAAGGCGACCATTTTCCATTCTTCCAAATAATTGAAGTGAGGATATTCTCCAGCCACTCTGAGAGTTGCCAGTAAAGTGGCAATGACGTCCAAGTTGCAAGTTCTGACTGCCTCATCGAGTTGGTGGATCCCCTTTTGGCCTCGAGATGCAAGAAGTGTACTCGGATGCCAACCATGGTGGCGCAAAAGTTGAGTGCTCTCCATGTGTCCGCTCAGTGCAGCGATCTCCAGAGCGTTGCAATTACTCTCCTTGTAAGTCGTTGTGAAGTCTTCGTACAGTCCCACATCTGGTGAAGTATGGAATCCCAAGATCTCAGTGATGATTGTGGTATGGTTGTTTCTTGCGGCTTCAAGAATCAGATGTCCCCTAATTCTGACCCAGGGACTCTCCTGTGCTCCTGAGGTAGAAGAAATTTGTGGCATACAGAGAACCAGGGCATCCAAGTTGCCACGATGACACGCATTCAGCATCCTGGAATAGAGCCACCCCAGTTTTACATTAGATTTCGGATCCCCAGTGTTCTGTGTACAGTCCTGTAGACGATCCATCATATGTTGCGATATGAAATTATCGTCACTGCTTTCGAAGAACCATCCGGCTGCATGCTGAAAGTAACTGCTAGCTTCGAAGGTCTTTTCTGTCGTCGATATCGCTCGGATCAACGAGCAGTGGTTGGCTGCTAGAGCCCATCCAATGGGCTCCAAGTAAGGATATGTACCCTGGGTTTTCCCATTAGTGTGCCAAGGCCTGAAGGAGAAAGGCAAGTGCTTCTCCAGTAAAAGATCACGATACATGATGTCTCGCTTGTTCTCTGCATGGCCTTCGTATGTGAAGCTCATGGCGTGCCACAACCAGTGCTCTCGAACATAGCTAAGAAGACGATAACGTTCCAGCAGGTGCTCGACAGGATCTGGGTCCCGTGGTATATGTCGGGCATAGTCAATATTCGTAGGACGACTGGCTTTGCCATACGTGATACGACTGAAAAATCTCATAGCATCTACTGATAGGTTTTTGGGCAGACCGAGATCGGAGCCTGCCACGACCCGCTCGATGGCAGCTATACCAGGAGTGATATGTCCATTTTTGTATGGTCCAAGTTGGGTCTCGAAATCTGAGAAGTTCAAGTAAGCAACACAGGTCTCGCCGAGCGCTTCCTGACCTTCTGGATCTGTGAAATGGAAAAACATGTCTTTGGCTGCTTGATTGTCCAAAATGTACTGTTGAACAGTGTAATGGGCGAATTGAACGGTCTTAGTTTCATCGTTGATGATTACTAGATGGTTGCATGCTCTTATCAGTCTGACAAAGTCTGTCGGAATTTTATTAATGTCCCATTTGGTATCGTCGATGCCGAAAGCGATTCCCTCGCAAAGTTCATCCACAATGAGGGGCCGGCGAGCGCAAGTGATCCATCGGAACATTCGGATCACTAGTTCTCGCCGTTGGCTACCTTCAATCCTGCTTAGTAGCCGATCGTAAGTTTCGGTGAGATCTTTCGGTAAGTCGCGTAGAGTTTCTTTGATGGCCTCGTCCGTTTCCGCTATGCACAATTCGTTCAGCTGGAATCGAACCCAAAGAAACCTATATTTATATATAAGTGGTTTTGAGAGGACTAGAGGCCGTAAACTCACATCCCTTTAGCACCGTCTATCAAAGTATCCACTATTGTCTGCCGTAGATCAGGATTTCGGAGAACCAACTCCCCCCCTTCCATCAACCGAGACAGAATGGCTGATGTAATCCGCGATGTCTGTGGATATCTTTGTTTCAGAGATTCGAACTCGAAAATTAGAAGTCTGATTAGCGTGAATTAACGGCAAGATGTCTTCACGACAAGTAATGAAGAGCTTCATAGGAAGTCGGCCTCCTATCAATACCTTCAAGCACTCGCAAAGTTCTGTCCGATCGTCCTCGGCGACCTCATCTATACCATCAAGGACCACTGTGACACTGTCCCATTGCTCTATAGCCATTATTAGAATCTGTAGCACCTCTTTTGTGTCAGGAACTCGCTCTCCGTCGTCATAGACACTGGTAATGTTATTCTCAAGCAAGGCTGGAATCTCTATGTCCTCTAGCATCGCTCGTGCCAGTGCCCCCAGAATCGCTGTAGTCGAAAGGGTTCTCTTATCAGCATGATCGCAGTAATGATAAGCAACGGAATGTTTGAGCGCGTCAGACCTAGCTATGAGGTGATCAATGACACTGGAAACTAGGACTGTTTTCCCACAACCAGCTACGAACAAGTCAGTGGAGGCCACCTAAGCAGCACGTATACGTACGAATCCCATGACAGCAGAAGGTAACTGCAGCTGAAGATTGGCTGGGACTGGCCCAGGACTGAAACTCTGAGGTGGCGAAGAGCCAAGAGCCTGTTGTCAGGTGCCTCGTACTTCGAACTTTCATGTGCTTGGCTTGCCTTTTCAGCGATGATAGATGGTTCAACAGCACTCTCTTCCTGTCCACTAAAGACAAATACCAGTAAGCTCGAGTTTCAATGATGCGTAGGGGTAATCATACTTCTCCTTGCAGTTTATTGCAATTGTCTGTCCCTGAGGACCAAGTCTCGAGCTTCTCCCTCTTCAATCATGTGGCATGTCTCGGCCTCTTTCTCGACAATTTTTCGATGAGCCCTAAACCTCTTTTCGGCTTCCTTGAAACGTTGTTCAATGCTTGATGAGGGCATGAGGCGCTTCAAGATGTTTTGCTGTTGGTTCTTTATCATCATTTTGAAGTCCATACAAACTTCGATAATGTCCAGATACATGGTCGCTAAGGACTCCTTGAGTCGAGGATACCTCAAGAGCGAGAAGACTCGCTGGTAGTCCTTAACATACGAGTTATTCTCTTTTCAACAGGAACAGCTAGCTGAATTACTCACGAGAAGCCGAGGGAGGATGTCTCCAATTCTTCCTAAACATTCACTAAATCTCTCGAAAAGTCGTCCGACATTCCCAGCAAGGACGAGGACCACTCTGATACTTCCCCAGATTGGCGACAAGATTGTTGTCGACATGTTAGCAAACACGTCCATAGCCTTGCCATAACTTTCTATCTTTTCGATGAGAGGCTGCACAGCCTCAATAGCTTTGCGGACCTTGGAGGATTGCTGATCGGAGGAGTTGATGACTGAAGTCTCAAAGTAAAGATTCTCAACAGTTGCTTGCTGAAAGATCACTCTTTCTTCGGGTGTAAGGCTCAACAGATACCTGTCCCGAGCAATCAACCATGGGTCGGCCTCGGAGTCGAGCCTCGTGGATATCGCTGTCGTAGCCTCATTAGTTAATGGCGTCGCCATGTTGATGAGTGCGGCCAGAATATGATGCCCGTCACGCTGTGATCAAGCTCGAGATAAGATAGCAATCCGTCAAATCAATAGAAAATGAAGGAAGAGGATATCTTGGAATCGAAGGGGCTGTAGATTGTAGGTGACACAGCCTGTTAGAGTTGGTGCAGACATCTAATTGGTCCGTGTAATGCAATGCAATGTACGCCGCTTCCCGACGTCACAAAAACGCCTCCTGCTAGGCATTCTCCCGGTAAAGCCCAGAGCCGGATTCAATGAAAATTGCTATTGACAAACTCCAGGGTCACGGGAACAAGTCCATCACTAATTGTAATACAATCTTGCTGGTGATTATTTCCGACTACAGATTGAGTCGAGATTCACTAATACTTCTGTTATATGGAATATGGGGCTTTTTAGCCTATCCAAGACTTGTGATACCTACTCCGCTGTACACAGCTATTGCAATTCCGCGCGATTGACTTTTACTATCCAAATCAATAGGGCCTACATCACATAGCACATATATCCTATACGCAAGTCAGTACCATATATCACGGCAATACGCAATATCACATACCTTCCTCCTCCTCCTGAAATCCTCATAAAACCCTACCCAAATCTCCCTCTCTCTGCAGTCCTCCTCCCACCCTACACCCTCAACACACTCCGGTTTAAACTTCTCAATCTGCTCCTCCGTCGCCAACCACGGCTTCGGCAACGGACTGTCTGAAAAATGTACCACCCTCGCCTCCCTCTTCATCCTCTCCACATCCCAATCCAACCCCAATTTCTTCCCCTTCCCAATTCCAATCCCACCACTAAGCCACCCCGCATGATCCTTCGCTCTCAACTCTCCCGTCAACAATGCATACTTCTCGTGCGGCAAGACCCTACACGTCCTTCCATACAACTTATTCATAATCTCCATATCGTAATAGCCCACCCTCGCGTTCTCCATGGCTTTCTGCACGCGCCAGAACTCGCGGTCAGAAGGCTCGATGAGCATGAAGTGCGAGGAGAGGAATGGGTAGGGGAGCCACCACGCACGGGGCATGATTGCTGGGGCGGAGGGGAGCAGGAAGAGGGAGTCGAGGGGTTGGAGGATGGTGGCGTCGGAGTCGAGGACGAGGAGGCGGGTGTATTGTTTTTGGGAGAAGGCGAGGAGTTTGGTGTAGCTATCTGCCCAGTTGGGTCCGGAATCTATGAACAAGTGTTAACACAGCCTGTTCGCGAATTGACCCATTGGAAGAGATACAAAGAAAAAAGGAGGTGAGAAGTGGGAAGACAAAGTTCTTACAAGCTGCCAGATTCTGATGCTGCACCCTGACCGCCTTTAGTGTAACATTAAACTCATCCCTCGCTTTAACCAACAGCCTACTCTCGACCGTTCCGAGCGTCACATCAAGCGAATACTTGTTCGGATACAACAGCAATCTATCAGCTTTACTCCCCAATCTATGCAACGTCTCGAAGATCATCACCGCGTTACACAGGTAGTCGACATTAGTGGCATACTGCGTATATGCGAATTTCGACCAGTCAACATCCACGCCTGAGTGCGAGGACGGAACGGTCACGGGATCGGTGTAGTAGCATGATGGGCCAGTGAGGCGAGCCCAGATATGATGGCTGCGAAGGGAGTTTCGGAGGTAGATGAGTGCGAGGATTGTGAGCAGGACTGCTAGAACTGTTCGGGCTGGTTTTGAGGTCAGGATTTGGCGGGTCGTTGGGCGGGGTTGGTGGTGTCTTTTGTAGTCATCGTCGACACGTGAATCAAAGCTTGGTAGGAAAGGAGAGTCCTGGAGAAAATCGGGGAGGTCCAGTAGTGGTGGCTGGGAACTCCTTCGTTTCATTGTTTGGGTTCTGGTGGCTGTGATAGTGGGCTCTTCGCCACTTGATATTGATATTGACCGTGATTTGGCCAAGCCGTAAATTTGAGATCGCCTCAGAATATGAGAGGTTTTTAACACGTCTCTTTGAAACCTCACCTATCCATGAATCAGTAAATGAATGTAGTCACTTAATATGTTGGACTTACCTCTTCTCGAGCCTCCAAAATATGCCAAAATGTACCCCTGAAAGCTCTTCCCACAAAATTCCAGGTTCCAACTTCCCACGTACAAAACTTCAAAACGTCCTAGAAGTTCACCTGAAAACGTCGCTTCTCAGACTTGCACTATCCATATCTCCTTTGTAACGAACGTCTCTTTGTCGACCAGAAGTACGGTTCATGTAAGAATGCATGATGTCGCTGAATTGGCTGTTATCAATGGCCGGGTCAACCGGCTCACGATTACCTAGCTTAAATTACGGGGCAGGATCTTACCCGCCCCTGTTTTACCCCTGGTTAGGTCATCAAGCTGGATCAAACAGCTGGGTTGTAAGAAGAAGAGCAACGAGGAGCTCGTGAAGGTGTGAGTCAGAGGGAACATGTCCTTCTACCGCCGTTTCCTTCATTGAACGTGAAGGAAGAGAAACCCGAACTTTGGAAGATTGGTCACGTGATTTTGACTCTTGGGCTTTCGTGTTGTTTACTTTTAGATGGTGTGGATCTACCTCGATATCATGCAAACATGTAACGAAATGCCTGTCTTCCACTTTGCATGATAAATACATATAAAAAGTCCTCTTCCCCCGCACTATCTCCTACTTTATCCGTCCCTCTCCCCATCTAGCTTCCTCTCTCAACCGCGCCAGTCCCTACCATCCTCATTTCCAGGACTCCTCATACATCTATAGCAGTTCTGACTCACATAGTCGTTGAAATCGAATGCACGATGATTCGGTCGACCATACAGCCTGCAGCGAGTGTAGTTGGTCGCAAACTTACAGCCGCAGGCGTAGATTGTGTTGTAGTTCATACACATCTGATTTTGGATTTGTTTGGAAGGCTGAATAGTGAACTTGAAGTTTCTTTGGTTTGCTCGTTGTTGGGTTTATTTTGTGGTGGGTTTAATTGTACTTCGAGTTCAGGAAAACGAGATATTTGAGAAGGGGACGAAGGAACACGGCGTAGTGAATGCAAACAGGAAAGATCGTGATTCAGGAGAAGAATACCCTGAGGTGCGACATAGCGGTGACTGCTGCTAGCGGGTTCTAATTGGAGAGGAAGCAGAACCAGAACTTTCTGAATGAATTTGACAGATTGAAACCGTGAATAATGCCAAAGAGAGAACATACAGACCTGTATGCTCATCAAGATCAAACTTACTTAATCAAAGGCTAAAGAGAAAGTGTTAGCCTCTCACCTGGAATCAACTCAACATCGCACACCATCGAGGCGACTCGGTATTTTGAAATGTTGTCAGCATTGAGTAAGTCTAGTTACAAGATTAGGTAGGAGGTTGCACCTTTTCATCGCATCGCGCACCCAAACAAATTCATCGACTGAGATCACGCCAGTCTTACACCGGCTTGACCTCTCTTCTTCCGCTGCTGCGCTGTAGCGCCACTCATACCACCACTGCCGCCATCCAGCGAACTCTGTGCTTCTCTTCGCTTCTCGTCCTCGATCTTCTTGAGCAGCTTTTCGGTCTTCTGCTTTCCACTTCCCTTGCCGTGGAACTGATGTGACATGTGTTTGAATGCTTCTTTTGCATTCATGCTCCTTCCGTGGTCGTCGATGTACTTGAGTTCTACATTCGGCTTGTATTCCTTGTTGAAATGCTCGGCGAGTTGACGGGATTCGACCTGGTCTCGGAAAGTGTTTTGTGATCTGGCGTATTCTTCCTTCTCCCGAGCAGACATCTTGTCTAATCGGCCATTGGCACGGTCTCGTTCTCTCTGCATTCGAGCTTTCTTCTCCGCATCGGCTTCCCGACGTTGTTTCTCTGCCAAGAACAATTGCTTCTGTCGGAATATGGCGTTGAGATCTCCCGACTCTGCTGTCTTGATGATACCTCTTTCTTTCAGAAGTTTCAGGGTTGATCCTAAACCTCGATCCAGTGTAGCTTCTTGTTCCAGACCTGTATTCGTCATGTCTTCGCCATTCGATTCCTCTCTCTTCAAGCGAGCAAGTCGATCCTCTTCATCCTCGATATCGGCATAGGAGCGATCCATGTTGACATCACCCTCGTCATCAGAGTCGTCACCCATTGCTGTCACCGCTTCAGCTTGCCTGGAAGTGGATCTTCTCTTTGGTTCGGGCGCGGTAGGTTTCTGCAGATTGGCAACAAATTCGGAAGTCTCGTCAATGACCAGACCAGCCTCCTCTTCCACTTCATTCTCCGCAGGTGTAGCGGACGCCTCTTCTCTGAATTGTTGTGCGATCTCTTCAGGTCTAAGTTTTTGACGCTTCTTTAAAGCGTTTCTTCGTTGTGCTGCAAGAGAAGCTTGCAAATCTTCGTCATCAACAAATGACATGTCTTCAAAAGTTCGCTTCTTGGGCTGTAGCGGCTGATCCACCTCCATAGATTCTCCGTTGGTGGCAGATGCATCTCCGGTATCCGCTACAGGGAAAATATCATCCTCATCTGCTGCTTTCTGGCGGGTGGACTTGGCTTTCTTCTTCTTAGGTTTCTTGATCTTGATTTCTGAGATATCGAGGTAGTCGGACTTTGGCTCATCTTCTGTAAAAGAGGTTAGCATGATTGTAAAGAGGGTGCGCACTTCGCAACTTACTGAACAGATCAAGACTGATAGCTTTAGCTTTCAATTTCTTCGCCGATGCACCTTCGATTGTAGCTTCTGTCGTACTTCCCATACCGTCCAGTGTAAATCGGCTGCGCTTCTTTCCATCGATCTCCTCGTCATAATGTGCCAAGATACCAGTTTCACCATTCTCGTCGACATCATGGGGGTTATATACTGGCTTTTTCTTCTTCAGGTCTAGCTTGTCCTTCAACTTCTCCCTCTCGCGCAGATCCAGATTTTCCAACTCATCACCCTCCTCCTCGTTCTCGTCGATGGTAGTATCTTTCAGCGTCAAGACCTGATCCTCTCCTTCCTGGAAAGTGTCCAGTTCATGACCAACTTTGACACCAGCAAGATCCTTAGCCGTATACTCCGCGGCCGCCTCAGCATCCGCCAACTCCTGCTCTCTTTTCCTCGCCTTCTCAATCTCCTTCAGTCTCTTCTTTTGTTTCATCAACCACGCCTTCGCGCCCATATCTTCATCCTCGTCCGCATCACCCAGCCCTTTGCCTTCCAGTTTCGAAAACCGCTTCGCTGCATCTCGCGCTCTCTTGATAGCCTCGTTCTTCTCGTCGCGCTTCTTCTTTGCTTCTTCAGCTTCCTTCAGCTTGCGGTAATTGTCGTAGCCTTCCGCTTGTCGTGATTCGAGCGTGCTGCCTACTTCCTCTACGGGGCCAGATGCTTCTTTGAAGACGGGGCCGGCGCCGGGAACGGGCAGGGGCTTCATACCCAAGGATACCCGCAGGCGGTTGGTCTCTTCGATAGATATGTCGGCCATTATTGCGGATGGTGGTAACCAAGGTACAGGCTCGAGATGTGGAGGTAGTCACTGGCTGTGATGTGGTTGATAAAGTTGAGGCTGCAAGAGCCCAAATCCACTAGCGACCAGGATCGCCTAGCGCCATCCTAGCGTGCAAGCGGCCGCCTCGCGATATATTTTCTTCGCAGAGCTCTCTTCCGCTTTCTCTTTTTCCTTCTACAATCACAGATTTGTGCCCAGCGGTCCCTTCAACCTCCGGGTTGTAAGGTTGACTGCTGAGGCAGTTCGTTCGTTCTATGGAGCCACCAGCCTTTCGTGGGTAAATTCATGGTGTCAATTTCCGATCGACAGATCTCAGAGTAATTGGGCACCATGAAGCTTGAATTCGCTGTAACAGGCTTGAGCTCAGTGGACGGTGTTCCGAAGACGTCACATTCCAAATCCTTTCGCCGAGACCGTCGGTTGGTGAGGTTAAGGGCTAACCGTTTCGACTACATCACGATTCTTTTGGGGGTTTATACTGGGGAAGATTTTAGATCTGCGGATGCTTGGTATGGGAATAACGGGCTTGGAGCTTGGGCATACAAAGGCGGAGGTGTAAGGAGGGGGCATGGAAATAATATGGAGGTTCCGTAGTGGTCGCCTCCACCTTGTGCTTGTTTATTCTGATATAGCAGATGCCTTCGTTTGAATGATCCCGCCAGCTTTTTCCGTCTTGATTATTTTGCTCTGCAGAGATTTTTCTCGCTCCTTCCTACATCAAAGTGCCCACAGTCTTGCGAACTACCACTTACTGCCTGAACACTAGCTGTACTGTCGTTGCATATGTTGACCGCAGCCGTGTCCTCTTTTCCCGCGGTGTTCGAAGTACCCATGGAGGCTGAAATCATATCGAACCAAGTGGAAAAGTCTTCTCAATGTCTTCAAGGATTGCCAGCCGTCAACCTCCCTCGGTCTCTCGGAGTTCTTGATGCACCGGTGGCTTCGATCGATACCTGCATTCCGTGGTGACTGACAAGTAAACAGTGCTTCCAACCTGGGGCTTCGTTGAGCGGGACGATCATACAAAGTGTTCCAAGGTCCAAGATCGACATGTATATTTACGGACAGTTCTCGGTGCAATCTTCTGTTAGTACGCACTCAGTATGAGTGTCGAAGCCGCATAAGGCGCTCCGGTATGTAGAATCTGGCCCGTGTGCTTTGGTCATCCAAACCTTCGTCTCCGTGCCATGGCCGTTGATGGCGTTGTGCAATGCAGCATCCACGTCAGATTTAGTCGATATTATCCCCTCATTCTATCAATCGATAGCTGGTAAACAGCTTAACAGTACATTTGTTTAGTCTCGATCCTCTAAAGTCACATATCGATCCAGTCATGGAACGAGTTTAAAATCCCACCGTTCCTGATGAGTTAATCCAAGGTCTTGCCTCCCACCGCTATGGAGCCGAGGTAACCGTATCATCTGTCTTTATTCCTACCTTTTGCATTTACATCGACTGGCTTCAGGTATTGACGTACCTCAATGGGCAAGGTTCGTCTCATGTTGAACCATTGGTGGAATTCCTGCCTCGGTAGCTGGCCGTCCACCATCATCAGATGATCAAATGTGGACAAGCACAAGCAGTAAAGGCAGAAGAATTCAAGGATAAAGTGCCGGATCATGGAACGGACCGATAGAAGTTTGCTACTGTACAGTACAGGATGACAGTTTATGGGGACCCCACCGTCCCACGGTGTTGTTCCTGCGTGGCTGCCATGCCATTGCGGGGTTGCGTGACCCCTCATTTTCTTCCATTGGCCAAGCCCACAGCTCATCTCCTGTCACTGCTGCACGCTGCAAGCGAGCCTGAACGACGTTCCCTCGGAACCACCAATCAACCCTACAACACCAAAAAAGTCATCCGTGCCGGCATTTATATCGACAAGCATATAACCCCACACTCTTCGGCCCAGCTACCGAATGCGACATAGACTTAGCCCTACTTTCTGCCCAAGTCTCTTTCCTGCCGAACAACTTCTCTTTTCTCGCCGAGGAACCCTGTCATACTTGCCGCTTCACCAATTCCCCTTCTCATAGACTATGATAGAGTTTGACGGGCAAGGTACGCCTTCTGGAGGAAGCCATCGTCACCTGCAGATTCAAACCTTCATTTCGCCGAGAATACCCTCCAGCGCTTAGGCCAGGCCAGCGGCGATTGTTGACTTGCATGGGGATATCGGCCCTATGATCAATAGCACAGCGAGTGCAGAGATTACCACTCATCCCTGAAAAGAAGATCCATGATATAAAGACATCATGGATACCGTACCTTCAACTTTCTTTTCCTCACTCATCCCCTCCCTCAACATCACATCCCTGAGTTCAACTTTCACTCAGCCCATCATGTATTCTCTATCTTCTCTTGTGGTTCTCGGCAGCCTTGCGATCCAAGCAGTCTTCTCACTCCCAGATCCAAGTCGGGTCCAGGAGCGAGAAGCCAAGATACTGAAGCGATCGGTGGACTCATTCATTGCAACTGAGAGTCCGATTGCCCTTCGCAACATGCTGTGCAATATCGGATCTGATGGCGCTTGTGTGCCAGGAGCGAGATCTGGTGTGGTCATTGCTGGACCAGGAAAAGCGAATCCTGATTGTAAGTCCCCAGCATCATGCAAGAGACCACTCGGCTAACCTGACGAGACTTTTACACCTGGACCCGCGACTCGGCATTGACGTTCAAGTGTATTGTTGATACTTTCGTCAGCAGTTATTCGGCATCTCTCCAAACGGAAATTGAGAACTACATCACTGCGCAAGCATATCTCCAAACCGTGTCCAACCCATCTGGTGGTCTTTCCAGTGGTGGTCTAGGTGAACCCAAGTACAACGCTGATCTATCTGCTTTCACTGGCTCTTGGGGTCGGCCGCAGAGGGATGGTCCTGCACTTCGTGCCACGGCTTTGGTTACTTACGCCAAGTGGCTCATCGATAATGGCTACACTTCTACTGCAAGCTCATTGGTGTGGCCTGTCATCCAGAACGATCTCTCTTATGTCACGCAGTACTGGTATGTCAAGCATCTAAATCGTGCAGTAAACTTTGCTCATCTTAAGTACAGGAATCAGACAGGCTTTGATCTCTGGGAAGAAGTCAGCGGATCTAGCTTTTTCACTGTCGCTGCACAACATCGTGCACTTGTAGAGGGTAGCGCTTTGGCGAAACTCCTTGGCAAGACTTGCACATATTGTGATTCTCAAGCACCCCAAGTTCTCTGCTTTTTGCAAAGATTCTGGGGTCCTTCTCAAGGATATGTGATTGCCAACATCAACCAGAATAGTGGTCGATCTGGCAAAGATGCCAACACCATTCTTGGGTCGATTCATCTTTTTGATCCTACCGCAGCTTGTGATGCGACAACATTTCAACCGTAAGTTTGATGCTTGCCAGTTGACTTTCGTGTTCTGACAGATCCGTAGCTGCTCCGATCGCGCCTTGGCAAATCACAAAGTTGTGACGGACTCCTTCCGGTCTATCTACACCATCAACTCAGGAATTGCTCAGGGAACAGCTGTCTCTGTTGGCCGATATCCTGAGGATAGCTATTTCGGCGGGAATCCCTGGTATCTCAACACTCTCGCTGCCGCTGAGCAACTCTATGACGCGCTGTATACTTGGAACAGACAAGGTTCCATCACCATCACTTCGACCTCGCTCGCATTCTTCAAAGACCTGGTCTCGTCAGCTGCTGTCGGAACCTACGCATCCTCAACCTCAACCTACACCACTCTCTATAATGCCGTGAAAACATACGCTGATGGCTACGTCAACGTCGTTGCAACCTACGCACAGTCCAACGGCTCCCTCTCAGAACAATTTTCAAGGTCGAACGGAACCCCGCTATCAGCCTATGATCTGACTTGGTCATATGCAGCCTTCCTCACAGCAGCCGAACGCCGCGCAGCAATCTTTCCCTATCCCTGGGGCGAAATAACCGCCTCCAGCGTCCCCTCAGTCTGCTCCTACACTTCCGCCTACGGAACTTACTCCACAGCATCCACCGGCACCTGGCCACCAAACCAGACTCCCATCTCTGGATCCCCTACAACCACAACCGCAACCGGCAGCAATCCAACAACAACTAGAACCGAATCCAGCACCAGCACCTCAGCGGCATGCACACCCGCCTCCAGCGTCGCTGTAACATTCCGTGAAACCGTCACAACAGTCTACGGCCAAACCATCAAGATCGCAGGCAGCGTCGCCGAGCTCGGTAACTGGAACACAGCGAATGCAGTTGCGCTCTCGGCCAGCGAATATACATCCAGCTCACCGATATGGAAAGGTACTGTCACGTTTGCGGCGGGAACGGTCATCGAGTATAAGTATATCAATGTAGCGAGTGATGGGGCGGTTACATGGGAGAAGGATCCGAATCATACGTATACGGTGCCGGCGAGTTGTGCCACGGCTGTTACGGTTAATAACTCATGGCAGTCGTAGATGGGGATGGGGGTTTAGCTACGAGAAAGGTAAATGGTGTGTATTGAGATGAATTGGATGGTGTGGGGTGGGTTGGTGACATGAGTACAGGACCCAGAGGTACATAAGGCAGCTAAGAAGGCTTTCCTGGAGTTCATTCTTAAGGATTCTGATCAAAACTAGATAAATTGAATGAATATTGCTGATGAGGCATGATTGATTCGGTTTCTTCCCCCGTACCGGGCTTTGGCACAGGATACCATGATAATGCTTCGGTCCAGTCGAAAACATCCCTGAGGCACGCTTCCGTTAGGAGAGTTTGTTGTTGCTTTGCGAGAGCTGGGGAGATGCGCATTGCAGAACTCCAAGTTGGAAGGTCTGACGACTATTCTGTCTATGTGGAGTGCTGGGGAGAGAGCGGATGGGTACAGTAAGGCTTGGAGCTTGATAAGCTTAGGCATGTCAGGAGTGGGCGGGCGTTGAAGACTGTGGAATCTGTCATAATTGCAGTTGCATAAGGAGCTACTACAGAGAGAGAGAATCTCCTATATAAAGGGGTAGCGTACTCAGTAGTACGGCCTATAGTACTGAGTCTACGCCTACAATCCCTATATTTCTAATAGCCCCCCTATTCTCTATATCTGTAGTAAATAGAGCTTTCTAAAGTAGTATAGCGCTGAATATTCCCGAAGCGACGCTAGAGTATCGCTAAAGTATTACTAATAACTTATATTATATAAGGAGCCTCGATTATACCTTATTAACTCCCGTAATATACTAGTATATATATAGTACCTATATCTCCTGTTTTCCTAGGAGTTCAGTAACTTTATAGTATTAAGGTATATAAAATAGTATAAGAGTATACCTAAATCGCTTCTTTATTAATAATCTCCTGCTCTTACTGCTCTTATTCACCCTTCTTTATAGCTACTTCACACCTTCCTTTTATAGCTACTAAGATATTCCTTACTAGCTTTCTCTCTAGCCTCTAGGGTATATAAAAGTCGTTCTCTTCTAGTTCTATTTCCTTTCTTTCTTTCTTTAACCGCGGAATAAGATTCGTTTTAACTATTAAGTATAGTAGTTATATATTATATTTTACTTGATTTATAGTTATATATTATCGTTAAGGAAGATATTTATTAAAGGACTAATTTTCCGCGAAAAATATTCTATTTTTTATAAGTTCTACTACTAGAAACAGCCTTGATTTATATAGGTCTACTATTAATTAGCTAACTGTTATTAATCTTAGAGTTATTATCAGAGAATCAGTTATTACTAAGTAACCCTATATATATCTTATATTATTTAAACGATTCTAAAGGTAAAGCTTTTATAAGAGTATCTACTATATTATTATTACCTAGAACGTGTTTTACTACTGACTTATTATATAAAACTATATTATCTCAAATATAGAACTAGCGGATATTAATATACTTTACCTTTAGATAGAATTTCTGTTCTTTTAAAAGAGATTTAGCTCTAGCGTTATTAAGATATAGCGTAGGAATTCGGGATAGCTTTATATTAAGGTCTTTCTATAGCTTAAGTAACTAAGCTACTTCTTTAGAGCTATTACTAGTAGCTATTATCTTAGAATTTAAGCTAAAGAGAGCTATAGACCTTTACCTATTAGTAGCCTAAGAGATTAGACCCCTATAGAACCTTACTATCTATCCTTAGAACGATTTCCTATTATATTCTGTCTCTTACGTAGCGTTAGTCTAAATATTAAATATATTATTATCTAGCTTTCCCTTATATTCTATTCCGATTCTAAACGTTATTCTATTACCTTCTATATATTATAGATATTAGAGGAGAGGTTTCGTGTCTTAGAGGTGAGATTTAAGGGGATTTAATATATACCGCGCTAGCTAGCCTATTATATAGGTAATATTAGGTTATATAAGGTTCAAGAGGTATATTAAAGAGCTAATAATCTACTGAAATAGTAAGATCTCTTTAAGGGAGGCTAGTATAACACTTTTATCTTTAGCTAACTCCCTTAGTACTATTCTAGTAGCTGCAGGTAAGGTATTACCTTTAGCTATAGCTATTCTAAACCTTTCTAGTAGCTTTTATATATAAGCTATTTAATAAATCCGTAGAGTCTTATTCTTCCTATTCCTCTTAACTTATAGGCCTATAAATATATTAATAGCTCCGAGGTCTTTACTTTTCTAGGTCTTTAAGAGCTATTTCTTAAGATATTTATAGTTAGTAAGGTTACTTATAATTAGTATATCGTTGATAAAGACTAATATATACGCTCTATTCTTAAAGATAAAGAGATTAGGGTTAGCCTCTAATACTTCTAGACCTAGCTTTTCTATCTTATTTTTAATAAGGAGCTACTATTCCCTAAGTACTTATTTCAAGCTATAAAAAGAGCATAGGAGCTTCAGATATATATCTTTCCTTCTATTTAGCTCTAGGTAAAGCTTATTCTATATCTCCGGTATCTTATTATTCGGAATCGTTATATATATATCTTCTTTTAAGTATATATTTAGGAAAGTAGTATTAATATTAATATACTCGATCTCTAGGTCTCTTTTAGCTATAATAGCGAGTAGTACTTATAAGGTAAAATAGCGTACGATACTCGCGAAGGTATTAAAGTAGTTAAGGCCGTGTTTTTACTTAAAGCCTCTTACTATAAGCTTAGCCTTTTACTATACTATAGAGCTATCGGAGTTAATTTTATTATATAGAACTAGTTTTAAAGATATTAGTTTTAAGCCGGAGGGAGGCTTACTAAAGTATACTCTATAGGTTCTAGCGCTTTATATAGCTTATAATTCCTTGAGAATAGCGGCCTTCTATTTTACTAGATTCTCCCTTAGAGCCTTTATAATAGTTATAACCTTAAGAGGTCGTATAAGTTCACCCTCTAGCGCAATTAGCGCTATTTAATAGGTTAGTACCTTATTAAGGATTTACTAAGAGTATAGCTTCATAATTATCACTTAAGCAGCTTACTTAAAGTATTATTTTCTATACTATTTCCTACTATATCTTAATAGTAGAGTATTATCAGACGCGTTTACTAGTTAAGTCTATTTAGGGAGGCGTTAATTAGATACTCTCTTAGTATCTCCTACTATATTTTCTATAGCTAACTTTCCCCTTAAAGGATTTTCAGCTTCTATAGCTAGCCTCTTTCCTAGAGGTCTTTCAGCTTCTATAGCTAGCCTCTCTCTTAGAGGTCTTTCTAAGCCTTTAGCACCCTTAGCTAGCCTCTTAGTAAGTACTAGACCGGTAGCCGGTAGTAGAGGTCTTTCTACTACCTTATTACTACCTTTTAGTATAGTTTCCTTACTACTAGTGTATATAGAGTATATTATATACTTATTAAAGCTATAGTTAGCTATTTCTAGTTCCTTAAAAGTTTCTACGTTTAGGAGCCTATAGGTTAAGGTATTAGCTATACTATCGTGTACTATAAGGAGGAGCTTCATATAGTATAAAAGTCTTGATTTATTAAAGTATTCTAGAGCTCCCCTATAAGAGGAAGCTCTAAGAGTTCTAGTTATATAAGTAGCCTCTAGTTAGCTAAAGCGCCTTAGGGAGTACCTTAGGTACGTTAGGTGTATAACATACCTCCTTGCTTAGCTTTATAATAGTAAGCGAAGCGATATAAATAGTATAGATAATACTACTTAAACTATTATAGGAGTTAATACTAACTAATAGCGTTAAGTCTTAAGCGCTTAGTAGCTCTAAATATATAAACTAAGTAAGTCCCCCGGAACACTCTTTCCTTAAATAATAACTTTAATATAATATTAATAAATATAGCTAAAAGCTCCTATACTACCCGCGCCTCGCGCGCTTCTAACCTCGCTACTACTCGTATAGTAAAAAAGAAGACTATAAGTTATTAATTTAAAGATTCCGATATAATTAGTATTATAAGAAATCGTTAGAACTATACTAATACTTATAAAATAAGCCCGTAGCTGCTATAGCTCCCCTGCCGCCGCTACTCTACTACTACTACTATTACTATTATTACTACTAGTACTAGTACTAACTCCTACTCGCCGCCCTGCTATAGTAGGAGCTATCCGTGCTATACCTTATAGCTACTATATTTATAGTAATTTATAAGGTACGCTAGGCGACCCCTGTTATAATAAAAAGATAGCTTCGCGCTGTTTTTATTATTATAAAAATAATAAATCGGGTTATATCACTGCCCTTACTTATATCGCTGAACTTTTCGCCGGCTACTTAGTAGCCCGGGCTCTCCTAGAGGGCATACGTATAAGTGTTTCCTTATATTATAGTATTAGAATAATAAAGTATTAAGGTATTAATATTAAAGTACTAAGTAAAGCTAACTTTATAATATATATAAGCTCTTATAGTTCGCTAGGCCGCTATTCGGAAAGCCTTAGAAGCTAAGGAGAATAAGGATAAAGATAAGGATAAGATCTATACCGCTATCTATAAGTTATAATAGTAGTCTTACAGATTTCAGATATTATTTAACTATTAATATTAGCTGCTACCCCTACCCCCGCCTCTACTCTCTATAGAAAGACCGCTATTCTTTCTCCCTGCCCTGTTTTTAGCGCTATAGGAATAAGCTCTAGCTCTATAGGAGCTACTATTATCGCTCTTATAGCGCGTTTAGCCTTATATGCCTCTGCTTTAGCAGAGGTTAATATTATAGCTAGCGCTACCTAGCAGTTAATTAACTTTCTCCTCTCTTCTTAGTAAGCGATATAAGCTTTATAACCTTTAAGTAGTAGCTTAGGAACGTTACCCTTTTATTATAGTTTAAGCTAATATATTAGTATAGCTTTATAACTTAGAAATTGTAGCTTAGGATTAGGTCCCTTACTCTTCGTGTTATTTTAGCGTAGCTTTATAACCCTAAAGTAGTAGCTTAAGATCAGGTCTTATAATTCTACTTCTTCTCTTCTCTCTAATAGCGTTTAAGAACTATAAATATAAAGTAAAAGAAACGTAATAAAAGAAAGTATCTATATAGATTATATAGCTTAAGTAAGCTTCTTAATATTAGCTTAAGAGTCTTAAAAGTTTAAAAGAGCAATAAATACTTTAAACTTCTGCTTTAGTAGGTTTTTAGTTAAGCTATTAGCTAGTATATTATTTATCAGGAGATACGTTACCTAAAAACTCCTCTTTTTATACTCCTATTATAGTTATATATTCTATATATTAATATATTAAAGTTTCATCGAGATTCACTAGTTCTTTTTAACTATTAGCTGAATTATCTATTTATTATTATAGAATATATTCCACGGAGCTCCTATATTAAGCCTTAGCTCTTTAAAGAACCTTTAAAGTACTATTACCTCCTTAGTAGTCTATTCTATACTAAGAAGCTCTGCCTTAGTTATTAAAGTAGTAATAGTATCTTATCAGGAGGCTTTCTAAATAATAGCTCCTTTAAATAGTATAATTAGGAATCCTTAGGAGGAATAATACGATTTAGTGTTATTTATAAAAGATATATCTAAGGTAATAAGAAAGTATATCTCTCTATTCTTCTAACTATAGATAATAGCTAGGAATCTTAAGCTAAATAGATATTATATAATCTAATTAACTGCCTCTAAGTATAGCGCGCTTAGGT